TCGTTAAAAGCCCTATATTTCTCAGAAACGAATAGATTTTTTTTAATCCTTGGAATGCAAACAAGAGCTTTATACAGTTTAAATAATGGTTTTAGAGCATTTATGGTGCTTAATTGTTGCCTTAAGAGAAATGGTGCCTTCATGCATAATTTGTTGCTTGATAAAGTTAAGAAATACTTGAACTCAGTAAGATATTTTGTACTACATACAAATATCAAACGACATTATAATTTTCTAATTGATCAAATCAACGGGAAGGTGCTCAGGTAATTTTTATGATCGTAGACTGGTAAGTACTATTCTTATTGTGCTCAATAATAGATAAGAAATACATCAAGTGATATGTTTATTTGCCAAAAATATATAATTGTAGAACGTTTAATTATCTATCTCATCCTCTCTCGCTCGCTCTGTATTCATGGTCGTGTGTATTGAATCTGCTGTCGTCTATTGCCGTATCTTGAAATCGCTGGTGTGTGAAAAATATAATGATACTCGATAATTAGTTAAGGCCAGATAATGTCTGTTCGTTTTAAATGTTTACTTTTTTAGAGGAGGTGTGTGTGTGTGTGTGTGTGTGTATTGATAAAATGGTGGTGCTGGATGGTTAGATCCATGGTTTGTGTAACCTTCTCGTAAGTGTATGAGATAGTTTTTGCTCTCCTAGTCTCAATATGCAGAAGACAAGTTAATATACTGAGTTATGGCAATACTGTATTCTCTATTCTACAAAAACTCAATAAGCACTTCTCTCTCTAGTCAAAAGGTTCACTTATGTAGGCATAGCATATCGAGATTATGTTTCTCGGGTCTTATTATACTTGTGGACGTGTATCGTGTTGTGTATACGGATGTAATTAAACCGATACCTTCGCATCTATATATGTTAGCATTATACTATTATCTATTCTGTCTCTTATATAGTTATGTTGGTATGCAAATTTTTATTGGTATTACGCATCTATCTAAATACGATATTAATATAGAGAGACCGAAAGTAACTTAATACCTAATTTTGCTCGCCTCCTGAACGGTATATCGGTAATATAATAGTGTACTGAGTGTCGCGCAACTATAAGCTGATAGGATTTATATGTGCAGTTAGAGACCCAAGTCTAATATAGTGTGTGTAATAGATTAGTTGATTATATCAATTTTCGCGTGAAATAATAATAAAGTTTTATGTATGGTATGCTTGACAAGTGCTCCTAGTGGATTCATAAGTTCCGTAGCTATCATAGAGCTTATCACAAAATTCAGTCTCTTGCTCTAGGCATTTGGTGATTTTAAACCATCCAAAGTATCGCCTCCAAAGATATTGATTTTATACTGGATCAAAGCTTATCACATAAGTTTCTTACCCTAATAGTCAATCTTGGTTCTATTTATAATATATGGATGGTAATGAATTCATAATTGTTGCATGTAGAGATCTAGAGACATATTTTGAATTTCTTATTGTGGTTATCATTTAAATCATAAACTTTTGGTAGATTATACTCATATTCTAATCTTTTCTTATCTTCTGAATTGACAATTCAATAATATATACATCCGTGTCCTGTGTTAATATGACATCTTCTCTCTTTCTGAACTCCTGTTGTTTAGCTCCTCTGCTTACCTAGAATGCGCTGTGTGGGGGCGAATGGAATGGTGTAAGATGACGCATAATCAGCGGTGTATATGGAATACTCCTTTACTTCAACTTAGTTGTCTAAGTAGATATATTTATATATGGATTAAAAATCGTGATCAAATTGATATTAGTAAACAAGAATGACGCCTATTAGAAGCATCGTTAGGCAATGAAGGTGGATATGATAAACACGAGTTTTCAAGTCATGCTGTGTAGACTGAGACGATTAGTAAGCAGTATATCTTTTATATTTATGAAGAATTAATGAGGGATTTAAGGTTAACACAGATGTTCTATTAGATTGATTTTTCTCCTCTTATTTCTGTTCAATAGCAATCAGTATGGACACGCTGAGGTGCTTCTTCCTCTACGAGCGTGGAAAAAATTTACACAATTGTGTCCTTTATAACAGTGCTCTGGTGCAAATGTAAATTAATTGCTTTTTACTAAAATATCGCCTTTAGTTTAAAATAATGAAATGTGCATACCCTCGCAATGCTAATCATGATTTATCTATATAAATTTTTTTTTATTATAAATTGACAATTGTTACATAACTAGCCGCTAGTAGTGTGTATATACGAGAGCACGCTTTAATCATATGGTGGGAATTTATGTGGGTATGTAATAAGCGGCATATCTATATGCTCACGAAATCTCGATTCTATGAAATATATTGTGGTCGTTCTGTTTGTTCGTGTATTCTGGAGAAAATATATTAATACTTTTTATTCCAAGATATAATCCCTCTAGGGTCTGAACTTCAGAATTGGAAATATTTACATTTTTTATCTCTCTCACAGAAATACACAAATACTCTATTCGTTGGTTACATTTACAACTCGGTATCCTACACAGCGGGAAATGAGCATAATGTACAATCTTGCATTACGCGCACTGGGCTGCACTCGATGTGATTGTCTCTATATAATATGTATACCATCGTTGTAACAAAGTCTATGATGTACGTCTGTTATTTTTTAGCACTCTTCTCTGTTCATATCTCCATGCACTATATTTGAATGAAACGTGTTTTTAATTTTTCACTAGTGTTATGAGTCTTTGTAAGTATATTGCTTACAACGCCAGTCGTTTTCGAATTAATTGCTAGGCCGAACCATTATTTCTTAGACGCAGTGTCAAATGATGTTTGTTCTTTCGACAAGGAGAGACTCGTTAATTTACTGTTGACGCAGATTCCTTTTCCTTTTCTTAGGTATGTCAGGTTCTGCTGATATTGCTCAGCGAGGTTCGTCGTAATTTTAAAGGTCATGACTTTTGATATTTCGGCAGTATGAATTTCAATCATATTCAAAGCGTATTCCTGAAAATAGAAAAAATATTTATTTAGAGTATAAGAGTTTAATAAATGCTTTAAATAAACATCGGATCACGTGTATTTTCCTTTTATTGACTTCTAATACATGCTAACATTATAAAATAACTGTATTTTAAGAGTTGGCAAAAGAAAATCGCCCTCTGCATATAATAGTGTAATTTTAATTTCATACTGCAATTTACAAATACAGAGAATCTTCTCGCACAATAGACATAATACCAACCTTTGGGGTGATGTTTATGTCTGCAAGTAAAAGTTGGCGGCGTTCTTGGATAAAGTATTCCAAATAGTCCTGTAAATAAAGCAAAGTGATTATAAAAAAAAAAACATTCAAACATTTTCCCTTTACTCTCAGATATAAATGGCCAGAACTTTCATTTTTAAGAAACTGGTTAAAACTTTTATCTGGCATGGAATAAATGTGCAGGTGTCTATTTAGAATAAAATCCGCATCACTAAAGAGACACTAATAAGCGCATGTGAATTTGGACGGAATTCTGTACTTTTCTTTTGTCTTACTATAAACCAGTCTCAGATATAAATGTCCAGAACTTTCAATTCTAAAAGATTGGTTAAAAATTTTATCTGGCTTGATCAGTTTTCTATTTAGAAAGATAGAGACACTAATAACACATGTGTGTTTGGGACGGATTCTTAATTTTTCATTTGTTCACTAGAGCTGGAATTCTCGTCCTTGAATAACCTTCGAAACACAATGTAAATTTTTTTAATGGTTGGATGACTTATTCGCGATTGTTTTTATTTATTTGACATAGCTTTGTTAGTAAATTCTATTTGACGTACAATTTACACAAACTATTTGGATAGAACTTCTACTCTTTTAATGTTAAGCCATGCATTCCCTGTAATTTGGGCTTATATTTAAAAATCTATTTTGCATAACAGTCAACATTTACCTGGCATTTGCTAAAATTGTATACCACTTGGCTATTAACGCAAGTTATGGGATTGTAAATGCATAATTTGTTGCGGGCATACGCTACAGGTTTTTCCTATTTAGGGTATCTTTGTATGCTTCCCGTTTGCGCGCTTTCAAAGCCGACATCATCACAATAATACGATTGTTATTAAACGCTTCAATAGTATCAATATTCGCTCTCTCTGTTGATAAATTTTACCTTTCCTCTTAACCATATAATGCTTTTGGTTTTAAGAAATCTTACTTAGCTGCCGGTACAGACCAGAATATTAGCTCGAGGCAATATCGACTGATTATCTACCGTTTAACACCGGTGCTAAAGTCCATGTCTTCGAAAAATCCATGTAAGACAGTCGGCATGCCATGCTTTAAGTGAACGTCATTACGCGTGCCTTTTTATGCAATAATTACATTTTATCGATGCGGTCTCTTTCACATATATGAATCCGTTGTAATGTCATACGATTACACGTACACTTATAAGAAAATGCAGTTCTTAGTATGTTTCTGTATTCTGAATTAATGATTGTATGTAATATAACGAAAGGAATCAAACACCTGTCTCGTCCGATGCAGACGGGACTGATTATCTAGCTCCGGGTATACTTTTTTAGCGGCGAACTTGGCAGAGCATCCGTCACGCCGTTAACAATCACTCTCCAACTAGATTTTCCGGTCTGTACCGGCCGCCGGTGTAAGATTCATATAATATATAACATTTCCAATAAATTACAGCGTCTGGTCACTTTCAGAAACTCGAAAACTCGAATCATCATCAGCCGTATAAGACGTTGTATGTTGGTACATAAAAAACTTGAAATGAGTATGAATGAGGTGCAATTGTTAATTTCTAGAAATATTTGTTCATGACTTGTTAATCATCGAGCGCAAATTTTCTATCTTTTATTCTCTCTTATCATTCAGTTAGAATAACATTAACTAGATCAACAAGGAATGGCGGCGTTCAATGAAGACATACATTTCTGTCATGTGCGGACGCCTCATTATAAAATCCAGCTGTTCTTGACAAAAAATATTGATTAAATCTGACATCACATTTCAAAATATGATTCTTGTAAGGATACGCTTGGTTGGCGGTTTTTTCGTCCCGAGAAAACAATTATGACGTCATTATCGATGCATCTCCTTAAATACTGGCTGCATATTTTCATTTGGAGGTCTATGTCTAACTGTTAAAAAGGTATATTACATAACAATGTTTAAAGATAATAAGATTCATTTTGACTTATATGATGCATTTTTAAATATATATTGAAAGCAGTGCAAAACTATTTTGTTCTTTTAAAAATGTCTTTGTGATTTTTGCATTTGAGCTTCAATTTAAACAACAACTATCATAAGTCTAATAAACTGAAATAGTAAAGATATACTAATCATCAATACAACACTGAATTGAATTCAATTTTAAGTTAAAAAGTGATCCTCATATTTAATTTACAAAATGTAGGTCTTTAATATGTCCGAGTGGTTCAGGTTGGAAATTTATAATCACTTGCCCCTCATCACTTTGTGTTTTGTTCATGGTCAGAACCTCAGATGCCTTTATACAAACATCATATCGAGTTAGTTATTGAAGGTGTTTTACATAGGTTATCCACCAGAGAATAAAATAATTATGAAAATATTTTTCTACTTCCATCAGACAATCAGGAAGCTATGGTTCATCGGAAAATATGTAAGTTAAAATCAATTGGAAAATCTCGAGGTAAAGACTGTAATCAAAGATGTTTTCTGTATCAATTTTCCTTTTAACACAATCTGAAAAAACCAAAAACACACAAATTCTACCTTTTCTCGGTGGTAATATCTTGGAACAGCCAAAACCAATATAATCAGAATTATTGGATACACATTAGTAACAGCCGCCTCTAACATCAACATTAGCACCACTACAAAAGGCAGACCCAAATCAGGCCGGTCTCTAGTTGAACTTGCTACCAGTACAATTAATAAAACCAATGCGCTCAATAATAAAAGCATTAGTAAAGATAAAACACTTCCCCAGCAAAATATATTTCTTTTCTTCAAAAAGTCGTAGGTCTTCATCACAGGATCACTATTTACTAATTGTACAACATCGCGTAAAAGCTCTTCAGAAACCTATAATGAGATGTGCAGTTGTATATTTTGATCAATTGAGCATTAGTGTCAATTCCAAACATGAAATTTGTATACATTTTGTAAGAATATAAAAGGATATATCAACATTTTGTAACAATATAAAAGCATATGTCAAAGTATATTTATCTTTATCGACCATAAATCATTCTAGTTATTAATCTTTATCTGATATTTTACTGAAATTGAAAAAATAAAACTTTTGAAAAGTGGGATCCCTCGATAGCATTGGAAACAAAAAGTTGAAAATCTCAGATTTTTGTTTTTTTGTGTGTGTGTGTCACTGTGTTTTTTGTGTTGTTTTGTTGTGGGTTTTCTTTGTTTTTGTGTTGTTGTTATTTTACATTTTTTGTTGTTGTTGTTGCTTTTTGCGTTTGGTAAAAAATACATCATTTAAAATGCAGCATCTTACTGGTTTTTAATCATATATCGCCAATGGAAAAAGGTACAATGCATTTAAGTGTAAACGAATCGATATCGAACAAAGAAAGAATTGTGAATATTTGATACATCTCTCCTTCTTACCTTCATTTGACTATTTGTTAGCTCTGTAAGTAAGTCTCTGTTCACACTAAACTTACGCTTTGCAGGTCTGTTAAATCGAAGTTTGTCTTTCTCCACAGGAATTTCAACACTGTACCCATTTTCAACTTAAATATTAGATATAGCAATTAAAATATATACAGGAAATACAGGATTTGTAAACATATTGTTGTTACATACATAATAACATAATACATAATTACAACATAAATGATCTTTAACTATCATTATCAAATAATATTTCTCAGTACTTAAGATAAAACATCAAAATAAACTAATGAAATAGAAAAAAGAAAGGTTTTGAAACTGAGAATGTTGATTATTTATAAAGCTCAAGTAACAGTTGCCTATGATTATTATTACGCGATGATCCATGCCCTAAAATAACAGCAAAAAATATTTATTTAAAAGGGATTTGGTATGGATATACCAGTTAAATAGACATGTTTATATTTCAATAAGTACATGTAGTATTTATTTATTTCACATATTCAAACTTACATCTGGCTATAACGTTCGTGAATTCTAGTGGAAACATACTCTTACTCAAATCTGCAAATTTAATAAAACCTACTGCATTATAAACAAGATAACATATCAATATGGAAAATTGCAAAGCAGCTGTTTCTACTTCCCCTACGTCCCTTGCACCAAATCAACGCAGAATTCTATGGAAAGCCTTGACTGTCTTATGATTATAAAATTAAACGTTATAGTGTTACTCTTTCATTATTTAATTTGCACTTGTGGATGCATCCTTATATGAATTCAACTGAACAATATATGATGTCAATGTGTCTTTATATGATGTCGACCAATCATTATACGTTGTGCATTTATGAATGTATTCTGTGGTAGCATCATTATATAATGTCAACTTATCAACTTATCTAATGATCGCTAGCTGCATGGGTTCAAACCCCGTCAGAGGCAAGTCGTTGTTTCCTTGACAAAGAAACTTTACACTCATTGCTCGGCACTGGTTGGTTCCAGGAACGGTTTCGAAAGTGTGCCTATAAGCTTATAGCATCCTATACAATCGAACTAAAATAAATTCTGTATAAACCAACTTATCAATATATTATGTCAATCGTTCATGACACGATGTGAATCTATTTTTACACGACCGCTGCGTTATATGAAGTGCAAACATCATTATATCGTGTGATTTTGTCATTATACTGATGGGGTTAAATTTACCGGGTTATACATTTGTATCTCACCATGCACAGTTGGTGGCGGGAACTGTCTATATCCCAACGTGATAAAATCTCAAGACTTAAGGTTTTAAAACGCTGACGACTTGTTAAGTTGACTCTATATAAAGACGATTGTATATAATATAGTTTTTTGGCTCTATATAAGAATGGTTCTACATAATGTATTATCATTAAGGGGCCTCCGTGGCCGAGTGGTTAAAGTCGTTGACTTGAGATCACAGGTCCCTCACCACTGTAGGTTCGATCCTCACTCGGGTCGAAATCTTTCATGTGAGGAAGCCATCCAGCTGGCTTACGGAAGGTCGGTGGTTCTACCCAGGTGCCCGCTCGTGCCTGAAATAATGCCCGGAGAAGCTGGAAAAAATCGACGAAAAATCTCGGCGGGACACTCTAGGATGACCCGACTTGAGTGTCCGATCGCCCATATGGGCTATCCGGCGGCGACCTTAAATAAACGCATAAAAAAATGTATTATCATTAATGCACATCGTATTATGAAGGATTGACATCATATACGGACAGATTTGTTAAATTGACTCTATGTAAAGACGATTCTACATAATAAAGTGTTGCTTTGATTCTATAAGAATGGTTCAACATAATATATTCGTAATTGCACATCATATAATGAAAGAGTGGCATTATATAAAGACAGATTGACATAATATATTGTTATTATGACTCTATATAAAGATGGTTCCACATAATATATTCATTAACTCACATCGTATAATGAAAGACTGGCATCATATAATGAGACATGTGCATCATATATTGCTAAGTTGACTCTATGTAAGGACGATACCTCATTATATACTGGTATTTTGACTCTATATAAGAATGGTTTCACATAATATACTGAAAATGTACATCGTATATTTATAGATTGGCATAATGTAAGGAAACATTGACATCACATACTGTTGACTGTATATAAAGATGGTTCCACATAATATATTCATAACTTCACGTCTTATAATGACAGACTGGCTTCATATAAGGACAGATTGACATAATATATAGTTATTTTGAAATTATAAAAGGATGGTTCCACATAATATATTCAAAAATGCACATCTTCACATCATATTATAAAGACACATTGATATTATATACTGTTTAGTTGACTATATTTTACGTTCCACATAATATATTCATGAGTGCACATTGTAGAAGGAAAGGTTGACTCAATATATTGCTTTTTGGACATAACAACATTTAGGTTTATTCAGTCAAGCCTTTCCATAGAATTCAGCGTTTCAATCAAAAGTGGTGAATTTCAAAACTTCAGCAGATGTATTTTATAGTGATCATTTTAGTGATCACAGACTCTTTCTTTTTAGATGGTCATTAATAGTTTTAACATTTTTAAAAGAAACATTTAAGATAAAATCAATGATGAATTTATCACAGGGAAATCTGTCATTTTTTATTAAATCTATATATATTTAATATAAACAACGGATACAAGTCGTGGCCTCGCACTACCAGCACGGGTTCGTAAAATGCATTCACACGTGTAAACTGTATAAAATATCCTCTATTCCATCAAAGTTATTGTAGAAGTTAATATATGAACGAGTCATTACCCAAGTTCTACTACAAACACTTCATTAAAACCTGTAACATTGCAGAAAATAGCTAACATTTCAATATTTACATTGGCTGTCAAGTTGTCGTCCATTTTGCAGGTGTATCTAGGGGGCAGGGGACCTAAAATGAACAATTTTGTATTTCAGTGTGACCAGAAACACAATTCCAAATATTTCAAAATCTGTTTCACAGGCAGATAACCAGTTGCACAGCATTATTCAATAATATATGACATACATTGAAGAAAATAATAGTTTGCATGCATTGCTCCTTCAAAAACTGACTGACAGCAATTTATATTTACCCCCACCCAGCCAAATTCACACCTAAAATATACCAATATGGGCAATCTTCATGAAGGTGCAGCATACCCCAGAATCCGCCCGATTCCTTTAAAAATATCAGTAACACGCAGTGCAAGCTATGGCATTTTCAGAAATGACCAATAAAGTGTCTGTCATACGTTTAGATTTTTCACAAAATTTATCTGAAATTTCTTACTTGTTTGGCACCAACTGTCAAAGCTTGACTTTTAACTTTTTCACCTCCATTTGGAGAGTCAGAAAGACATACAAAGCTACCAAAATGCTTAGTTTCGGGTAAAAAACCCAAAAATACTTCTCATTTCCAACTCACAAACAAGAAAGAATTACAACAGAAGAAATCAGTACCTTCAAAACACCATGTCTGAGTTATTAAAAAATTTGACCAGGGCTATCATTCGAATATGTCCCCTGCCCCCTTATGTTCCGAGTATTTTCATTGGCTGATGAAAAAAACGCTATTCGTCGCGGCTATATGCCGTTATTATCCGGATAATTATTATTCATTAGCCAATGAAATTGACAGTTACTAACAGAAGTTAGATTTACGCATTGGAACATACGGGCAACATCAAAATGGAAGCCGAGGATAGAAATTATCAAAACAAACATAAATTGTTACAATAATCTGTACCAGAAGTTAATGATTGCATCATTGATGGTGGTGGATAATTGATATTTAACCGATTACATGATTAAACTTTCTTATGGTCTCAACCCGGTACGGAATCTAGAAAGTAGTTCTTTTAAATTTTGAAATGGCCTATTTCAAGTCATCTTAATTGATACTGGTTATATTTTAAGTATATCTTTAGTAATTGTGTACATAAAGTTTCATTTCTGAGTACTTTAAAGGTTGTTTTTGATGTATTTTTGCAGGATTTCATTTCTGGGTGGAAGGTTTCAGCAGGCACTATGCACAAGAATACACACCAGTTACTATTTGGAATAATCTATAGTGATTACAGAAATTAAAAGCTGCAGAAAAACTCCAAGGGCTAATGTATTATTTTTTGTGCTGAATTTACTAGGACTGCATTGTTGTTTAAAGAAATGGTCATGAAGTTTCGGTACCGGATTTGCTTTGTGCAGAATTTAGCCTTAAATGTAATGGATTTACTATAGGATATATGGGTCGAAAATTCAGTGGGCCGTCTCCTAAATATGAGCATACGTTTGCATAAAATGTCGTTTTACACGTGTAATTTTACAAACCGAAATTTTACGAACGTGTGTAAAAATGAAACATGAAAGGTCATTTTTAAAAATATCTTGTCCATGTAACAAAGTGAGTCATTTTTTTTTAAATTATCGACTCTTTCATCAATGTCCAACAATCAGAAGGAATAAAACTGTTGTATACTGCGTTGTATTTACTTTTTCATGAATTGAGCAATTTTGAGTTGTATCCCTTGCTATATCATATATATAGTGGGAAAGGAAAAAAATGACAGAATCCCCTGTGGAATTTATAACATATACAGATTTTCAAAATACAACCTTATCATTTTTCAATAAAATCAACACAAAAACAAGGCTTATCTTTTATTCACAAGGTATATTTAATAAATACTTACCCAAACTATCTACGGATTCTGCTATTTTACTGGCTACCCCAGCTGCATCGACACATCTTGCATTAACAAACGTTAGAAATGAAAGAAGAGAGAATGTTTCTTCTCCAACATCTTCAAGAATAACTGGAACTATACATGGAATTTTCTCATCGAATGATGCGGCTAAAGCAATCTTTTGTTGATAACTACACCATTCGTCGTTTGTATAGCGCTGGGACATGAATAATACAACTTTTACTGACTCTTTCATTCCCGCTTTCATGAAATTAAACTTGTCCACACCAGGGTAACAATCAACTACATCATATAAACATTTCAAGTGGAAACGTTCTTTCAGTACGATGACAATTTCTTCAACCTGTTCACGATCGTCCTCGGCAGCTATGATATAGAAGTAATACTTCTTTCCTGCTGGTAACTTTAGGCATTTGTGTCTTAAATTCCGATTCCTTTCGTTATTCAAATCTGCCATTGTTTTCGAATTTCACTGTGAATTTGTTATTCAATTCCCTAAAATCGTTTTCATATAGCTTCAAACAATAGATTATGTCTATAGCACGTGTTTTATTAAACAATATATATACGAGTTTCAATAATTATTATATCGAGTGTTATTTACCTGTAACGCATGTCATTCAGTTTATAAATGAAAACGAAAGTTGGAAAACCCACCTTGTACTTTTGATATTGAAAATGGAAATCAAATACTACTCTCTGTGCATTATTCATTCATTTGCGATAATTCAAGTAAGTATATTCATAATAGAAATTATGTTTGATATTGTTATCGTAATACATTATCCAAGCTAACGATGTTTCTATCAACAAACAAGTATTCTATGGAAAGATTGGTATGATATTTTGAATATTTTAATATCATTTCTTTGTTTATACTATACAAAAAAAACACAAACGATTGTATGCAACAAATCTAGACACTAACCTTTTTAGTTTAAACATATTTATTCAGCAAATTTACAAACAAGTATTCTATGGAAAAACTGGTATGATATTTTATGGTTTCTTTTCAGTAATAATTCTTTCTTTATATAACTCTAGACCGAAAACCATTAAAAGATTGTATGCTACAAATATTAAATCAACAAATCTAAACACTAACCTATTTAGTTTAAGCATATTATTATTTAGCAAATTTACAAAGAGTATCATTTTACATCACACTATACAAATGTATACGGATTGGAAAACAAGCGTAACACTTGCCTAACTTCCTTTCTATTAACTTATTTATGCATGTTAAAAACTATTGCGTGCGGTAGTATATATTTATGAAAAAAGAGCAGAGCTTTCATATACATGCGAAATCAAATACAATGTGATTTGTATCTCGCTTTTTTTCCCCTTTTTTTGTTACCATGGAAATCTCGCTACTATGTTTGTTCCCTTGATTAAAAGAGCAATTAAGTTGGTTATTGATAATGATAATTTGGTTATTTATATTTGTTTTAATTTAGTTTCCAATACCTATAAAAGGTATATAAATGCTATATTGGTCAATGCTTTCAAATATCGTCTGTTGTCTAGTAAATGTACATGTTTTTGTCTTACAGAAAACCTTCGTCTGCTGTAAAACACAAACTGGAGAACGTGAAAGACTGCTTAATATCAATACAGATGATGATACACCTAATTATAATAGTTTACCGTAAAGGGTATAAAGCTACATTATTTGTATATTAGACTGTCATTTTGCAACATATTTTGTTTATATCTTGATAAAAAAAAGATCCCAAATTGCCTAAATTGAAAGAAATTCTACTTGTAAATTTCTGAATGGGTATTAGAAAATCCATGTTTAAACCTATCTAAAAAATCACAGCGGGATCTTCTATTATGTTCTTTTTTATAATTTATGTGTTTATAATAGCATTGTGAAACTTTTTTGTGTTAACTCATTTCAAATATGATTAAAAGAATATGAAAACCACCTGATTGTATTTGTTCTTTATATTTTTCAATTTAAAAAATACTCAAATACCATATGCAGCTGACAGTCGAATGACAATGTCATTAAAAAAAAATTGAGGGTTATTCCACTTACTAGCCGAAGTAAAAATGTTGCCGTTAAAAGCGCTATATTTTCTCAAAACGAATAGATATTTACATCTTTTAGAATGCAAACATGAGCTTTATATCGTTTAAATAATGGTTTAAAGCATTTTAGGAATTGCTTGTTACCTTAAAGAAAAATGGTGCTTAATGTTTGTTTTTTGTCATAAAATTAGCAAATTTGAACAAAGAAGTATTTTGACTACGGTACAAAATAGCAAAAGACATGATTGTACTTAATTTGACAAAAAATCAACGGAGAAAAGGATGGCTTTAGGTAGTTTGGCTGATGAGCAACTTTTTTAAAACTATAAATGTACACAAAAATATTTTTGAGCAATACAAAATTAAAGTATAATGGGGCAGAATCGGTCTATTACGATATCTATAAATGTCTAAATACATGTAAATTAATGTTGTTGTTGTTTTTTTTTTTTTTTTGCTTTAAACTGGCTACCTTTTTTTATGCAGTAACAAGGATATTTTCTGATTTTTTTTTAAATATACAAATATTAAAAAAATGGTGTTATTAAAACGGGTAAAGCCCCGAAGATAACAATGCTTTATGAATTCAAAAAGGGCTAGAAAAGAAAGTATAAAAAAAAATAAATTTTAAAAATTGTTTTTTATCTCGAATTTTTACAAAAAACATACACTTTCAGTCCAATCAATGTAACATATAGATTCAGGGTTTTTAAAGGGGGTAACGTTTGTGTAATTCTGAAAAGGAACATGCATTAATCATGGCTTTCTTGGTTAAAGCAAAAAAAATTATCTCGGGAAAAAAAACTTGACAAAATTTTAAAAGGGAAAACAGACCCACTAAGCGGGAGACAGATGAACCCTGTTTGAGAGCTTTTTGGCCCCCCCGTAAAAAAATAACGGGCAAAATTCGCTTCTTAGGAACGACTCACATGTTATTCATAAGGTACATGGACAAAGGTATTATTTTTTGCCATATTATAACCAAATTTAACTCCGAAATATCGACTTTTTAAAATCATTTTGCTATTTTGTGAACGGCGTTGTCCCTGACTCACATTGGCGTTTTTCAAATGTTTCTATTTCTTTAAGTTTTGCGAACTGTCAGGTCGGTATTCCATAGTTCCATGCTTCATGGTCTTCAAATCGGTCATGTTGTAATGTATTTAAACCCCTTCAAAGTAAGTACAAGTATGAAAAGAAATACGTATATAATACATGTACATCTGTTTTTTTATATTGAAATTATTGGAGTGACAATTTTGACATCTAATGTATTTAAAACATAACATTTTGAGTTAATTTTCTTACCTTCATCTCTGAATAAATTAATAAATAATCTCTGTTAAGCTTGCTTTTTATCTTGATAATAATAATATTACCTTAAATACTAAAAGAATTAATTAGCGTAAAATTTATGAGAAAAGAAATTAACAATGGAATAAATCTTTACTTCAAACTATTCTAAGTGAAACTATCTGGAAAAACGTGATCAAAATAAAAAGATAAACAGGAAACATTAAAGAACTCTTTATGGCAAAAGTGAAAGTAACAGGTTGAAATGATTGAGATGAGATGTATATATCAATAATAGTGAGAGTTATAAGGGATATTAAAGGAAACAGCCTTAATAAGTTGATTTTTCTGTCCGACCTAGTTCATGCACAGAGGGGCACCTGAGGTCTTCGACCACTAGAAAAGTTTGGGAAAAAACATCATATGGCCTTTAAAGTACCGGTTGAACATTAAAACGAATCAACATGCCTTTACAAATGCTTCATATACAACTAAATGTGCATACATAATGTTATAAAATGATCTCTATAAATGATATAAATTATAATTGAATAACACATGATGTCTTTCAATACGACAAGCTTAATATGTTATGTTAAAACGCGTATCTTAACGGAAAAAAGTGTCATGGGGTGCGTTTTGTTTGATATTGCAACTTTTGTTGTTTAGATTCTTAAAAAATGCATGCTTAATGTAAACTTGTTCCTGGTGTCTGAACTTCAGAAGTTAAAATATTCTACATATGCTCTATTCTGGTAACTTTACAACGGTATCTAACACTGATAAATGAAAGATAATTCTTGCATCTACCAGGGAAACACTGGGCTGCATCGATGTGAATTGATCCATTATAGTAATTGTATACCACTCGTTGTAAACAACGTTTAGATGTACCGTGCCTGTTATTTTTTAGCCTTTTATTTCATATATATGAACTATATTTGAATAAAAGCGATGTTTTAATTTCACTAGTGTTATGACGTCTTTGTAAGTATATTTGTCTGTCACGCCAGTCTTTTCGAACAAATTCTAGCCGAAACCATTATTATAGACGCAGTGTCAAATGATGTTTGTTCTTTCGACAAGTGAGAGACATCGTTCTATTCTTTGACAGAGACATTCTTTTCCTTTTCTAAGGGTATGTCGGTTCTGTGATGCATCAGGCAGGTCGTCGTAATTCAAGGTCATGACTTTTGATATTTCGGCAGTATGAATTTCAATCAAATTCAAAGCGTATTCCTGAAAAATAGAAAAATAATTATTGAATGTTTAAGAGTATATTAAATGCTTTTAAACTTTTTTTAGAAATAAACATCGAATAAAAATATTGGGTGAAACGTTTTTTTTTCCTTTTATTGAATTATAATACATGCTTAACATCATGAAAGCATTTTAGCCTTGGCATAAGAAATTCGCCCTCTTCAAATAATGTTGTAAGTTTTACGTGTCATACTGGAGTTTTACAAATAAAGATAATCTTCTCGCACACTAGACAGAATACAAACCTTTGGGCTGATGTTCAAATCTGCAGGTAAAAGTTGGCGGCGTTCTTGGATAAAGTATTCCAAATAGTCCTGAAAAAAAGCAAAGTGATAATAAAAAAAACATTCAAATATTTTTCCTTTACTCTCTGGTATAAATGTTTACTCTCAGATAAATGTCCAGAACTTTAAAAAATGATTTAAAACATTTATTTGGCTTAATCAGCGTCTAATTAAGAATAAAATAGAGACACTAAATAGGCACATGTGTGTTTGGACGGAATTATGTACTTTTCTTTAGTCTCACCATAAACCAGTCTCTAAGCTAGAACTTCGTCCTTGATATTACTCGAACAAAATATTATTTTCATTATTGTTTTAGATGACACATTTTCGCCGATTGCTTTTGTGTGTGTGTTTTTTTCCATTTGACAGAGTTTCGTATTTGCACACGTTATACAAAGCTGTCTAGGATCTAAGTTAAAGGGACTCCACTGAGGTTTTTGGACATGATGGGACTGAAAATATTTTTTCCAGATAAATGTACCATTTGATTCGGTTAAGATCACTAATCTTTGTGCAAAATTTCAGATCATTGGCGCACTTCGTTTTTCCAGAATAATTATTCAAATTGTAAAAACATGACCCATGAGAGAGTTTCATATAAGCTCCAAGATTTTTACTCAATCCTGAATGCAATTTATATATAAGAATTAAAGATATAAATATACAGTCAACACTCACCTGACATTTGCTAAAATTGTATCTGACCACTTGAAGCTAGTTAACCAGGTTAAGTATTGTCAATGATAAAATAGAGAGAAAACCAAACACAGCAAAATAATGCGGTATACGTACAGGTTTTCCTATTTCTGGGTACCCTTGCATTGTCTTACCGTTTTGCTTTTTCAAGCCGACACACACAAAGAAAACATTGTATCTTACACTTAATAGTATTACATTTCAATGTACCCTTTCCTCTTAAGCAAATATAAAGTTATCATTGTTATAAGAACATTATATATGACATTTCCAGTAAGTTATGGTGTCCGTGTCATTTTCAGAAACTAAAAAAGCCGAATCATCATCAGCCGTAATCAAAATTAGAATGAGACGTTGTATTTTGGAAAATAAAAAGCTCAAAACGAGCAAATGAGTCCATCAGTCATTCAAACATAAAATATGAACTTATATAAGCATTGATCTGTAAAGAGTTGTTTTCACAGCATTCAGCAAATCATTACAATCATTTTTTTATATACATCATCACATACATGACATATGTAAACTGTAACGTACAGGTCTGTTACAGCAACATAAATACTGTTTAAACCTATTATTGAGATTGTCATCCAATTTCACTTGCTTCAAGAAATTTATGAAATAAACTTTTGAAAAATAAACACAAAAGATTATAAAAGGGTAATATTCTTTACATTCCAGATAACAAACATTGCTTACTGACACAAAAATCCTTCAGAAATAATACTAGGAATATTTAAAGCATACAGTGTGGCTGTACTTAATATCTTTATACATTGTACACTTATATTTTACAGGAATATGATTTCGCACCGAATTTTTAAACGTATTCATATTGGTGGACATAGACACATGATGGTTGTACGTTTGTACAGCTGGAATGAAAGTTTAACAGATAAATAGTGTTTGGAGTTACATCTAAAATGAAGGTTTTATTTTTTGCGAGTATAAATGAGTTACAATTGTGAATTTCTACAAATATCTGTTCATGACTTGTTAATGATAGAGTATGAAAACGAAATACATTTCCGTCATGCAAGGACATCTCATTATAAAAATCGGTTGTTCTTTAAAAAGAAATATTGTTTAAATCTAAACAATCTAAGATCAGATTTCAAAATATGATTTTTAAGGATACGCTCGGTTCGCGATTCTTTCGTCCCGAGAAAACAATGATGACGTCATTACTGATGCATCTTCTTAAAAACTGGCTGCATATTTTCATCTGGAGGTCTATGTCGAACTGTTAAAATGGTATATTACATAACAATTTTCAAAGATAATAAGATTCATTTTGACTTATTAGATGCATTTATGAATATATATGGAAAGCAGTGCAAAACAATCATTTCTATTAACAATGTCTTTGTGAATTTTGCATTTGAGATTCAATTTACACAACTATAATAAGTCTTATAAAATGAAATAATTAGGATATACCAATCATAAAGACAACACTGAACTGAATTCAATATCAAGTAAATAAAAAGTGATCCTCATAATTAATTTGAAAAATTTTTATAATGTCAGGGTTCAGGTTGGAAATTTAAATACTTCTTAAATTTTTTTTTTTCATGGTCAAACCTCAGATGCCCCAATGCAAAAACGATATTGGGCAGATTAAAATTTTTAAAATTAAGTAAAAAATTGACAACATTTTTTAAATTCCATCACAAAACAGAACTATGGGTTCGTCATAAAAAATTTAAGTTAAAAAACAATTGGAAAAACTGAGGTAAAAACGTAAACAAAGAGTTTTTTGTATAAAATTTCCTTTTTAACCCAAACTGAAAAAATGTTTTATTTAACTTTTCTCGGGGGGTAATATCTGGGGAAAACCAAAAACCAGTAAACCACAAATTTTTGAATGGAAATAAAAACAGCCCGCCCCTTTTTCATCATATAAATACGAAATAATAACGATATCTGGGCCGGGGCTCTAGTTGAAGTGGCTACTAGTACAATTAACGAAACCAGTGTTGGCCAATAATAAAAGCAATGGTATAAGTAAAACACTTCCCCAGCAAGCTATATTTCTTTTCTTCAAGAAGTCGTAGGTCTTCATTCACAGGATTCACTATTTACTAATGTACAACATCGCGCAAAAAGCTCTTCAGAAACCTATAATTAGATATACGTGTGTATAGTGCAATGGTTTAAATTCCGGACATGATATTTGTATACATTTTGTAACAATGAAAACGCACATGTCAAAGTATATTATCTTAAACAACAATTGGTCAACAAAGTTGAAAATATCAGATTCGTGTGCGCGCGCGTGCGTGCGTGCGCGCGCGTGTGTGTGTGTGTGTGTGTGTGTGTGTGTGTGTTAAAAATCGATCATTGAAAGTGCAGCATCATACTACTATTCAATCCTTTTTCGCAGGAAGTCCAAATGAAAAAAGTACAATGTATTTAAGTCACAACGATTTGCAAACTGTCTGCCTCTTATTTGCATTTTGCTTGGAAATGTGAGAGAGGGGAAAAGTGAATTTTTAAATACTTAGATATGTCCTCAAAGAGATTCAGGAATCTTGTTAATGAATTTCATAATAGGTCAGCATGAAACTTTCTTCCAAATATCTACAGTTATGACAGTAAACAATATGCTCTTTATTTAACCATGACTCAATTTCTTTGAAGAAGTGCTTTTCTTTTGAAACAGATCTTACCATTGAATTGTCTGATGTAATGTTAATGCAGTGCTATGGGATATTAAAACTATTGCTCTTTCTTTTTTAGTAATACACATACTAAATAAAACCGAGAGTCTAAAATTGTCAACTATTTGTTTTATTTTTAATTGCTTTCAAGGGATCTCCTTTTTAAGACATGCTGTGTGCTGTTCAAAGTATTATTAATGATAGAAACATGAAAAAACTATATATGTTATAAATGTTCAAAGAAAGAAATGTGAATTTTTTTTTCTTACCTTCATTTGACTATTTGTTAGCTCTGTAAGTAAGTCTCTGTTCACGTGAAACTTACGCTTTGCAGGTCTGTTAAATCGAAGTATGTCTTTCTCGACAGGAATTTCAACACTGTACCCATTTTCAACTTAAACATTAGATATAGAAATAATAAAAATACTATTATATGAAAAAAGTTTAGATACCAACGTGAGTTGGGTCATATTAGTTACGACACCAAAAAGCCACATAGAACCATATTACTGCCGTGAGGTGTACCTTGTAGAGCACAGATAGACAGGGACCAAACACGGGTCGGACAAAATTTAATTGGCTTAGCTGGGAGATGACGAATAGTTCAACCTTGTAAGTATACATGTAATGTATAAAATTTGTCATCGTTTGATATACTAGTATATATATTGTACAATTCAGTTTTTGTAATTCTCTTTTCAGCTTCCTTACATTTTGTAAATCGAAAGAAAATATATTGCTGACAAGTTTTTTGTTTTGTTGTACATTTAATTTTTGTATAAAATTTTAGAATGGTATCACATACAGTTAAAAATCGGAAAACAGTAATAAAAATTTTCTAATATTAATCAAGAACAAATAAGAAATTATGAACTACCTGTCTAGTGACACGAGAACGAATTAGTTCTTTACTGACATTTTAGTTAGTCAATGAAATTCCCTGTTACACAAACTAATTGTGATTTACCATTATTCAAGTGATAAAAAATATATGTTTTATTTATATTACAATGCATATTTTGAATACAAGAAACAAATTACGGAATCAGAACATCCGTGCAATTTGTTAGATCTGAAATGCCTTTTTAAACAATTATTGTGTCCGGTGTCCAGATGGGTGACTTACTGGTCTTATTTTAGTCAAGAGTCATGTTCAGTTGACGGAGCTATCCCTTGTTTAACTTTTCATACTATTTTGTTTCATTTGTTAACTATCATTATCAAATGATATTTCTCATTACTAAAAATATAAAATGAATTAATGACATAGAAGAAAAAGTTTTGAAACTGAAGTTGCTGATTATTTATAAAGCTCATCCAAGTATACAAGTATCAGTTGCTTATGGCTATTATTACACGATGATCCAGGTCGTAAAATAAAAGCGAAAAATATTGAAAAGGACTTTGGTATGGATATACCAATTAAATAAACAGTATCATGTGTTTATATTTCAATAAGTACATGTATTTATTTATATAAGAAATCAATATTCAAACTTACATCTGGCTATAACGTTCGCGAATTCTAGTGGAAACATGCTCTTACTCAAATCTGCAAATTAAATAAAACCACATGCGTTATAAACAAGATAACATATCAATTGAAAACAGGCGTAGTCAACGCCCCTACGCCTCTTCAACCAATTAATCAAAGCAAAATTCAGCGTTTCAATCAAAAGTGCTGCATATTCGAATTTTAAAACTTCAGCAGATGTATTTTATAGTGATCATTTTTGTGATCATAGAACCTTTATTTTCAGATGGTCATTAATTAGTCATTTGTTGTAACAATGTTAAAGGCATTTAAGATAAAATATAAAAATTGATGATCAATTTATAACAAATTCAGATTGTTAAACTACCACCTTATTATTGCTTACCTCTATTAAGTAATAGAAAGAGCTCCGAAACACGAGGTTATCTGATTTGTACGAGGGGGCGTAGCCCCCGAGTATAAATCAGATTTCCGAGTGTTTTGGTGTTCTTTCTCTTTTGTATCATAGTCAAACATGCAGCACGTTCCCTGTTGTCATAATACGAAACCCCAGAATAATGAACCAATGAACGAGCATTTGAATTTGATATTTCTGTCCCTTTCCCTTTCTCTGCCGTCACAATAAGTAAACCCCAGCAAAAATGAACCAATCAACTGGCATTATCTGGATCGCGGGTAACTGATACCTGCACTCCAGTTACCGCACTGTGCATGTATATGTATACGATTTAACTCTGACACATTTTCAACAGAAAGGTTCCCAAACTATGATTCAAATAAGGAACTGTTTATATTTAACAATGTATATTTAATGAATACTTACCCAAACTCTCTACGGATTCTGCTATTTTACTGGCTACCCCAGCTGCATCGACACATCTTGCATTAACAAACTTTAGAAATGAAAGAAGAGAGAATGTTTCTTCTCCAACATCTTCAAGAATAATTTTATAACTGGAACTATACATGGAATTTTCTCATCGAATGATGCGGCTAAAGCAATCTTTTGTTGATAACTGCACCATTCGTCGTTTGTATAGCGCTGTGACAGGAATAATACAACTTTTACTGACTCTTTCATTCCCGCTTTCATGAAATTAAACTTGTCCACACCAGGATAACAATCAACTACATCATACAAACATTTCAAGTGGAAACGTTCTTTCAGTATAATGACTATTTCTTCAACCTGTTCACGATCGTCCTCGGCAGCTACGATATAGAAATAATACTTTTTTCCTGTTGGTAATTTCAGGCATTGATGTCTTAAATTCCGATTCAGTTCGTTATTTGAATCCGCCATTTTTCTCTTATTCCATTGTGAGTTTATCATTCAAATCACATAAAAATCGTATTTATAAAGCGTCATTCAAATGAATGTGTCCAACATACTTATCTAAACATTAATCAATATATACGCGAGTTTCAATGATTAACACGATTGAAATTCACCTATAAATAACACTTGCTTTTCAGACAAATGTAATGCGCATATAAAAAACGAAAGTAGGAAAACCCACCTCGTACTTTTGGATTCTTCTTATATTGAAAATGGAAAACAAATATTACTCTCTGTGCATTATTTATTCATTTGCGATAATTCAAGTACATGTAAGTATATTCATAATCGAAATTATGTTTGATATTGTTATCTTTGTAAATAATAATACATTTTAAAAGCTTACGCTTGATATAGTTAATTTTAACAAATTATTCTCTTATACAAGTTATATGGTAATTTATGACAAAAAGTAAATGCATTCGGTTTAATATTGACAATTACTCGTGTTTAAGAATTTTTTAAAATGCAAGGGAAATTTTTAAATTTTTTTTTTTTTTCGGTATTATGTGGATAAAAAAAAAATTAAAAATTCCTCTACATTCGGAAACGGGACGTAAAGTCTTGTAAAACTTTGGACAGGTTTTTTAAAGGGTCAGATTGTAAAATATTACTGAATGTAATTAACCGGTTCTGTCAAATAGACGATGCAAAGCAGCGTTGTCCCGTTGGCTATATTTATTTTACGATGAATGATGATGACTTTGATGGCTACCAAGGTTACCATTATACATTAGCAGACATTGATGAAAGTCCGTGTTACAATAAAAATACGTTTTATGTTCTAGTAGGTTTGATTGCTATCTTGAATGGGGTTTACATTGTGTTCGTAAAGATGTTTCTATCAACGAACAAGTATTCTTTGGAAAAACTGGTATGACATTTTAAATATTTAAATATCATTTCTTCGTTTACACTACACCAAAAAACGACAACAAATCTAGACACTAACATTTTTAGTTTAAACATATTTATTCAGCAAATATACAAACAAGTATTCTTTGGAAAAACTGGTATGATATTTTATGGTTTCTTTTCAGTAATAATTCTTTCTTTGTATAACTCTAGACCGAAAATCATTAAAAGATTGTATGCTACAAATATTAAATCAACAAATCTAAACACTAACCTATTTAGTTTAAGCATATTATTATTTAGCAAATTTACAAGCGTGTATCATTTTACTTCACAATATACAAATGTATACGGTTATGAAAACAAGCGTAACACTTGCATAACTTCCTTTCTATTAACTTATTTATGCATGTTAAAAACTATTGCGTGCGGTAGTATATATTGATGCAAAAAGAGCAAAGCTTTCATACATGCAAATTCAGATACGATATTATTGTATCTCGCTGTTTTGTGTGTGATTTGTGTGTGTGTTTTTATGTTACCATAGGAAATCTTGCTGCTATTTTTTTGTTCCAGTGATAAAAGAGAATTTAAGCTTGTTATTAATAATAATGATTAGTGGTTATTTATATTTTTTCTTTTGCTTTGAAATGATAAAAACACAGTAGATGGACACACATTCGTCGTTGACTATTTACAACTGTACCGTTTTACTAACTTTACAATTTGATATCTTTGTAATTTCATAAAGAAAACAAAGTATTATCTCACCAGAAAAAAACACATTGTTTTAAGTTAATTTCCAATACCTATAAAATGTATATAAATGCTATATTGGTCACCGTTTTAACTATCGTCTGTTGTCTAGTAAATGAACATGTATTTGTCTTACAGAAAACCGTTGTCTGCTGTAAAACACAATCTGGAGAACGTGAAAGACTGCTAAATATCAATACAGATGATGATACACCTAATTATAATAGTTTACCGTAAAGGGTATAAAGCTACATTTTTTTGTATATTGGACTGTCACTAATTTGCAACATATTTTGTTTGTATCTTGATAAAAAAAGATCCCAAAGTGCCTGAATTGAATGAAATTCTACTTGTAATTTTCTGATAAATTAAATGGGTATTAGAAAATGCATGTTTAAACCTATTAAAATCACGGCTATGTTCTCTTTTATAATTTATGTGTTTATAATAGCGGAGTGAACACTTTTTTGTGTTAACTCATTTCAGATATGATTAAAATAATATGAAAACCACCTGATTGTATTTGTTCTTTATATTTCAATTTACAAAATTTATCATTTTTTTCCATATCCTTTTATTCTATAAAACTTAAACAGTAATGCTATGCAAAACATAGAACTTTATTAACTTCTTTAGAAATGTCAAACATGGGTTAAATAATGCTTCAATAATTATGTTTTCTAATAATGGGTGTCTGTGTTAGTTTTAAGTTTTTGACTGTGTTATTTTTGTAAATTATTTTTACATTTTAAATATGTTAAATGTTTAACAGCTGAAGACACTAACGTTGAATGTGCAGTAATGTGTCGTAAATATAGCAAAATACTAATTCACTATGACTTATAGAAAAATACTTATTCACTATGACTATACAATTACTTAGAGAGAAAAGAAGCAAAGATTATTCGTCTATAAATTATGGCAAATGGTTATTTTTTTCGAAACTGTAACAAGAAATAAAAAAAAGAAAGGTTTTGAGAAATAAAAATGATAGTATTTCTGAGGCATAATTGGCCTGTTATGAGCTTAAGACAGTGATGATAATATTATGTATGTTATGCTTTGTTATGTAATAGATATGCTGGTTACATAGCTCAATAAGCTACTTGTACAGACGAAATGTTCACATTGTATTTTCTTTTACTATCAAAGCCGTTGGAACCTTTACTTCTTTGGGAAGAAGAAAATAACAATAAATATGTTCACATGATTTAGTACTAGTAAGTACACAAATTCAAATTTCGGAGATAGTTAGATGAAAATATCCACTTAAAACACTGCAATTGAGACATATCTTCTACTACTTTGATGTCATTACATAACTAACCCTGTCAGTGCGGGAACAGATGAAAACACTGCTCACCCTTATCCTTCCCGCTATACACTGCCTTTCACCGGGATGGGTTGTTCATGGTAAAACTGACTGCTGCATTGCCCGCGCTTATTCGACTGTTCTAAAGGCATATTAATTTTATAGATAATCAACTTGCTGTGAAGCTTTATGCTTATGATTATAAAAAATCACCAAAATATATGTCATTTTCTGTTCCAGATAACATGGATTAAAGACAAGAATAACATGAAGAAGACCTCGTCACGTGAAGTTTTAGTATGCAATGGAGACGTCGTAGATTACGGACTTTGTGAGGGTTAAGTTAAACAGATATGCTGCGCATAAATTTGTCAATTCATATTAAATTTATTGCATAAGATGAAGTAGTTAGCGTGAATATGAAATATCAGTACAACTGTAATGAAATACATCATTAACAATAGATCTACTCGTTAAAGGAAAAGGAGTCATTCAAACAGATCTGTATAAAAAATATCAAAGTTTTCTCGTCATTTAGGAAATATATATTCAGAAAGTAATGTTCAATAACGGTTTGCAATCAGCGTTAAATGTAAATTTAAGATGTTGAAACTATCGAAGATTTACAGAAAATGTTGTCGGACATGTTCTCTTCAAGCAGTTTTTTCAGTGACGACATTGCAGAATTACATGCCCATGATAAAACTATCACTCCATCGCATGCTCAGGTTAATACGGGACATATATCACCTGTTACCCATTTTCAAGTATCTGATGCTTCACCTTTTATTCCTGCTCATCAGCCACGTAAAGAAAAGCATGTTGCCCGTAGAAAAAATCCGTGCTTTCAATTTCTAGACGTAGAAATGTTGAAAAGGTGTGCCATCCTCCTGGCTATGTTGAAACCAAGAAAGAAGGTGAAAAGACACGTACTGCAAGGAAAACGACTTCTTAGACTCCTTCTAATAATTATACGAAGCAAAACCTCCTGATGTGGTCTTCTTCGGCTGACGACTTTCAGTAATTAATACAACACCAAGATTTAATTAATGTACATAATGTATATACATATATAGGAGGTTTCCTGAATTAGCGTTGTCTTAACGTTTTCCTTTCTAACAGCATTGCTGTTAAATATAATATTTGTAAAAATATACATTTTAAGATAAAGTATGTCTACTGAAAAACAGAACTTTGTACATAAATTGAAGCAAAGACTTGGATTCAATACGAGTTTATGTTATGACAGATGACAGCTGTTGAATTGTGGGTAAGCGAAATTTACATAATTTTTTTTTAGAAGCTAGCGTCTGTGTGATCCCGATTATCACTAAAAGTGAAGTCCGACATTTGTTTACAGTAGAAGAAATAAATTAGTCCCGGGGGACTATTCCGGGATATTGTCGGAATTCGGATACGCCCTCGTGATATAATGATGCGCATGCGAACGACAAACAGTGATGTTATCAAGCGGTAAAATCACCTATTTGCTTTAAAATCATTGAAGAGCTTTAATCAAGAAACATATATGGCATATTGAATCAACTATAATTTATACGAATTTATTGTAGTTCGATTATGTGCAAGATATAAGCTTATAGAAACACTCTCAAATCTGTTTCTGTATCTTCAGTAAGTCAATGGTTAATTGATAATAAGTTATCTTGCACTTAGGTAAAACTGAGTCCATTGTGGTTGGATCTAAACAAAAACTCAGGTCACATTCCAAATTAAATATAAATTGTAACGGCACTGCAATAGAAGCGTCCACATCTATCAAATGCCTTGGGGTAACTATTGATCAGTACCTGTCCTTTGGGTTCATGACAGACTCAGATTCAGAGGGCTAACGCCAGGTTAAAGTTCCTTTACCGTAAGAAAGATTTCCTTACACAGCATACCAAAAAACTGCTAGCCAATTCCTTAATTCAGTGTTACTTTGACTATGCCTGCTGTGTCTGGTATAATGGTTTAACTCGGGTATTGAAAAATAAATTACAGACAACACAAAATAAAATGATGTGATTTGTACTAAACCTTGATCCCAGAGTTCATATTGCCCCTTCCCATTTTTAATCCCTTAATTGGTTACCAGTTTGTAAGAGAGTTGAACAAATTATGTTATGTCATGTTTTTAAGGTTAAAAACCAAATGGCCCCAGAGTACTTAAGTAATTGTTTTGTTTCTCAGGAATCTATGCATTCTTATTGTACCAGACTGAGTAAGAAAGGAGGGTATTGTCTTCCTAAGGTTAAGGTTTTGGGTCAAAAGCTTTTAGTTTTATTGGTGCTTATCTCTGGAACAGTCTTCCAACTTGTATGACTGAAATTAACAAATTTCATTGTTTTAAGGTAGCCATCAAAAGTCACTTTTTAAGTAGCATGTAAGTGTTTTTTTTAAATTTCTTGCAATAAAATTTTATATGTCTTCATTTTTTTTATTGAATTATTTCTTGGCTCAGCTTTATTGTTTCATTTTTTGAAATTTGTTTTAATTTTTTATTAAGACTTTAAAAACTTTCTTCTTTTTTTTGAATAGTGTAATCTATGGCATGTTTTTTCTTACATACTCATAACTGTATGATCATATTTTAGTTACTCTTAATACACGATGGTCCCTGTGATAATAAATCGCAATTATCCTTCAAACAGTGATAATTTTTTGATGTTATCTTTTCTTAATATGCACATGATTATTTCTTAATGTGATACTGACTTTTTAATGAATTACATTATTTTACATTTTAAATTGTGATAATTTCAAATGATATCCTTCATTAATGTGATTTTTCTTATAATAAGTGATATTTTTTTATCTTTTATGAAATACCTCTCTTTTTTCATATCTTGCATTTAATGAAAGTCTATAACGAAAGCTATATGTAAATTTTCAGATAGTTTTCAGAATAATTATTTTCATTTAAAAAAAATAGCTAAAATTGAAAAGCAATTAAACTCTTTTCTCTAAAATTTGGCATAGAATCCCTCTATATATATTCATTTTCAATTTTAATTCTGAATACATTGTAAATTTCATTAATATTTTTTCTCGTGTTCTTTCCTTGTTAGTGCCCCAGTTTATCAATGGAAGATTATCAAATTTTATGTTTTGGACCTCAGGGGATCCTTTTAAGGTTGCGAATAGTCCTTATCTTTGACCTTTTCTTTAACATAAGACCACAGTGACTTACACAATTAGTTAAAAATTAGATACAGAAAGATGAAAGTTGTAAATACTACATAAATTTAAGTAATACCACAAGGATATGATTGTGTCCACTCCAAAAAGGAGTATGTGTTACGAACGGAAGTATACAGTCAGAGGGATACATCATGCATGTTCACTCAGATTGTCTGTAGAATAGGAAAGGCAAAACATAATCAACATTCAAAATGTGTTCGGTATAATGAATATTTGATTGTGTATTATATAAACATTTATACAATAAGAAAAGAAATAATTATACATAAATGCTGGGTGATATTAGCGTGTTACTTTTACCCATTAACTAATTTTTAACTCCGCAGTAGAGGTATTGCTAAAAGGCGATTTTCCTCTGTGATCGTTCATGTTTGTCTTGTCCAGTAGGTCTTTAATGTTTTCAATTTATGATTTTTCCCCTATTTTGTGAACGATTTTGTCCCTTACTCACATTGGCGTTTTTAAATGTTTCTAATTTTATGCTTGATCGTCAGACCGGTATTCTATAGTTCCGTGCTTCATGGCCATCAGTCGTTAATTTTATGTCCAAAGTTTCGGGGGAAAATACGTATAATGACAATAGCTGAAGAATTTTGCAAAGATATGTATTAAATCAAAGCTGTACAAAATGTAATATTGTATTTAACCAATAAAAATCAAACAAGTATCAAAAATATTATCTACTACATGTAGTCCTTTTATCAAAATTATTGACAGAATAAACTCTGTCACATTAATCACTGAATAAATTACTTACAAAAACTTTTAAAGAGAACCGAAATCGGTTTTTCCTTAAGTATTATTTTCTAGTTCAATTAATTTATATAAAGAATGGGTCAGTCTTTTTATAATTCAGGCAGCTTTATATTTTATTCTAAACATTTTCCAACATCAACTGTTCGTCAATCACCATTTTAACAGTTAATGTTTTTAAAAAAATATATAATCAATTCAGCCTAACTTGACAATGATAAGACTGAGCATAACGTCACATAAATTAAATGAAATTTCTTCACAATAAAAAGATAAAATGGAAACCTAAAAACTCCCCACGGGAAAAGTGACAGGACTGGGATGATTGAAGTGACGTTGTATTAATAAAAAGAAGATGAAAAGGATTTTAAGGAACCAGTCATCTTTGACCGTCAGCCCGATCTAATCAAATTAACACACAGATTGGCACCTGATGTCTACCTTCACTAGTAAAGCTGGAAAAAAGTTACCATATGGCCTTTATAGCGCCGATTGGACTTTAAAACGAATCAACATTCTTTTGTAAATGCTTTACATACAAATAAACGTGCATACACAATATTGTTAAAGGTCTGTATAATGGTATAAATTATATTTGCATAGCACATGATGTCTTTCAATACGGCAAGCTGAAAATGTATTTATATGCTCTGTAAAAGTGCACATCTAAACGGAATCAGGTATCAGTTTGGCGTGCGTTGTTGTTTGATATGGCATCCTTTCCAGTCAAGTTTTTTTTCCTCATGGCCAAAAATGTACATGTATATTTAAGAAAACTTTGTGTCTGAACTTCACCTCAATAAATGAAAAATCCTACAGTTATGTGATAAAAACCAAATCATCTGTTTTTGGTAACTGACTTTACAACGGTATCTGATACACTGACAAATGAATGATTAGAAGTGAATACATATTCTTACATCTATCAAGAAAACACTGGGCTGCATCGGCGTGATTTGATCCATAATAGTTACTGTATATCACTCATTGTAATAAAAAAACTTTTACATATACCATGACCGTTTCCTTGTGTTTTTTTTTAATTTCTTATCTATGAACTATATTCGAATGAAAGCGATGTTTTAATTTCACAAGTGTTATAACGTCTTTATAAGCATAATTTGCCGGTTCTGTCTTTTCGAAAACACTCTAGACAAAACAAACATTTTACGAGCAGTGTCAAATGATGTTTGTTCTCTCGACATGTGAGAGACATCTTTCTATTCTTTGACAGAGACATTCTTTTCCTTTCCTAAGGGTATGTCGGTTCTGTGATGCATCGGGCAGATCGTCGTAATTCAAGGTCATGACCTTTGATATTTCGGCAGTATGAATTTCAATCAAATTCAAAGCGTATTCCTGAAAAATAGAAAATAATTATTGAATGTATAAGAGTATATTAAATGCTTTTAAACTTTAAAAAAAAAACATCAAATAAAAATATTGGATGAAACGTGTATTTTCCTTTTATTGAATTATAATACATGCTTAACATCATGAAAGCATTTTAGCCTTGGCATAAGAAATTCGATCTCTTCAAATAATAGTGTAAGTTTTACGTGTCATACTGGAGTTTTACAAATAAAGATAATCTTCTCGCACACTAGACAGAATACAAACCTTTGGGCTGATGTTCAAATCTGCAGGGAAAAGGTGGCGGCGTTCTTGGATAAAGTATTCCAAATAGTCCTGAAAAAAAGCAAAGTGATATTAAAAAAAAAAACATTCAAATATTTTTCCTTTACCCTCTGGTATAAATGTTTACTCTCAGATAAATGTCCAGAACGTTAAAAAATGGTTTAAAACATTTATTTGGCTTAATCAGCGTCTAATTAAGAATAAAATAGAGACACTAAATAGGCACATGTGTGTTTGGACGGAATTATGTACTTTTCTTTAGTCTCACCATAAACCAGTCTCTAAGCCAGAACTTCGTCCTTGATATTACTCGAACAAAATATTATTTTCATTATTGTTTTAGATGACACATTTTCGCCGATTGCTTTTGTGTGTGTGTGTGTGTTTTTCATTTGACAGAGTCTCGTATTTGCACACGTTATACAAAGCTGTCTGGGATCTAAGTAAAAGGGACTCCACTGAGGTTTTTTGACATGATGGGACTGAAAATATTTTTTCCAGATAAATGCACCATTTGATTCGGTTAAGATCACTAATCTTTGTGCAAAATTTCAGATCATTGGCGCACTTCGTTTTTCCAGAATAATTATTCAAATTGTAAATACATGACCCATAAGAGAGTTTCATATAAGCTCCAAGCTTTTTACTCAATCCTGAATGCAATTTATATATTGTAATTTTGTCTGTAAGTATTAATGAAGAAATAAATATTGTTTAAACCAAAACATGACCCAAAATGAAAAGCGCTTAAACACTTTTCACTCAAATCGGGCTAAGAGAAGCATAAAAATACGACTTTTCAATTTATTTCAAAGTATATTTCTTAACTTTCTTTACATATATGTCTGTTTAAAGTGCCCCAGCTCATTTATAGAAGAAATTTTTAGGCCTTTAAACCTCTGTCAGTGGAGTCCCTTTAAGCAAGCATCTGTGTAACATTTGTGCAAATTTTATTGCTGAAATTAGAAAAATCGTGAAAAGAATAAGTATTGATATAGACATAAGAATTAAAGATATAAATATACAGTCAACACTCACCTGACATTTGCTAAAATTGTATCTGACCACTTGAAGCTAGTTAACCAGGTTAAGTATTGTCAATGATAAAATAGAGAGAAAACCAAACACAGCAAAATTGATAATAATGCGGTATACGTACAGGTTTTACTATTTCTGGGTACCCTTGAATTGTCTTACCGTTTTGCTTTTTCAAGCCGACACACACAAAGAAAGCATTGTATCTTACACTTGATAGTATTACATTTCAATGTACCCTTTCCTCTTAAGCAAATATAAAATTATAATTGTTATAAGAACATTATATATAACATTTCCAGTAAGTTACGGTGTCCATGTCATTTTCAGAAACTAGAAAAGTCGAATCATCATCAGCCTAATCAAAAGTAGAATGAGACGTTGTAGTTTGGTACATAAAAAGCTCAAAAACGAGCCAATTAGTCTATCAGCCATTCAAACATAAAATATGAACTTATATAAGCCTTGATCTGTAAAGAGTTGTTTTCACAGCATTCAGCAAATCATTACAATCATTTTTTATATACATCATCACATACATGACATATGTAAACTGTAACGTACAGGTCTGTTACAGCAACATAAATACTGTTTAAACTTATTATTGAGATTGTCATCCAATTACACTTGCTTCAAGAAATTTATTAAATAAACTTTTGAAAAATAAACACAAAAGATTATAAAAGGGTAATATTCTTTACATTCCAGTTAACAAATATTGCTTACTGACACAAAAATGCTTCAGAAATAATACAAGGAATTTTTAAAGCATACAGTGTGGCTGTTTTTAATATCTTTATACATTGTACACTTATATTTTACAGGAATATGAATTCGCACCGAATTTTTAAATGTATTTATATTGGTGGACATAGACACATGATGGTTGTACGTTTGTACAACTGGAATGAAAGTTTAACAGGTAAATAGTGTTTGGAGTTACATCTGAATGAAAGTTTTATTTTTTTGCGAGTATGAATGAGGTACAATTGTGAATTTCTACAAATATCTGTTCATGACTTGTTATTGATAGAGCACAAATTTTCTAACTTCAAATCATTGAGTATGAAAACGAAATACATTTCTGTCATGCAAAGACATCTCATTATAAAAATCGGTTGTTCTTTAAAACGATATATTGATTAAATCTAACAATCTGAGATCAGATTTCAAAATATGATTTTTAAGGATACGCTCGGTTCGCGATTCTTTCGTCCCGAGAAAACAATGATGACGTCATTACTGATGCATCTTCTTAAAAACTGGCTGCATATTTTCATCTGGAGGTCCATGTCTATCTGTTAAAAAGGTATATTTCATAACACTTTTTAAAGATAATGAGATTCATTTTGACTTATTAGATGCATTTATGAATATATATATATATATGAAAAGCAGTGCAAAACTCTTTTTTTTCTTTTAATAATGTCTTTGTGAATTTTGCATTTGAGATTCAATTTAAACAACTATAATAAGTACTCTAAAATGAAATAATTAGGATATACCAATCATAAAGACAACACTGAACTGAATTCAATTTTAAGTAAATAAAATGTGATCTACATAATTAATTTGAAAAATGTAGGTCTTTTATATGTCCGAGTGGTTCAGGTTGGAAATTTCAAATCACTTGCTCCTCACCACTTTGGGTTTTTTCATGGTCAGAACCTCAGATGCCTCAATGCAAAGACGACATTGAGTCAGCTATTAAAGATATTTCTATACAGATATCCGCCAGAGAATGAAATAATAATGACAGCATTTTTCTACTTCCATCACAAAATCAGGAAACTATGGTTCGTCATAAGTTCTGGAAGTTAGAATCAATTGGAAAATCTCGATGTAAAGACTGTAAGCAAAGATGTTTTCTGTATCAATATGCCTTTGAACCCAATCTGAAATACATGTAATTATTTTACCTTTTCTCGGTGGTAATATCTGGGAACAGCCAAAACCAGTATAACCACAATTGTTGAATGGAAATCAAGAACAGCCCCCGCTAATATCATCAGTATAAATACGAAAGGTAAGTAAACGATATCTGGCCGGTCTCTAGTTGAAGTGGCTACTAGTACAATTAATGAAACCAGTGTGGCCAATAATAAAAGCAATGGTATAAGTAAAACACTTCCCCAGCAAGCTATATTTCTTTTCTTCAAGAAGTCGTAGGTCTTCATCACAGGATCACTATTTACTAATTGTACAACATCGCGCAAAAGCTCTTCAGAAACCTATAATCATGATAATTAGATATACGTGTGTATAGTGCATTAGTTTAAATTCCGGACATGATATTTGTATACATTTTTGTTATTATAAAATACATGTCAAAGTATATTATCTTAAACAACCATTGGTCATTGTTGATGTTTATTCTTTATCTGATATTTTACTGAAATTTAAAAAAATAAAACTTTGAAAAGAGCCCGAGACAGCATTGCAAACAAAATGTTGAAAATATCAGATTTGTGTGCGCGCGCATGCGTGTGTGCGCGCGTGTGTGTGTGTGTGTGTGTGTGCGTGTGTGTGCGTTTGTGCATGCTGCATGAAGAGGTACTATATATGTTTACACAGTCACGTTATGGGGTACAAAAAAATAGCGAGGTACATTTTCCTAACACCTCGGTATGTGAACCTCATAATATGTTTCAGTTACTCAAAACACACTCTTTTAACAAAATATCTCAAGTACCTCATTTTATCCAAGAGATGCGTGTCAGTGTGTTGTGTGTAATTGCACTCTCCGGGGTTTCATCTCCTCATTTGCATATTCATGCATTATTCGGTATTGCTCCGCCTTTTTCATTACGTCATTCTATAGTAGACGCTTGAAATCACCCGCGAAAAAAAACTTGATTTGGTCGATGAGCGTCAGTATGATTCAGACGTAAATAAGAAACATGGCGGCAGGCTTCTAATCGCTTAAATGAGGTATGTTTATTGTTTTAATAAAAATATGGTCACCCAAAATACTGATGTTTATTGTGTTTGTTTTACATTTGCTATTTAATCAGAAAATATCATGACATTGCAATATATCGCTTAAACGGTACACATATACATCTTGGAGAAGTGAATTGATTTGGGATTTAGTTCTTGCTAAAGGAAATTAGCATTGACCTTCACAGGAAATGAGCCAATATCTCTTGGTCTAAAAGTGCGTATCCTATGACCGGACCACTGCTCCATTATCAACTTGTATTGTTTGTAAAAACAGATCAATATTTCATTTTCATTTTCCTGTTTGTGACAACGCAAGACGGATGACATTTCTGTAATCTCTAATCAGGGTTTTCAATCACCTACAAATCCTGCGCCTCTTATCAATTTTATTAAACATAAATAGCCAGTCAATTAATATTCTGGAGGAGATATATCCATACAAAAATTTGGGTAAATGACAGTTTACTGGACAGTGTACTTTACTGGTGCAATTATTATTCTTTTCACAGCGGCTTTCCATTTAACCAATCTCACATTGGACATAGCTTTCGCACGAGCGACGCGAGAAGACCACGAGTAACGCTAAAAAATACCGCAAGTGACGCTGAAATATGGCGGATTTTGTATAAACAATTCCGTTCAAGGTAAGTGTCGCTGCGACAATTCCTAATGCAATCTTTTCAGAAAACATGAATAAGCGCACCGTACCCGGATACCATTAGGCTTTTTAGAATACTATTTACAAAGACTATTATCCACGCATTTTTTGGAAGAATCGGACACAGTTTGGTGTTTCAGAGACAGAAAGATGAACTACATGCATATGTGGAAATCTTTATTCTTGTATACAAAAAAAGAGTTTTTGCTGGTAAAATTGCACTGCGTGTACGCATAGGGTCAAGCAAAATATAATCTGAAGAGATTTTAAAAGAAATTAAGCTATTTGGAGAAAATCTTGGTCTGAACATTTATGAAACTCATGTGCGACGTTTCCATATACCGGGGGTACAACGTTTGAGCGACGTTAGCAGTTTTCTAGTGCTCTTTCCTATCAAAATTAATAATGTTTTAAATGTTGTGTCCATACGTTTGTAGAATTGTTTTCTGTATATCTCTGCAATCATACACCACGTACGCCTAAAAAGAACATTTATAGCTATTTTTTCTTTCAGTAGTATTTTGAGTTATTCGGCAGTATATATTACAATTTCAACAAATTAAAATTCGCTTTCACTTCAACATTAACTTTATCTTATGCATCCAACCAAAAAACCCTTTAGTCAGAATAATAGATTGTTTAGTGTAGAATTGCCTAATCTACTATTGCAACAAATTATTCAAACAGTTAACAATAATAATAATTTACGCTATCTAAAGAAGAATCAGCAGACAACATTTTAGTTCAGGACAATCAAAGTTATTCATAAATAAAAAGTTCTACTTCGTCAAACTGAACGCTATTGGTTAATTTCATCCACACAGTAATTCGATCATTGTTACGTTGATTATTCTGTAGGGGAAAAAACAATAAAAAAAAGTTTTATTGTCTTTTGACTTTTAGAAAATGTGTAAACTCTTAATATTCGGTAGCTTCTTTCATATTTCATTTTATAGCGGCAAATGAAATAAGATCAAAGGTTGGCAAATTACTTTGAAGTTTTTTTGTTTTTTTTTTAACACGAGAGCTTGCGAAGCTATTTTTGACACTTGAGAATTTTACCACTATTTAGATAACTGTTTATGTTTTTACTTGTGTCTCATTATTAATTTATTTTTTGGACATATAGGCATTTATTAATGTGTATGAGGTACAAAGGTGGGGAATCATATTTCTATATTCTTGAATGATATTAAACATCCACATTATACAAAATTAACATTTAATAAAAGTTTTTAATAAGTCTATGTACATCCATAGTAATTATAAGCTATCTAGAAAAGTGTTCCACGGTGGCGTTATCGTGAACTATGAATTTCAAACCATCATGTAAGGAGTGGTAAATCACATCGTTTTTAGTGATGTCACTCCGACAATCCACTTGATAAGGCATAATTTTTAAAAGATTAGCGTGTACTTCACATAGCAGATTGTAAAATCGGTTCTCAGAATTGGTTTAGATACAGCAACACTAATGAAAACGTATGTCAAGTCAACACGTTTGAATATTTTATTACGATGGTAACTTATACATATCAAGACTTCTGAATATAAAAGTTGCAAAATTTCTCGTAACGAAACAATTAGTTCTAATGTTGAATTCTGTTCGTGTACATAAAATATCGCGTATGTAAATACTTACATACGGTGGGGGATAGCTCTTATGTCATACGTTATAATATCATTTTCAAATTACTATAATAAGGTATAAGGTCAACACATTTGTCATTTATGCAAAAAATATACCCCAATTTATTCGAGGAATAAACAATATCCGCTATTGTCATTCGAGACATTCTTTATATATATTCTAATTCCTCATGCGTATAAGTGAAAGCAAATAATGAAAAACTATATAATTGTATAATTATATAATAATGATAATGCACACAGGTGAAAATGTACATTCACTGAAATTAAAACAGTGATTATCAGAGCACTAGAAATCTACTAACGTCGCTCAAACGTTGTGTATTGGAATGTCACTTCTGAGTTTTATAAATGTTCAGACCGGGATTTTCTCCAAATAGCCAATTTCTTTTAAATTCATATCAGATTATATTTTGCTTGACCCTATGCGTACATGCAGTGCAACTTTACCAGCAAAAACTCTTTTTTTTGTATACAAGAATAAAGATTTCCACATATACATGTAGTTCATCTTTCTGTCTCTGAAACACCAAACTGTGTCCGATTCTTCCAAAAAATGCGTGGATAATAATCTTTGTAAATAGTATTCTAAAAAGCCTAATGCATGGTATCCGGGTACGGTGCGCTTATTCATGTTTTCTAAAAGGATTGCATAAGGAATTGTCGCAGCGACACTTACCTTGAATGGAATTGTTTATACAAAATCCGCCATATTTCAGCGTCACTTGCGGTATTTTTAGCGTTACTCGTGGTCTTCTCGCGTCGCTTATGCGAAAGCTATGTCCAGTGTGAATCTTTCATGGTCATTTAGAAATGTAAAGAAATATATGATTGATTGCTGCAACTGCATGTAACAGCACAGCATTTGGCATATTTTGTTGTTACGTTGTTTGTAAATTATTATGTTAATGTCTGTAGTAAATCATGACTAATAATTTTAAGCCTTGGTCTCCATTTTCTTTCATTTTAAATACTTTGCTTTTTTGTTTGTTTCATATTGACAAAACATGTGAGTTTGTATAAACAATATTATATTGTAATGTTTTCTTTACTTTCATAATTTATAAAGTTCATAAACTTGTGTAATTATACAAGGTCGAATCGAAGGTACCAAACGGTTGCAAACATCAGCTTGATAATATTCCATTTATTTAAAGAATATTTCATTTCTGGTTCTGCCTATGGATATGTTGTGCAATAAAATAAAATTATTTGAGTTTGATAATGAGTTTGAGTTTTAACCATAAATAGTTCTAGCAAAAAAAAAAAGATTTATTATAGTTGTTAATCCATCTTTTTTCTATAACAAAACCACAACAAACAAACAAAACAATGTGTCACAAATTTGCAAGCACTCATTATGAGTCATATACATGCAATATATTTTGTCTCTCATAATAAACCTAAACATTTTCCTCTGTGATTGTTTTTTATAAAGTGAGTTACAGTCGAAAAACAACTTTATTATCATTGTAAAATGAATGTATAATGAAGAATGCAAATATATTTTTAGAGAATGAGGCTTAGAAGAAAATCAAAAGATATTTTGAAACAGAACACAGTCTGCGAAGAATTACTTGAAGTAAAATTCATAGACTGCTTCAAAGGTATGTTTTGAATATATATGTTTCCCCAGCTTTTAAAGTGGATTGTTAATTGCAGGGTTTATTATGAATGGTTTGACAGAGTGTTGCAACGCTTCCCTGAAAAACGAGTCCGGGCCGGGTCATTTAAGGCTTATAAAAACGATACAGGGTCTGGTCAGAAAATCTAACTGCTCGATTAAGATTTCTAGCGGTAAAATCGAACATATTCGAAGAAAGATTAATCAAACAAACCTAATGGTTTCATTTTCGGAAGAAGTTGTTTAAAACAAACGTATAGGTAGGCTACTTATTTTTCAGAAACCAGATATTCTAGTATAATTTGTACACATATTGTTCAAATTATTCCTTGATCCAGGGGTATCAATTTACAGGGATTTTACACTCGTATTTTAATTGAATTATGCCGTCGCGCGTTTGCGCATGCGTTGTTTACCCAAATGGGTCTTATTCCTATCATGTTTTTGTCTATTCCCTTTAACCAAATTATATTTTATTTTAAATATTAGCGATGTAAGGATATTAAAGTATGGCAAGTTATATTTCATGATTGGTAGTATTGTCTAATTTGATCACATTTTGACGATGAAAATGACGGAAATCGAATAAAATGATATTGATAATCGTATGGCGAATTAATTTGTGTACGAATACATTTATAAAATGATACTAGAGTTACGTCCCTTTTGTTGAAAAACGCCATTTATATTGTCATTTTTGGACGAGAAATTGTAAATTATTTGAGGAAGGGGCGAATTACCTTCGTCACAATGCTCTCTGAGCGGTCAAATGAAAATGTTTTAAGTGGAAAATTTCAAATGACACAGTCACTGTTGTGATTAAGATAAGGAAAACCTAGAGTTGCTAGGTTCAAGGGTTTTAGAGTTCCCAGTTCAAAATTGAAAGCAGATAGTTTACTTGTGTCACCATTTTAACAAGGCGGTTAGAGTGCTCGCCCTTGGAAATAATTAATCGAAATGGACCTAATAACTAACTAGAAAAAACCCGGTATGTTGATTCTGTATCTTGATATTATATTGTTCGACAGCATATCGCAATATAGATCTACTGGTATATCGTGACAGCCCTATTATTTTCCTTGAAAAAATCGGTCAGAAAGAATTTGAAAAATTTGCTTCACGGAGAAAGATGTTCACTTTAAAGTTTAACTGGTAATAATGGATTCAATAGTTTAAAGATTTACTATCAAGTTACGTAATAAAAAGGACATTTTTCTCATTTTAATAAGTCATAATTTGTGAAAATCTAATGAAAAATATCCGAACAGTGAAGGTTTTAACTAACATGGTATACTGTATCTGTACCTAATGAGAGTTAAACTTGCCTCTACATGTAATCCTACGACAGGATATAGTATGATAAAAAATTATTGATTTGTATAGGTTTCCAATCCCAAATCCTGGTAAATTGATACCCCTGCTTGATCAAGGCTTGAATTATGTATTTTCTTAAGTAGTTTTTAGCTTGACTATTTGATAAGAAGTAGAGCTATCCTAGTCACCCGAGCATCGGTGTTGGTGTTGGCGTAAACCACTTTTGTGAAGTTTGTGTATCACCTCAAATATTTTCAAAGTCCATTGACATATGGTTTTGAAACTTTGCACACTTGTTAACCATCATGTCCCCAACTTGTAGACAGGAGGAGGTAACTCTATCAAGCATTTTGACAGAATTATGCCTCTTTTTCGACTTAGAATTTACGTTTAAGTTTGAAAACCACCTCAAGTATTATACCTATGTCCCCATGAGGTTTTTGACAGAAAAGGAAGATAGGTGACGAGCATGAACACTATCAATTCATATAATGCAGCCAAAAATTAAAGAAAGGGAGTGGGATCATACACTGATTTTTTCAGGTCCTTCTTCGTTATTAGACTGCATGATGCCTACTACAAGTAATTTACACCCAGCTACACCCCACCCACTGAAATATCCGATGATCAGAGATGTCCAAACATTTCCTAAAGTGATTATTGGTCATTATCTTTACATTCTAAGTGTTACTTTAGAGTTTTAAACAGATCATTACTTCTTTCTGCTTTAAAGTGACACAGTTAATGACTGATATGTGAACAATAAACATAATTTTTGTTAAAAGCATTTAGACAACACAACTTTACGTGACACAGTCTAATTAAAATTATGAAATAAGTAATTTGTAAGATAATATTAATTGAAATTATGAAAAGCGGTACTTTTAAATTTCCACACTTGGGAACCAAATCCCAAGTCTAATAATAGGTCTATCAATTATTAGCCTTTAACTAAAAATATTAATGGTTTGAAATGTATGGCAGAGTTCACGGTCGAAACAAACGGCAGAATTCACGGGCGCCTTTACTTTAAAATAAGACAATGTCTGTTGCTAACTACTCAGTGGTCATTATAATATTGAACAATATCTTAAATGTACTTGAGCTTATTTTTTAGCTCACCTGAGCAATGATCAGGGTGAGCTATTGTGATGTCCCTCTATCCGTCTTCATGTCTCGTCCGTCGTCAACAATTTCTTTAAACAACATGAGGCGACACATGTGATCACTGATCACTCGTGTTATCAATATTGTATTCTAGTGCTTTCTAGATTGATTTATATTAATTATATCGTAATGCATCTTTTACCTGCCTCCATGGTCAAGTGGTTAGAGTTGCTGATTTCTAATCCATTGATCTCTCTGGCAATGGTTTGATCCCTCGGAGAAGCTCTTGGTAATTTGGCATGGAAGATAGGAGTTTATTACTAGAAATTTGAATAGTTCTCTAGGAACATTAATTAGGAAACTAACAGCCTAAATAATTGAAATACTGTTCAAAAAAAGGCATTGAAACACAAAAAAAAATGCATCTTTTATTTAACTGTTGCTAGAAGTGTGTTCTGTTTTACAGGTTCAGGTGTATTTGCTGTAGGCAATATAGACAAAGGAGCTTTATTAACCTATTATGAGGGTGAACTGATATCAAAAGAAGAAGGTGATAGGAGGCATGAAAATTATGAAGAAAGTGATGGCTCTTTCTTATTCTTCTTCAAATTCAAAAAAAAGAACTTCTGGTAAGTAAAGAGTTGCTTTGGGAATCAAATCAGATTTTCCCTTTTTTATAGCATTTACAAATTAAGTGTTACAATTATACATATTATGAGATAATATAATGACAACATATGCTTGCATTGTATTTTATTTTAAAGAATTGTGGATATTTTTTATTTATAATTTTGATCATGATATCCATTCATTTTGTGTATCATTACTAATTCTATACCTACATTTGTTTTCTGTTTTTAAAAAAAAAAATTTTTTTCTCTCTCCCAAAATTGCTTAAATTGTTAACTACACTGAACAATATGGCAGCAAGAGCTTAAAATAGGAGATATAAAATTAACTTGTTCCAATTTTTTGTAATTTCACAGGAATTTATGCTGGGCAATCTTTTCTCAATTTGCATAAATTGTTCATCTCTACTTGAAAGAGCTAAAAAAATAGAAAAACATTTTAACTTATCTTTTAGCTTTGTTACTGACAAAAACCTTATCTGTAACATTTAAACTTAAAAACAGGTGAGCAACTAAGAGTCATCATTGCCATATTTTATTAATCTAACCCTATTTCTTTTGCATTCAATATGCTAAACTGATGTTTTCCCCTATTTTAATCTCAGAAGGAATAGTGTGACAAGACATTCAATACCATAAAAATTCCTGTTGTAATTATATAACAACTTTTCCAGCATTGATGCTACACGGTCCTCTGGAATAGGTAGAATGATCAATGATGAGCACAAAAAACCCAATAGCAAAGTTGTTGTAGAAGATAATAATGGTCAACCAAGTCTTTGCATATACAGCATTAGAAGAATTCTTCGAGGTGAAGAAATATGCTTTGATTACAACGATCCGTCAGTTCCGTGGAGAAAGGTATGTATTGACAATGTTCAAAAAAAGAATTATACAGGCATATATATTGGAAAAAAAATGTTAGTATAAATACAAAATACAAATTATTCTCTAGCTATGATGGTGTTCTTGTGGAAATTGTTTAACAAATATTTTTTTTATTGAAACACAAATGGTTTAGCATTGAAATTTATATAGATCAAATGTATTATTTAAATCTAATACTTGACTTGAATATTTAGTATTGAAAGGATAACTTAAATAAGATATAAATTGCAAGCCAAAAGAGTCATGTCTGACTAGAATTGTAACAAAATGTAGAATTACATGGTGCCTTTAGTTATTAGATATTCAAACAGGTATCAGGATTTAAACAATCAATAACATCACATTTTTTGTTTAAAAGAAATACAACATGATTAGACTTTGAATCATTTTCAGAGAAATGTCTCTAGAAATTTTCTGTATCCTCGTCCAGGTATAGTACTGTTTTTAAGAAAACAAACAAGGTAGCAGGAATCTCATGAACTTTCCCTAATGTTACACATCTTGTAACCTGTCCAACCTTATAACATTAAATTTTGGTGCTTTTCATAATTGTAGCTATTTAATGTATATATATTCACAGTAATATCATGGCAAATATGAAGGCCTCTATGGCCACGTTGTTAGTAGCATACTTAAAATCACTTGCCTGTCACCACTGTTGGTTCAAACCTCAACAGAAGCATGAATTTTCTCATGTGAAGAAGCTGTCCTGCTAGCTTACCGAAGATCAGTGGTTCTACCCAGATGCATGCCCATGGGTGAAGTATTCTAATTAGGGATGTTGGAATCAAACCTGGAAAGTTTCCATGTGACTGAAGCGCAGTCAATGTGACTTAAAATTGAAAATAAATGACATGTACATCTGGGCAAGTTTTTGTTTAAGTGTCAAGCAATCATCCCTGCTACCTTTGTATTTATAGTTTTTAGCTTTATTTATATGGAGACCTATTCGTTTTTGTCTCAATATTTTGATTTGTTGATGAAGTTTCTGTACAGCAAAATCTTCTTTTAAAAAATTCATTCAAACTTTGCATAAAATAAAGCCATTTGTTTCATTGAAAATTGTGGTTTTGTCCTCAGTTTTGCAGTAACGTTTGTTAAGATTGAAAATATTCTTAAGAATTCAATGTCTTAATTTAAATTTAATTCACAGTAGATAACCTTTGCTTTATTTTTGTTTAAATTGTAGCCCCTTTTCAGCTAAATGAAATGCCATATTGTTTTATTAAGTTTACATGTTTACTTAATGAAAAAATGTATGTGTAATTGAAATTTTATGCAAAGATGATTGATTGAATGGTTCTTGTTCTCTGTGATCTATGAAATATTTGCTTATCTTTCTTTCTGTGTAAGGAATTTAAAAAAATGCTTCCATTGTGGAGTGGTTGGAGTTGCTGACTTCTTCTCTAGTTATAATTTTACAGCAGTATTAAGGTGTGCTTGTCTTCCTTTCTACCACATAAGTAATGTGTGAAGTTTGTGGCATTTTGAAAAAAATACCTCTGTATGTATCATTTTGTAACTATAAACAGAAAGTACCTCTGATGTAGCTCCAAGAATTTAATGGTAATAAGCGAAAGTGACTTTGTAGATTCATCAGAGGAAAAGTAAACAATTTTATGGTGCATCAATGTTAGAATAAATGGACTACCACAAGCTATTGTAAATTGTAATTCATTGGTAGTTTACAATGGCATCTCCATCAAATAAATTCAGATTTCAAATTCTACCTACAAATGTAAAGATGTATAAATACAAGTTATAGAAATATATTTCAGCTATAATTGTGTATTTGTTTTGATATTATAGACAATAAAGGTTATTCAAACAGTCATGAGAACACAATACATGTATGTTTTTCAATACTGCGAATTCACTTGTATTCGTGGGCCTGAAATTTCTTGGTTTAACAAAACAGGCATTTTCGTGGGTTCTTAAATTCGTGGATTTTCAGTTTCTTGTAAAAAAAATCAGTAACCTAATGCAAAGTAATCTTACACTTAATCACCAACATTTTTACTTACAACATGTACATATCTTTACGTGTCACACAGCGCTTGTCAATAAATTTAATCCTTGCCTCTGGGCATAACTCTAATATAGCACAGTTACTGCCGATAATTGGTTGCAATTAACACATTTATGTGACATGATATGCACCTCCATTGGACACACTTGTAAACATCGCATAATTATACGACACCTGACATGTTTTAACCAGCCAGTTAAAAAAAGTTTACATACCACATTTGACAGTAACTACACGCAACGTCACAGCGACTGTGTAAATTTACATGCATATAAATTTATATGAGTAAATAACACGAGTATGTGTGGATCTAGTAAAAGTCGGTGGCGTCTTTGATGTTTATGGAATAGCATTCGCACAAATATAGATAAAAATTCATTTAAACTGGATCATTTAAAACAACAAAGAATGTACAATTCATTTGTTTTAGCGATCGTATTTTTTATAGTTTTGTGTACTTACAGACTTTTTTAATTAATAAGAGCAAACTGACAATTTTTATAAGCGCTAATTATTGCATTGCCTGGGTTCCCATATTTACTCGATTATGTCAAGTATTCTTGTTTACACGATCAAGTAGACTATAACGATCAAGTGTGTATATGCAACCGACATTTGTGACAGTAAATTGAGAACATATAATCGAGTTTTCTTTCAAGTTTCTTAAATATTGCAAACGGATTTAATCTGTCACTAACCTGATAAGATGTATGTATATACGTCCATGAAAAGAGCTGACGCATGTTTGTAAAATATAGAACAGACGTACTTGCTGTGATAAAATTTCGTCGGATCTTAAATTCGTGGATTGACCTACCCACGAAAACCACGAAAATTCGTGCCCCACGAATAATAATGATTTTACAGTATATGATATTGCTATTCAAGTATTTTAATAATTTTAAACCGTCTAGACAAAGTTGAATGGATATATACTGTAGTCAATACTGTAGTCAGGTTGCTGTTAGTCAGTTGGTTGGTTGGTTAGCCTAATGGCTCAGTCACAGTTTGTCTGGACTATTACTGTCTTATAGATAGAAGGATTTATGTTGCCACAAAGTTTTAGCAAAATGAGATGGTATGTCAAATACAAGAATATGCATCCTACCTCTGAGACAGAAGTCATACTGAGGGGCCTTACAGGTCAAAATGTTGTGTAGTTTGGCTTGCCAGACTGTTAACATTGAACAATTCTTAAGTATGTCATTACAAATGTAAAGTTTAATGTAGCTGATTGTAGTGTACAAGAAACAGCATATCACTTTAAAAGCCAAGGTCATAATGAGGGGTCAAAGGTTAAAATACATATGATTGTAATTTGGCTTGCCCAGATACTTTGCAATATATATAAAGGATTCTAAAATAGTTTGACAGAAATCTAAACCTCAGAATGGTGTGTGACGTATCAAAATTTAAAACTACCTGAAAAGTCAAGGTTTACTATGGGATCAAGTGTCAGAAAGATTTATGAACTGTTACATTGTAACCATCAATTATTAACTCTTCCAAATCAAAGCCTTTAAAAAATGCCAAAGTTAATGATACAAAAATATGTAAGGGTAATCTGAAATGCTTATCGAATTATAACAAGCCTAAAACATTTAAATGGTGTTATTTTGTTAAGGCATTCTTATTCTTAATATTCTAGTATGTTTAAAGATCTTGTTTCACTTTTCAGATAAAAGCTATGGGACAGGTTGCACAGAGAGTGCTGTGAATGATACCCTTTGTATACAGGAACAGGCTGACAATGAATATGATTATGTAGGAGAGAATGTTGTCAGTAATGCTGATTGTGTGCAAGAGCAATTTGGCAATATCCCTGGTAATAAGGAAGAACAACCTGAAAATGATCATGGTAATGTGCAAGAGCAAGCTATCAAATTTTTTTGTAGTGTTCAAGAAGAAGAGGACATAGACCTTGGAGGCATACAAAATCTAGCTGACAGTCATCACAGAAATGTAAAAGAGAAAACTGTTAGTGATCCTGGAAGTGTACAAGAACAATCTCACAGTGATCCTGGAAGTATACAAGAACAATCTAATAGTGATCATGGTAATGTTCAAGAGCAAGCTGACAAAGCTCCTGGTCATGCTCAAGAAATATATGACATTAAACCTATAAGTATTCAAGAGCAAGCTGACAATGAGCCTTGTAGTGTAAAACAGTCAAATGTCAATAAGCATGATCGTATACAAAAGCAGTTTGACAGTGATTGTGTTTATATAAAAGATTGTATGCAAGTGCATGCCGACTATGATATTGGTAGTATAGACGAGAAATATGACATTATTCCTGGAAGTCTGCAAAAGGGATCAGAAATTAATCCTTATAGTGCACAGAAGCAAGTTGACAGTGATTCTTACAGTGTAGAAGAGGGAGTTGCCATTGATACTGATCGTATTGAAGAGGGATCTGACAATGACCTTTACAGAAATCAAGAGCAAGTTGAACAAGAGCAAACCAGCAGTGATCCTGGAAATGAAATAGAGGAAGCTGAAAATGATCATGGGAGTACGGGTAAGCAATCTGACAATTAAGAGTTAGCTGACAATTAATCTTAGACCCATGCCAATTCAAGGTCTTACAAACAGACACTTAAGCATACATATAGCATGGGATAAAAATGCCATAAGTCTAAAGTCAAAGTTAAACCAAGGCCATGACAGCCAAAATACAGTTTCCATTGAGCTAATGAGTCTACTTTTTAATGCATTTTTGAGGTATTAAATTGATAATTGTCAGAACATATGAAATGGAAAAGGTGAAAGTAATTATATATAATATATTATCAATAACCAGGAAATATGTGTGAATAGTCATATCTATTGTGACTACACATAGGATGTTATCTTTTATTGTCAACTTAGCATACACCATCCTTTAATACATGTATAGGAAAAGTGGCATTTGTAAGCAAGTACATGTAAATACAATAATACAAAGGAAGAAACAGCCTAAAAATACACAGAAATTGCTTTAGAAACAAAAAGACAGTGGATAGGATGCTTAACAGTAAAGACAGCCTGTAAGAGCATGTAGACCATCTGTTGATTTCTTGTAGAAGGCAAAAAATATTGACCTACATTTTAAAAGTGAATGAGTCATGCAGTTGGCAATGGTTTAATTACTCATACTCTGCACTTGTGATTCTATCACTTCATATGCTATCTGTATTATAGCCAGTATTTAATCACCATTGTAAGTATTGGGTTCATATATTTAATTTGAAAAAAATAGGTTATATTGTTCTATTAGAACTCCAAAAGAATTGATGAAATTTCATCTTGATACCTCATTGATAAAACATCTTTTGGTGATGTCAAGATATACCGTATAAGTACTTATTTCTGCGGGCTTAATATTCTGCGATTTTGGTTAAAATAAGGGGTTTTAAATTTCTGCATATCTTATTTCTGCGGTGCCATCACTCTCACATTGATGCTTTTTATTACTGCGTTTTTACAGAATTAACCGATACAAACAGACAACATTTCAAGATTTGTTGATGTAACACGTACATTACTTCCGGTAAACATGCAGATGACTTATAATGTGTTTTCATCGTAATCACCATGTATCGGTATATAAACGTTAATAAACAAAAATCAACAACATGCAATGACAACAATTAATTGAAATACTGCATGTGTATAAATATGAAGTGTGAAAAATAAAAAATGGTAAAATCGCACATAGACACAATATATTGTACAAATACAAAAGGGTATGTTTATTGCACCCGTCAAACTATATAATAGTTTTATTTTAAAATAATCCAAGCTTAGGATGATCGAAAATCATACAAAAAGAACAAGTAATGAACTTTTTTTTCTAATATTTTATTTCATGACGGATACATAAAGAAAAATTCCCATCTACAAAAGCTGATATGGTAATGTTATTATACAATACAGGTAGTTGACATATTCCGACATACATGTAGACATAGCGAAAGGCTTAATTTTCTGCGGTTTTTAAATCTGCGGTGTCGTTTTAAACAGCAGAAATAGCAGAAATAAAGTTCCCGCAGAAAAAAGTACTTATACGGTACTTAACATTATAATTATTTCTTGCAGCGGATTTTTTTGGTGCTGTAATTGTGATGAATGAAAAGGAGGAGAGTGATGTGTTTGCGATGTGTTCCACTGTGATGGCACTTGGAAGGTGAGTAAATTGTTCAGTTGATATTGGCTGCTGCTTAAAAAACTAAAGATTTTGGTCAACACAATAAGCATATGTAGATTTATAAAAGCTGACTTCAAATGGACCTGCAGACCTCTATTGATTGTCTTCTTGGAGTAATATCTCTGGAAAAAAAACTTGTTTTTGATGTTAACTCTTCAAGAAAAGTTGATAGATTGAAATGATTTTCAATTTAATTACAAGTATAAGCCTTTGAAAATAAAGGATATTTTAGAGTTTTACATCAGACCACTAATTTGTTACAAGGTCATCATATTCTCCACTTGAATGCATTCAAAGAATAGATTCTATTTATCCTTTCAGCTAGCATGACACATACTTTTTATGCCTCCTAAGGATAACATTTAGATTTCACACTATCTGTCAGTCCGTCTTACCCTCCAATGAATTCACTTCATCTCCAAATCCAAGGGGATTTCTTTGAAACTTAACCAGAATGTTTGTCATCAGGTCCAGTTGTGCATGTTTTTTTTTCTACTATCTAAGTTTTGGGCTCTTATTGATCATTTTTTTAAAATAAAATGTCCTTGTCTGTGCTTCATCTCCCAAACTTCTGGGGTATTTCCTGCTTCAAAGGAATGCCTGTCATCAAGCCTTATTTTACATGGTATGTTGGTTTTCCACTTGAATAACTTTTGGAAGAGTTATGTGCTCTTGATGATCAATATTTGACTGCACTTGAACACAAAATCCACTCAAGGGATTTTGGTGAAATTCACACAGGAATGTTAGTTTTTCATAGTATCTTGATTTTTTGCAAACAATAATTTGTGACACAGTTTTAGACCCTGTGTGATCAATATTTGGTTTTACCATAAAATCTATATATAATGTCCAAATCATTTAAAAAAATTGCAGTATGTCTATGACCAAAATCTAATCAGAAGTTCATACATGTACATTTGTATATACAGAGAAAAAGTCATTTTCAGTGCTTGGAAGTGTTTCAACACATTTGTATGACATGAATAGAAATTTTAAATATAATCTTATTGACAATTTATTTCTTAAACATGACTTATCAGAACTTAAAGTTTTACTTGACTCAGGAATTGGCTGGGATTTACACAAAAATACGTTTATCACCTAACTTATCATATTTGATAACAAACATTTTGTTACATGAGAATTTTATATGATGTGAAAATTACCTTTGCTATTGGTATTGATTTCTTATGCAAAAAAAACAAACAACAAACTGTTAGCATTATGGAGAAATAACGGAAGTAAAATCTTTATAGTTGTCAGCAGTCAGTTTCTTCAAATTATCATACATACACTTTATTAAATTAATTATCAAAAGTTAAAAGCCAATTAAAAGGCACCATAGGAAAAATTACAGTTACTGCATTTAGCAAAATTTACATCAATATTGTGTTAAAATTACATAGCATTTTTACCACATAGAGTGTGACAAACACTGGATATTTTAGAGTGAAATTTAAAGCAGCTAGAAATTTTTTCGTCACTTATGGCAAAGTTTCAAAAATTAACGTGAAGTTAGCAATTGTCTTTGCCCTAAACTCAGTCCCTGTAATTTTGAATTTAATGAACTGATTTTTGATTCATGCTTGGACAAAACAACCCTTAGAAATGATTGACATGTATTTGTTGTTAACTATCAGATAGACCTTCAAATGATCTGCACTGTCAAGGTCAAAATCTGGAATTTGCTAAAATGTTAGTAATGGACAGATTTTATTCATACTTACATAAACAAAATTTTTAATTGATTTAACATGTAGAGAAATATATAAATGATCTTGATCCTTCAAATAATCTTGATTGTCAAGGTCAAAGTTGAATTTTGCTAATATCACTGTAACTTTGTTACCCAGGGACAAATTTGTCTCACATTTGGACAAAACAACACAAGTAATTAGTTTGAGAAGGTGAGGTATATGTGAATGTCCTTGACCACAAATTACATTTGACTGTCAATGTCAAATTATGAACTTTTGTTCCTTTTGTTTAAATTTTCCTAATGTGGAAATATCAAATCAGAAATACATCTGTTTCCTTTTAAATTCAAATTTAGCAATATATCTTATATTTGGCTTGGTTATCTAATGGTTGCATTATATCTATGACAGGGTATTAATTACTTTCATTGAAAACTTTAATTTGTTGAGATATGTTAAGTGCTTATCTTTCATTTTTCAGTGCGAGAACCAATGATATTATTGTAAAAAATGCTGCTCCACATGAGATTATACTTCAAGCCAATAGGTTTGGAGAGGTAAGTGTTTGAACTTTTTATACAGCTGCAATATAAAAGTATATCAATATCATTTTATGATAGAATGTTGTTCAGTTCAGGAAACATTGGTCCTTTCTTTAGATAAGTTCTTGAGTGAATCTAGTCTATGTTTTTAATACATAACCTTTTGCAGTTAATAATTTGCATTTTCATTTCTTTATAACATTTTGTTGGTAAAACTGCATTCATTATTTTTTGCAGGTGTTCCTTTTTCAAAACAAAACCAAATTTTCAAAAGCACATTGCCTTCAACATGATGAGGTATTCTCAGCTGGGAGAAGACTGTTTAAATGGAAATATCCTGTTGAACTTGGTAAGTTATATAATAATATAAACCCTATTTCTAAAATGCAAAATTACTTGGCTAGACACCTAGAGGCAATCTGTTTGAGCTTTTGTGATGTCAAGTCGGGCATCTAGTATTTATAAATATGAAAATGTCTACATGCAATTTGGTTATTGCCGTAGTGTATGCATGGGGGGCTTTGCCTAAAATATAAATATGAGTTTGGAACCACATTATGTTTGTACAAAGTTTACAGGTTTTTTTTGCAGTTACCTCTGTATGTATGTAACTTGTCAGATAAGTATTTGTGGTGAACATATCTATCTATGTACCTCATTAGGTTTGCACAAGCTTTGTACAAAGCTGGGTGAACTATCCGTCCCCATCAAGTTCTTTCCCCAAGCCTTTTAAGTCTCCTACCAGTTTAACCGGAGGGGACTATAGGTTTACCCTCTGTCAGTCCATCAGTCAGTCAGTCCGTCCACAAAAACTGGATCCAGCCATTACTCAATAAGTACTGAACACTTTTTTATGAAACTTGAAATATGGGTAGATGGCAGTATGGAGATTATGCACGTCTTTTTGTTTTCTTCCTATGTTCAAAATTCTTGTTGCTATGGCAACAAAAAGACTGAACATGTGTTATTTTGCTGTAACTAGCTATTAGTTTTTAAGTTATCTTCATATTTACACACAACATTCTTAAGGACAAGACCTTCATGTATATCAAACTAGATTTGACCTTGACTCATGTATGTCCTTGACCTTGAAGGTTGAATTACTGAATTTTCACTATTTTTGGCTATAATCGGATGTAACTTTGTATTAAATTCATAGATTTGGTTCATACCAAAACAAAACAAAACCTGTTACCAAACCGACATGTTGGATAATTTTGACATGACCTTGACCTTTTTATGCCCCCACTCTAGGGGGGGGGGTGCTCTTAGATTTGCCCTTGTCCGTCCATGAGTCTGTCTGTCCGTTCTCATGTTGTGTCGACGTAACTCAAAAAGTATTTGACGTAGAGTCATGAAACTTTTCAGGAATGTTGGTCAGCATGTATAGTTGTGGAGGTTTGCTTGTGGATTTATTCAGTATTAAGAGTTATTGCCCTTGACTTAGTAAAAATTTGCAATTTTCAACGTGTGTCGCACATAGCCCAAAAGTATCTGCCTAGAGTCAATAAACAGAAATGTTGGTCAGAATGTGTAGTTGTGCACCTGAGGGTTTGCTTCTTTGTTCTTAAAAGAAAGATGGAAATGCATCAGAAAAATACCTCCTTGGCTTGGATTCCCACTTTTGACCTCAAGCTTGCAAGTTACAAGTGAAGTAACATTATGCTCTAGACCACTGAGCAAAAGAATCAATCCAGCTGTAACAAGGTTGATATATTGTCAAGTTCCTTTTTTTAAGCTTTCATATTTTGAAAGTACCATAATTCTTTTGTTATCCATTTAGAGACCAGCACAGGTACTTACAATGAAATATGCATTTAGATTTGCCCTTGTCTATCTTTTACGCTGTCCGTCCCTAGACTGACAAGGGCAAAGTGGGGGCATCTGTGTCCTATGAACACATTTCTAGATATAACCTTAAATTGCCATATTAACTTTGTCATTTATTTATGGATTTGATTTTAAACTTGGACAAAAGAACACTTGTGGACCAACCTACATGTTGGATGATTCGACTTGACTGACAAGGTCAAATAATTGAATATTGCTAAAATTGTCATTTATTAATGGATTGTCTTCATTTTTTAGTTCAATGATTTTTGTCAGAATTATGGCACTTTGATGATTTTTCCTTTTTAAAGTTTGTCAAGATTACTTCTCTTATACTACTTATGCAATTTAAGTGAAATTTTACAGGATTGATTGATACCTCAAGTACTTGCTCATATTTGGTGGGTTTCCGGTTGAATGACTTTTTTGGTTCCTGAAAAAAGAGGAGTTTTGGTCGGTTTATTATTTTGAAGAGCCGTTACTAAGACTGTAATTGTGTCATATGACACCTAAAGCATTTTTGAATAATACATTAGGGCTGTCATTGATTGAAAATTTTGTATTGATATATCTTGAGACAAATATCGATGATATATCAATATATAAACTTTAACAGTAGATACAATGAAAAAACATTTAAATATGTGTTATAAATTGTGTTAATGGTGTTATGCTTGCTTGTTTTAGACATTACAAATACTACAAACTAACAGAAAGTTTGTTTTTCTGTTTGTTTGCGTCACTCACATCTGAAATTTAAATTTAAAGTTCAAGAAAAAAAACTGGAAATAAGTGACTTCTCTTATCTTCAAAATAGAGAGGTATATTCACATGACAGAAGGAAATAAATTTTAGATTGTACCGATATTTAAAATAGTGTATCGATATTGTATCGGATGATGAATATTGATGATATATCAATATTGCGATATTCAATGACAGCCCTAAATAAAGTTGTGGTGTACTCACCCGCAGTCAAATTTGATTGAAATAATTAAACTAATCAAGCATACCAAGGGTCTTGTGACAATGAGTTGATTTCAAAAGACAAAATGATTGTTTTTACATCAATTTGATTTTGGGAAATAAATGGTTGCTTAGTTATGTCAGTTTCACTTATGATTTTAACAATTACTTACATTGATTTGATAAATTGAATCTGCTCAAAAAGAAGAATTGTGCAGCGACCTGATGATGTTGTTGAGATGTCAGCTCGTAAATATTTCATAAATAGGCATACTTTGAAATCATAAATTTTCGTGCAGTACAAATTTCGCTCAAAATAGAATTTTAGGAGATTCGTGCGGTCTATTTTTCACACATTTCAATTTTTTAAGTGCTATTAAGTGTATCTATAGAAGATTGTTGATTTTTTTTCGCGGTAGCTTTAAATTTGCGCATTGACCAGCGCGAGAGGCGCAAAAACTTAGACCAGCGCGAAAATTAATGATATCAAAGTAATTGATTATAAACTTATCTAAAAACCAAATTTGTCTTAGTAAAATGTGAATCATATTCTAAGGTAAAACCTCATAATGTATGTTTTAAGTTTACTGAAGAGAAGTGTTTTTTTAACATTCATTGTGCTAATTGTCTTTTAAGTACCTCTGTTTGTTAAAAAATACCTCTGTTTGTTCAAAGATATGAATTGCCACTTTTCAGATGACAGACATAGCGTTAGGTTCACAGAGAGAACTGAGATTGATCATGATTGTGATAATGAGTATGATGAGGATGATCAAGTTTTAGCAGAACAACAGGCTGACATTGATACTAGTAATTTTAAGGAGCAAGCAGACATTTATCCACATCATGTAAAAATACAGACTGACACTATCACTGATAGTGGAGAACATCTAGTTGACAATATTGATTATGGAGAACATAAGGTTGACAATGCTGATGGTGTAGATCAACTTGTTGACAATTCTTGTGTAGAACAACTGGTTGGCAATACTGAATGTGAAGAACAGGGAGCCAATGAATTAGATTGTGAAAAGGATTGGATTGACAGTGAAACTGAACAAGAGACACTTGATACTGAAATCAATGATGATGACAGCGTTAAAGACCCTGATTATTGGTGCACAGAATCAGATGCTAAGTATATATCTGAAGATGATTACGTTTCAGACTCTGATGACAACTCGGATATCATACCATTTTTAAAGCCACTTCCAATGCTGCAAAATAAAAGAAAGCTTGAAAGTGATTGTTTAGGAATTAAAAAGATGAAGAAGAGTAATCAATGTGAAGTTGTATCCCCAACAGAAAGCTCTGGAAGACAGACACAGCATGCAAATGCATTAAGTAATCAATATGACAATGTGAAATTGCAACCAAGCCGAAATGAAAAAGGAAAGAGAGTTTGGGATAAGTTGCATGTCTGTGTGTACTGTGAGGAGAGTTTTACTAATTTAACTAAACACCTCTTACGTCGCCATAAAAATGAAAATGAAGTTGTTAGAATTAGAAATCTGCCTAAAAAATCAAAAATTAGAGCAGACTCCCTCCTTAAGCTTAGAAATGCTGGTGACTATAAACATAACATGGATGTTTTGAAAAACGGAAATGGTACTTTGATTACATGGTCAAGAAAAGAGGGAGATGAACATTGTCCATCTGATTACCTGCCTTGTGAAGATTGTTTGGCCTTTTTTTTGAAAGACACTTTGTGGAGGCATAAGAAAACATGTCCATTTAAAAAGGATACTCAAGTAAATAGACAAGTACAATCATCAGCTTCTCTTTTGTTACCAGTTTCGAAGAAAATTAGTGCAGGAATGAAAGAAAAAGTTATAAAGAACATGCTGTATGATGAAGTTACCATGGCTGTGCGAAATGATAGTCTGATTTTGGCTATTGGAGAAAAATTATTTCAAAAACATGGGCACCTTAAACACTTAAGTACATACATTAGTCAAAAGATGCGAGAGCTAGGTAGACTCCTTATTACTGCTAGAAAGATAGACCCAAAAATTCAGTTTCTAAGTGACCTAATATCTCCAGCAAAATTTTCAGAAGTGGTAGTACCAGCTACCAGAGCACTATGCAAGTATGATGATAGCACAAACGGGTATGGCAATCCTTCACTTGCTATAAAAATAGGACACTTACTCAAGAAATGTGCAAGAATTAAGAAGTCAGCTTCCCTTATTTCAGGAGATTCAATTTATGGTAAACAGGCAGATGATTTTCTGAATTTAATTGAAAATGAATGGACAGATGAAGTGTCCAGTTGTGCATTACAAACACTGAAATCAAACAAAATGAACAAAGCACAAATCCTGCCTCTGACTGAGGATATTATGAAACTTCAAGGATACCTACAGAATTTGAGGAATTCTAGTGTTGAAACACTACAGAAGAAATTTTCCAAATCGGCATACGATACTCTTAACCAGGTTACTCTAGCACGCCTAGTGCTTTTCAACAGACGTAGAGGGGGTGAAACCCAAAGAGTTACAGTAGAAGCCTATGTTTCTAGGAGGAATAAGTCTTCTAATCTCCAAGAAGTGGAAGAATATCTCACACCTGTTGAGAAAATGTTATGTGCAACATTTTCCCGAATTGAAATAAGAGGGAAGAAAGGACGTACTGTACCAGTCTTACTCACATCTGAAATAGAAAGCAATATTGACCTATTGTTACAGCACAGGGAAATGGCTGGAATACATCCAGAGAACCTGTATTTATTTCCTAGGTCCAATTTCAATTCAAAGGAGCCAATTAGAAGTACTGATGTTCTACGGAAATATGCTAAAGAAGCAAATTTATGTAAAGCAGAAAATATTACAAGCACGAAACTAAGGAAGCACATAGCTACCGTTTCACAGGTCTTGAACTTGAGTAGACATGATTTAGAAACTATGGCTGAGTTTATGGGCCATGACATTGATATTCATCGCTCATTCTACAGACTTCCACAGGAGACAATACAAGTTGTTAAAATGGGAAGGCTACTGAGTGCTTTTGATAATGGAACCATTGCTCAGTATAGAGGGAAGACTTTAGATGAGATAACAGTTGAATCAGGTAAAACTATTTAAGATTTAAAGGTGGACTACTTACACTTGTTTTTGTTGTTTATAGTCATGGCCATTGTCAGTTTTTAATCATCATTAGGATTGAATATCAAGAGGAATTATAAAATTGTGGATTAAATGGAGAGATAGCCTAGTGGTTAGGTGTCTGCCTCTCAACCCAGGGATTGCGAGTTTTAGTCCTACATGGGTCACAACCATGTTTCGTCATATGACACAAGTACTAGTTAGTTCCAGTGTGGTTCAAATAAGTTGTAAGCTTTCATCAGTTGTGATTACAAGAGACATTCATTTAAATTTGTCATTACGATTCTCTAAACTGCGTTATGGGGCACAGTCATATACTATTTACTTTAACCCTCCAAAGTATTCGCCCTTAACAGAAATACATTTTCTGGCCTAGAAATCCACTCTGTGAAGGCAGAAAAGTACGGGTCTTTAGGCACACCCTGTAGGCACTGGAAAATTGCACTATCTAACGCACTTTGAGACTCATGTTGACGTCCAGATAGTTTTCTTCAATAAGGAAAACAAGAGAAAATCACAGGGACATATAATAAAGGTCTGGGGAATAAGACGGGTGGGGAGGTTGTACTAATTTTTTCTTTCCTAGGAACTTCTAAACCAGCACCCACTTTTGAGCAGCAGCATTGTTATGATTTAGGCAAAGGCCTCTTAAGTCTTGTGGAAGGTTTAAAGGCACATTAGCTCTCAGAAACATATTTTTTAAGTATATTAATAAAATAATACTTCTGAAATTAATTTTAATTTTAAAGTCACTATTTATTTAAAAATGTTGAAAGTTACTGCATATTGCATTAAATTTAACATGTTCTCAATACTTTTTCTTCATATTGTTTACATGCATAAATTGATTTTCAGCTCTTTTTTTTAATAAAAAACTAAATATATGCATGAAAAACTTCCGGAGGCGCATGAGTGATACAATTTAATGAACGCCCCTTGTTAATAAATAGCTATTAAATGTCTCATTAGTTTGTTATGAATGCTAAATGTCAAATAATTTTTATTTTTTTATTTTTTTTTATGGTAAAAATGGTTTTAAATCCAGAATTTCATCAGATACTTTCTCCTTTAATAGATACTGAACTTACCAGTGACTCAGACAGTGACACAGGTAATGATGATGATTGTGAGGCTAGCATCTTGAAACCGAATGAAACCGAAATCTTGAAACCGAATGAAACCGAAATCTTGAAACCGAATGAAGAAGCAGTCAGAGGTAGGCTTCTACAAAATCATATGCAAGAATACGTACACTTGACATAATTTTATTTACTCATTACCAATCAAGTGTTTTAAGTTGATAACTTCTAATCCAGTGACTTTTCTCGTTTTTCTGGGTTCGATCCCTGGGAAATGCATTAGTAGTCTTCTGGCTACAAAAAAACTAAAATAGCTTTCTCTCTCATATTTTATACTAAATACAGGTGTTGCCATTTGTGATTTAGTTGCCATACATATATTAAAGCTGAAATAATCAGTAATGAGAGTAATTCGGTCCACTTTTAGCCTTATGTTTTATGAGGAGTGTTCGTAAAGTATTGTGGTGAAAGGCCATTTTGATGGTAAATTTCATGTTGTTCACAGTTGTTTATACAGTTGAATACCTAGAGAATGGGAGAATAAGTGATAATTTTGTGATCTTTCATAATTTTTAACCATATCAAATCCTAGGTCTGAGTTCTTTGTTGTTTGATTTTTATATCATAGCAAAACTGTTTGAAAAGAATCAGAAATTCATATTTAAAGATCCTGTAACACAATTTTCTTATGGTTTTATTTCATTAATATGATGCTCAAATTATGATTTGTCAATATTTTAAGTTTCAATAAGCTTAATTTATAAAGATATGACTGAATTTGACATTTCATGCAAATAAAGAGAGGTAATTAGAAATTAATTTTCTATTAATTCCAAGTCAAAGTTTCCAATAGGAAATGAATGTATATAATTCATAGATTACGTATAATGTGCACAAATATTTGCAGTCCATATTTTTTTTAAATAGAAACTTGGTTTATTTGCATAATTATATACATGTATAATATCTTTGAAGAATGGTATATACACAGGTACAATATCAATCACAAAACATACTGAAAGATTTTTTTCCTTATATTATAGGAAAGATTCAGAGGTTGACAGAGGAGCAGACAAAAACACTTAGAAGTCTCTTTCAGGCCAATATTACTCTTAGGCGAGAACTGAAACAACATGAATGCATTAATGTTATTCATAAATATCCGTGCCTGAAATCACTGGATTGGAAAAAAGTTAAAAACACAATTCACAACTGGATAACTTTAGAAAAGAGGAAGCTGAAAAAAGTCTGAAATTTCATTGATCTAGCTTCTTGGTTAGAAGTTAGTTTGGTTACTCCCTTATTTTCAGCCTTGCAAGTTAATGACATTCACTGCTCCATACATCATAGAGGGTTCTCAACATATATCAATGAATTGGTAACTTAGATAAGACTAATGCAAACTCCATCATTCTAAATGTTGAATAATGTATCCTTGTTAGTGGTAGAGAATACACCATTACTGACTGCATCTGTGTTTGGATTGAGTAATGTGTTAAGTAGATGTGTTACACAGTTCTTCTTTTACAATTAACTGTAAGTTATCCAGTTAACTGTGGAATCCAAAGAAGTGATTTTAAAAACAATTGAATATCTACAATTGAAACATTTTAGGTAACTAATTTAATCTTCTAACTAAATAATAAGCATTCTTGCACATTGAGCTGGCCAAGAAAAATGTGTTAGAGGAAGTTATCTTGTCTAAACATCAGCTGTATCTAGTTAGTGAATGTTAGCAGAAGTTGATATTATCTGAAAATAGCTCATATTTTCAACAATATTGTAGTGGGAATTTACTTTTTACAAGCTTGTCCCTACAAGAGATTATAAAGAAAAAAAACAGCAATATTTGATATGACTCTACATAGAGCAAATAACTTAAGGGTGTTTTTGGGAGTTTTCAAATAGACATATAGGCAAAACGAAAATTGTTCAATAGAATTTTTTTAAACTTGGCATGTTGTAACAGAAACATTTTAAGGGTCACCGTTATCGTTTTTGAGTTATCTGCCCCTGAATCACAATTTCTACTTATTTGAGGTCAATTTAAGGGCAGATAACTTATACATGCGTAAATTAATTCTTGTTTTTACTTCTGGATAAGAAATTCTATTGAAAAGTTTTCATTTTGCCTATATGTCTTTATGAAAACTCCCGAAAACGTCTTTAACAGGACTTAATCATAGCATAAACTTAAGTTTATGCATTATTATGTTTTAGAAGCATTTGTATGTGTAAATACGTTCATTGAGAAGTAGTGTAGGCCAATGGTTTAAAGATCAAGGTCACAATTAACTAGATAAACCTTTGACATGTTTCAGCTTTGCCATTTGTTTAAGAAAGTTTTTAATCTTTATGAGATAATTGTAATTCATTAGTGTATGACAAACATTCTTTTCATGTCGATGATTTACTATTTTTCAGGTAAACCTATCTTTGCATGTTTTTTTTTTTCTGGTGAAATTATAACTTGATTTATTGCATTTATTTATTAAATTGTTGAAATTATAACCACATTCCTTTTGCTTTAAAGGTCAAGAAGTCAAGGGTCAAGGTCAATTTGATTTGTATTCAGTACTTTGTTATTATGACATGTTAGATATATCATAAAATCCGTCTCACTTGTGTAATTAATTTTGTTATTGAAATTGTCATATGTATCGAAAACTATTAAGGTACCTCTTTTTGACAGATTTTCAAATGTTAAACTTTAAATTCCTAAGTAGGATGTTTGTCAGTAATTTGTTTTTGAATTATTGAATTGACAAATTTAGTAAATCTATTATGCATTATTTAACTTAGCAGATTGCTTTATATTCATTCCTTCTCTTTAAATTTGTTTGCTCATTTCAATCAATTAAGTAATTTATTGAATAACTAACAATTTATTACAGAAAACCTACCATATGCAAAAAGAGATATAAATCCCACATTTCAAGTCATTTGATTGGCTAATAAGACAAGGCCAGAAAATGATACTGAACCACTGACTAAAATTTAGTGTTTTTTTTATTTCTTTATGTGAACATATTTTAAAGAGGTTAAAGTTAGTTGTAGGCAGTTATTCAATAAATTAGTGCTTTTTTATATTGATCCAATTATTTGTCCTTGAACAATCTTATTTGCTCTGTACATTCAGCTTTGGGCCGAAATGACTGTCCTTGGATCGGTAACAGGGCCAATATCAAATCACTTTTTCATTTAGTTGTAAAGGTAAATTTATCATGAACTGGCCATGTCATAAGTACACTTAAGTTTTGCAGACTCCTGAAAGGGTCTTCTTTGAAACAAGCAGGCCCAGATTAAGGATCATAATCCTAGATGGCTTCTGCAAAAGTTAAATTAAATAGGCTCCTAGGTAAAAAACTGCCCTGTCCAAGGGGTCATGTAGTATATAGAATTAACAATGGTAAAACTGAAAAAAATGAAGAGATTACATCTTGTAAAATTATATTAATCAATTCCTATGTTAAAATTAGTCCTTCCCTTGGGTTCACTTATTTTACATGGAAACACATTTATATATCTTCTCTGCAAATAGAAAGCCAAAATTTAGACATTTTGCATGAACAAAAAGATGGATCTCAACAAAATTTAAATAATTGCTTTGTATTAAGATAAGCCCAGCACCAATGGTCATTTTCTATCATATACATTTATACTGGAGAAAAAAATAAATCCTCTTGAATGTCCCAAACCAAAAGGCCTATTTAATAAACATATGACATTGACTGATGGGCATCTGCAAAAGTAATATTAATCATGTTCTGCCCCTTTCTGGGGTTCAATTATTTTTCATAGTCTTCAGAAGGATATTTTGACATAAAACACTTGTAAGATAACGGACATTTATAATGATTTTTAATATGGCCTCAACCTTAATGTAACTGTCAATTATGTGAATATTTCCATAGCTATATTTCTATTAATGATCTAGATGCATTTAATGTATGATGTTTGTAAATAGTAATACCTATGTTATTGTATTTTGCAGTTTTAAGTTACAATGTAGGTTATTGTTATGGGTTCATTGTTAGAAATAAATTGAAACTGTTTGTTTTATTCTTAAAAAGATATAAGCACATACGGCTAATTGTATTTTGCTCTTTCAAGAGTGGGTAATGCTTGTGATTAAAGGTTTGAGAGTTAGTTTTCAAGAGGAAGATTTGTCACTTTTGTATCATTTAATTGAATATTTAGAGTGAAAGCAATAACCCTTTATTTATTTGATTATATATATCCATTTGGTCAGGTCACATAAGAATTACTGTTGTGATTTAATTATATCATGCTTGTAGATTTGGGGACTTATAATCAAGATAAACATTTTATTTCTTTAACAAAAATATTTTTATAAATATATAAAGGACAGAAAATTCTCTTCAAGGTATATTTTATGTTTAGCTAAGTTATTGTTTGGAAGAGAGACATAATTGTTATTTCTCTTTGCGTATGTTTATCCATTTCTTTTACTTTTTCAGTTCTTTGAAATGAGCCCCTATAATATGGTCATTAACTTCGAATTATTTGCATGTCTGCGTTCACAATAGTTTCTTGGGGAAGTGGTAAGGGTGCAAATTAATACACAGAAAATGTTCATTATTATCATTTATGTAAAGGTGATATATTTGGAAGTTGAAATACAAGCTCCTGATTGAGTATAATGTAATTGATATAGGCCATTTGATTATATTTTTTGTTGAATAAGGTGACAACTGAAATATTGTTTGTAGTAAGAAAGTTAAAGTTAAACATTTATGTTTTATTTCCTAGATTTCAATATTAAATTCTCAAAAAAATCCAGACTTGTTTGTATCTTGCAAAATTTCCTTTTTATTCATCTAATGGAATTTTGAAGTTGAATGTTTATCCTCGATGTAAAAAGATCATATGACTATGGACACCTAAAATGATTACAAGTGAATAAACTACATTACATTTGCTCGCTGATCAAGTAACTTGCAACCCAAATTTTAAGTAACTTTACTCTGGCAAATGTTAGAAATAGGAATTTCTGATGGTAGTAATGGGTTTGATTCCTGTGAAATGCTTTGGTAGTTTGCTGCCATGGATGGGAGTTTAGTACTGTTGTAACTCTCCAAGATATGACTGAAATATTGTTGAGACTGGTGAAAAAAAAGGCTGTTATTTCCTTTAAAATGTTGTTACAGTAATGTGTACCTCGGATTTTCCACACAATTATTATGCATACCTAGAAATGCACCTATATGCCACTGTGTGAGCTCACCATATTTGGACATACCCTCATTATTATGCATACCTCTTCATGTTAGTAGAAAGTTAACAACTACAAGTCTTTGTTATTTTTACAATTGTAAATGATATTCACAACCTATATGCATATGGGATATTGTGTGAAAATTTTCTATTCATTATCTTCACTACAAATAGGGTACCCCTTAATGATGTCACAGAATCAGATACCTCGTTCTGTAATATAGACCCGTATGTGTGTGTGTGTGTGTGTGTGTGTGTGTGTGTGTGTGTGTGTGTGTGTGTGTGTGTGTGTGTGTGTGTGTGTGTGTGTGTGTGTGTGTGTGTGTGTGTGTTTGTTTGTTTGTGTGTTATATAGATTATATAGTGTACTTAAAAAATCTTCTTGTGAAAAACCACTAGTCCAATTTAAACCGAACTTGGCCAGATTGATCCTTGGGTGAAAGGCTTCCAAAGTTGTTCAAAGAATTTCTTTCCATGCAGAAATCTGGTTGCCATGGCAACCAAAAGTAATTACAAGAATAAATTAAAAAAATCCTCTTGTAAAGACCCAAAGGGCCTATAGCTTAGATATTTTGCACAAGGCATTGTCTGGTAGACCTCTACCAAGATTGTTCAAATTATAGCCCTGGGGACAAAATTGGCCCCAACCCGGAGTCATTGATTTTCACTATATGTACATATAGTAAAAACTTAAAATACCTTCTTGTCTGAAGGTACCAGGCTTAGAGGTTTGATATTTGGTATGTGTTATTATCTATAGGTACTCTACCAAAGTTATTCAAAGTTTGCCTCTAGTGTCAAAGTCAGCCCCGTCCCGGGGGGTCATAGGTTTTTCTTATATGTATATTGTAAAAACTTAAAAAATCATCTTCTCTAAATTCACAAAGGCTAGAGGTTAGATATTTTGCATGAAACATTGTGTAGTGAACCTTTAGCAAGATTGTTCAAATTATAGCCCTGGGGTAAAAATTGGCCCCGCCCCGGGGTCATTGATTTTCCCTATATCTACATATAGTAAAAACTTAAAATACCTTCTTGTCTGAAGGTACCAGGCTTAGAGGTTTGATATTTGGTATGTGTTATTATCTATAGGTACTCTACCAAAGTTGTTCAAAGTTTGCCTCTAGTGTCAAAGTCAGCCCCACCCCGGGGGTCATAGGTTTTTCTTATATGTATATTGTAAAAACTTAAAAAATTATCTTCTCTAAATTCACAAAGGCTAGAGGTTAGATATTTTGCATGAAACATTGTGTAGTGAACCTTTAGCAAGATTGTACAAATTATAGCCCTGGGGTCAAAATTGGCTCCACCCCCGGGGGTCACTATGTACATATAGTTAAAAATTAAAAAAGCCTATTGTCTGAAGGTACAAGGCTTAGAGCTTTGATATTTGGTATATGATATCATCTATAGGTACTCCACCAAAGTTGTTCAAATTTTGCCTCTACTGTCAAAACTAGCCCCGCCCCGGGGGTCATAGAATATGATAAACAAGATCAACAAGGAAAGGCGGCGTTCAATGAACGCAACCCCCACATGACCCAGCAACAAGAACCAACGGCAAGGAGTCCAGGGGGACCCCAAACAAAAACAGGACATAGGTTTTCCTTACATGTATATAGTAAAAACTTTAAAAAATCATCTTCTTGAATTGACAAAGGCTAGAGATGAGACATTTTGCTTTAAACATTGTGTAGTGAACCTCTAGCAAGATTATTCAAATTAAAGCCCTGGGGTCAAAATTGCCCCCCCCCCCCTGGGGATCATTGATTTTCAGTCACTATGTCATTAAGTAAAAAATTAAAAATCTTATTGTCTGAAGGTACTAATCTGATAATAACATATAGGTAAGTGATCTATGCATTATGGCAATCTGTATAGAAACAAAATAAATTGTGTTCATACATTACTATTTAGTGTTGTATTTATGCGGTGGCATGGCATTTTTTACAAATGCAATCTTGTTAATTAATAATCAAGCACCCTCATACCGATCGGAATGATAGGCTTTTATTATGACCGACTAAAAGGCTCGAGATGTTGCTGTCGCCCTTTCACAAAATCTGATTTATTTCCATAAGGGACGTTGCGCTTCGGACGCCGAAGCATAATAATCTCAAACAGGTTCAGTCTGTACACCCAAAGTATGTGAATTGTAAAACAATTGGCCTCTTTGTTTTGTCTTACTTTAATGGGACTTCACTGAGAAGGACTGAAAATGGTTTCCCGAGATTTGTGTACTAATTGGTTTAAGACACATCCAATAATTTAGCTCATCGTGATTTTCCAGAATAACCATTGTCATTATGAACGATAGCCCAAAAATCAAAAGCGCTTTTAAGTGCTTGACTTGAAAATAGATTTAAAAATAAATTAAGATTTAAAAAATATGTTTATATGCCTTTAGACCTCAATGGAGTTCCTATTAACCTAGAAAATGAGTTAACGTTTAATATGAACCAAATGAGATTCAGTGTGTTATATGCACGAGTATATGTCTTAGCCTTTAGTTACAGTAACAAAGACAATATGGACAATATTTTTATTTCTATTATTATTATTTACATTTTTTGTTATTGTTATGATTATTTCTTTCTTTCTTTCATTTTTTTGGGAGGGGTGGGAGTGGCATGTTAATTTTTATATTTCACTGTCAAAAAATGCAAATGTTAAACAAGAAATTTGTGAACTTGTAAGATTTATTTGTCGTATTTTGTGGCTCTGTGTCTTTAACGAATGGACAATATAATTTAAGCTTTAGATTAAAAAGGAAAATAAGAAAAAGAATAAAAACGCAAAGATTATATAAATAATATAAAATATCCAAAGATGTTTATATTTATTCTTGTCATAGAAAAGTCAACAGTATTCATTTCTGTGTAACTTGATAAACTACTTGATATAAATATATGCATACTTCAAGTTCATATTTATTTACATTATCCTTAACTTTTCATTATAAATGCAGTTAAAGATCCTGTAACACATTTTTTTCATGGTTTTATCTCATGAATATAATGCTCAAATTAAGATTTGTCAATATTGTAAGTTCCAATAAGCATTATTTATAAAGATATTACCAAATTTAACATTTCATGTAAAAAAGGGAGGTATTTAGAAATGTATTTTCTATAAATTGTAAGTCAAATTTTCCAATAAGAAATGAATGCATGTAATTTGTTGATTAAATATAATGTGCACAAATATTTGCAGTACACATTTTACATATTCTTCGATGTTTGGAAATTGTTTTATTTGCATAATTATAAACATATATATTTTTTGCAACACACAGTACTAATATAAATCACAAAACATACAGGATCTTTAAATTGTCAATTTTAATGAAGATACCATATTATTTCAGCATGCAGTTAGTATTACCCCAAACCGAGTAGATGATTCAAGTAAACAGCAAGTAGAAACAAGTGCTGAATTAGGAGGGGGGGCGGGTATTCCGGATTGGATCAAGGAGCTATTCAAAGAGATGAGTGGACTCAAAGAGCAACTTAAAGTAGTTAGTAAGGATAACGACACTGTAGAAACGCTGTGCAAAAAGATGGACGTACTTGAAACAAAAGGCCGTGGGTATGGTCACCTTGACTGTATTCTCTGAGGCTAGACCCGGGCTAGGTTTTCCATTACAAACTATAAACAAAGACCTATCACCTTGTGTTTGTGTAGCTTGACTAAATGCAAGCCTCTTGGAATAATGTCAAGCTAAGTAGTTTGCATAACTAATTTTATGCATATATATATTAGTGCTTAGTACCTTTTTTGACATCGACATTAAAACATTTTTATTTAAAAAAACTGGTAATTTGTTATTTAAAAGAATAAGTAATAAACCAGTATTTAAAAGTTGATATTTAAAGAAAAAATGTATTGCAAAATAACGTTTACCCAAATGATATTTGTGTGAAAATAATATAATAGTTTGTTTTTTGTTGTTTCCTTTCTTTTTTTCTTTCTATTTATTTTTTCGCGGGGGCTGGGGTGGTGTTTGCTTTTTTATTCTTCTTATATTTGAAAATAAAAATTGCATACATTACGCGTACAATGAGTGTTATAAATATAGATCTTTCTTCCGTACTACCCGTTAACAATATCTAAAAATAGATTTTACGCATTCAAGCATATTAAGTGGTACTATATCGATTATCGGATATTAGAACGGCCATCGATTGTATGTACATACATGTAAATTAAAAGCAGTAATATAGATAAAGCTTTAGCTAAAATAGAGCAATAGGAGTTTAATCACAGTTAACTTGGACTTTAAAAAAAGACCTTCGGAGATATGGCGGATTACGATTTACTATTCAAAAGTAGTGTATTTTAGTTTATATTTTGTCTAAAGCAACATGAAACCTGTATAGTTATTAAATACAATGGATACACTTTTGTTATGTGTTCATTAATACATTGTATTTTAATTAAGTGATACTGTGAAAATGGGGAAATTTGAAAGTTTTTGTTTTAAATAGATGTATATGTATGAAGTATATGCAGTAACCACATTGGATGTTTTAAAGCTTTATGTTTGTATAGTGTTTATTTATACTAGTGTTTTAAATGGTTTACACCTGTCGCTAAAGTCAATATTTACAAAACGAATGTATTGAACTTTGATTTAAAAAATCTATACCAATTAGCGTGTGTATATTTTTGATTTTAGTATAAAAGTAATGTATAACATTAAGGTCAATAATAATGAAGTACATTGATTTTAATATTGATCTGTTGGTATGTAATTCAGGACCACTTTGTATATAGCTTATATCATTTATAGAAGAAGACTGTTATATAAAGTTTACATGATTTTCATTTATTAACTTTACAATGTAGCTTGTTTTCTTTTGCCCGCTCCCTGCAAAGTAAGCAAAGTAAAAAGTACCAACCTGTGTATTCAGAAAACGTTACCAAGCTAAAACTTAATTGAAAGGATCTTTCGGTATGAAGACGCTTTAACCACTTGGCACCTACATGTTCACCGTGTATAACCGGTTACACGGAGGTACGACTATTACTTACAATTATTTGCATTGTCACATTGGCTTATCGCGCTTATATGGAAACTTTGTTTGCAATATTTTATGACAAGTAATGGTTGATTCACAACTTTATTGTTTCGTTACAGTTTTGGTAATTGGTGATGAGAACACGGGGAAATCAGCTCTGCTACTGAGATACGCTGATGATACTTTCAGTGACTCCTACATTGCCACCATAGGTGTGGACTTCCGTGTGAAGTAATATATTTTTGTTCGATACTTATAAGATATATATCTACAAATATAAAACTTTTAATGATGATTCATGTTTAAATGGATGCTTAATGATATATTATGTTCATCTAAATGTATATAGTAAGTGAACACGAAAGAAAAAGTCAAAATCAGTGTACATTTTGCAAATTCTTTCAATTTTACAATCTACTTCACATGAATGATAAATAATCCACCTGGTCGAAGAAAATTTCTATAAAGATCGATCGGGAATTCAGTAGGGCATTTTATTTGTATTTTAAGATAGATTATATTTTAACCTGAACATTTTACGATATCAACTGTTGCTCAATTACTATTACATATATATAAGTCAATCTCTTGAAATATATAGTCAATTCAGCTCAATTTGACATTGATTTTTTTAGCATTATGGCACTTCAATAGATATATTTTCTAGATACTAAGTTTTAACATATTAAACACCATAGCCTTTTCGTATAATCATGTAAAATATTCTAAACTTAACACCAGTCCCATTAAAACATGTATAAAATCAAACATTTATTACAATTGTCTACAACGGTATTGCCAAACTTTGACAATTATCTTTTTGGCATAGCGTTTATTTTTGTATGCTAACAATCAAAGCATTACTTATTCAGAACTATAGAGCTTCATGGTAAAACAGTTAAACTACAAATTTGGGACACAGCCGGTCAAGAGAGGTTCCGAACTATTACCACTAGGTAAGTTGCATCCACCGTAGACAACATAACTATGTCACATATATTTAAATTTTATGTACTGTTAGGTTGACAAACAACTATCATTGTTCTGGATATAACAATAATGTCATTAAATGTTTTTGAAAGCCATTCAAATGTAGATGTTTTTTTGTTTCCGCTATCTAAGCACAATCACATGTCACACAGAACAGATAATTACAATGCAATTGAATTCAATATTTTATTTGGCTTTAAAGGGTCTACACTGAGGGTTTTTGACATGACGAGACTTGAAATAATATTCAACATTAATGTTCCATTTGATGTAGGTTGAGTCCAATAACTTGTGTGCAAAATTTCAGATCATTGGTATAACTCTTAGCTATCTTTTATTTATGTTTTGTTTTAAAGTGTCCCAGGTGATCGTTGTAAGATATTAGAATGTTATGGTTTTACGTGTCTCAGGTGATCGTTGTAAGATAATGGAATGTTATGGTTTTAAGTGTCTCATTGATCTTTGTAAGAAATTGGAATGTTATGGTTTAAAGTGTCTCACTGATCTTTGTAAGAAATTGAAATGTTATGGTTTTAAGCTTTTGAACCTCAGTTGAGTTCCTTAAAGCTGCATAAAGTATACGTATACTGTATAGCCATTATTACAATATAGGTAAAGTGAAATACATATTTACAATAAATTGTTCATAATACAGTACAAAATGTTTTTTCGAGAGAAGGTAGATTAAGCAAATAACAATGACAATGTTATTGAAAAAAGAAAAATTGTTTCCGGAAAATTACATGAATAAGTATTAAGATAATGTAGTCAATCCTGGTATATAGAAAGCTTATAATGAAAATCCAGGTCTTAATTGTGTTTGGTTGCCCGGCACCGGCACTTAAAATAGAAAAAAGGTTCTAAGACAATAACTAGAGTAAGCATTGAGGTATTGTTATCAAACTTGGTATAACACAAAGTTATATGAAGACCTAGGTTGAGATCATTGCTTCTTGGACGACTCGGGTCAAGATCACCGTCACTTAAAATAGAAAAAAGGTTATAGGACACTACATACATAAGCGTTTGCGGAGATAATCTGTTAGCATTTACCCAACATATACTATACATTTGTAAGCGTTTACCGAGATATTATATAAATGTGTAAGCGTTTACCGAGATATTCTTCTTTTTTAACATGTTTATATTTGTATTATATATTAATAATATATTTTACAGTTACTACCGAGGGACACAGGGTGTGATAATTGTTTTTGACGTCACAGATCGGTCCACTTTTAGAAGAGTTGAAAGTTGGGTGACTGATATTGAGGTATATATATGCTATTACTAATAATTTATTGATGATATAATTCGAATACTATAACAAATATTTAATTGTTCTAGAACAAAATATCATTTTTCATCATGTAACTGACAACCCAGTTTTTAGAACGGTTTCATTTTTTTTTTGTCAGAAAGTATTTCATCAGCTTATCCAAATGGTTCATTTTTATTTTTGTCTCAATATTTTAAATACCTTATGAAATGTTTCATTGAAGATGGAATATATGCTAATCGTGGATAGAAAATTTGCTTATGTTTACCAATCTTCTTTAAAAAATAAATTTTAAAGAATAAGCTAACATAAGTGAGTACAAATGATTCTGGACCTTGCATTTCTCTCATTTCCCATTCCGTTGAATCTGTACACAATTAAGTTTTAACTTTTACGTTAAATTTTAATTATATAGAAACTATTTGTTCCGTACAAATAAGTATTTCTTGTAAGGAGAAATACATATGTTTATCCATTTTCTTACAGAAATATGGCTCTGATGATGTGGAGAAATTGCTTGTTGGAAATAAATGTGATCTTACTTCGAAAAGATGTGTCACAGAACAAGAGGCCAAGTCACTTGCACGTAAGACCATTTTCTTTTCCCCATTGTTCATAGTTGGAAAGATAAAGTTGTAAAGCGATGAAATCTTTTGGTGGTTTAAAAAAAGCAAGAAAAAATGTATGAAAGTATATGACAAATATTTTGCGTTAACGTAAACAAAGATGAAAAATAAATTATTTAGAAGTACGTAAGGTTTGTTCATGTGTGGATAAGTTATTTTTGTAGTATAGGGAGGGGGATTATGGTTTTGCTTTAAAACTCAATGTCAAATTTCTTTCCTTCTTATTGATTGCTATATACTGCAAGTATTTTCAATTATACTGAAAGAGGATAACCTTTGTTACAACTCTATATATTCTATATGTCGCAACCATTAACAGTGAATGAAATGCTTAGACGGTCCGTTAGCACCGTAAGCCCTGAGAACAAAGAAATAGGCATCTTTAAAGAATTTAAAGAAATAAGGGACTGACAAGTGACCATATTTTTTTTTTACTTTTTTGAACAAAAAAGAGATGTTTATGATTGTATTTTTTGACTTTTTTTATAAAATCATGCATTTCTAATCTCAGTAATAAACAACATGGACTATGTAGAGACCTCCGCAAAAGAAAATATCAACGTTGAAAAAGCCTTTGAAACACTCTGTAAAGGTTGGTTTCTTTTTATTTAACATCGATGTTTCTATTGAAAGGGTCTAGAACTTTATCTATGAAACAATTTTAAATTCAATAGTGGTACAATTATATTGTTTTCTTAATCTTATGGTCGATTAAAGAGTTTAATTCAATTTCCCTCTAATATATTTAATATCATTTGTATTGCAATTTCAGAAATGTTCACTAAAATATCTCAACAGCAAACCATTGATGTAAGTATCGTTTCTTTATTATTTCTCGTATATTGCTTTTGGTTTTGATTTGTTTTGGGGTTTTTCTTTGGTTTTGTTTCTTTTATTTACTTTTTTTATTTTTATCTATTTGTAATTTGATGGAATATTTTATGTATACAATGCTGGAATAAACGTATTCATAAATTTTCGTTTTACCTGCTTTTTAAGCGCAAATAAAACAATTCTATTTTCATTTTTAATTAGACTACAAAAAAATGTATGTACATTTTATGTTATTATTTCTTTCTTTCTTTCTTTTTGGGGGCGTGTTAATCTATATATTTCACTGTCAAAATAAAAAATGCAAATGTTAATTAAACAAGAAGTTCGTGAAATTGTAACATGTATTTGTCATATTTTGTGTGGGTATGTCTTTTACAAATAGTGTAAGCTTTAGATTAAAAAGGTAAATAAGAAAAAGAATAAAAACGCAAAGGTTATATGAATAATATAAAATATCCAAAGATGTTTATACTTATTATTGTCATAGAAAAATCAACAGTATTCAGTTCTGTGTAACTTGATAAACTACTTGATATAAATATTACATACTTCAAGTTCATCTTCATTACCATTAGCCTTAACTTTTCATTATAAATGCAGTTAAGTTATCAATTTTAATGAAGATACCATATTATTTCAGCATGCAGTTAGTGTTACCCCAGCCCGAGTAGATGATTCAGGTAAACAGCAAGTAGAAACTAGTGCTGAATTAGGAGAGGAGGATATTCCGGATTGGGTCAAGGAGCTATTCAAAGAGATGAGTGGACTCAAAGAGCAACTCAAAGTTGTTAATAAACTTAACGACACCGTAGAAACGCTGTGCAAAAAGGTCGAAGTACTTGAAACAAAAGTAAACAGAATGGAAACTAGAAAAATTGACTTCAAAGAAGCTCAGTCAAGAAGCTCTAAAAAGTGATGAATATAATAATGTTTTTATCTTTATGCTGACATATGTCTTCTACTTTGAATAATTACTATTATTTTAATAAAACAAAAAAAAGGTTGGTTCTACTTTTGGCATTTCGGTCCTTTTTTTAGATAGGAGTCTTTTAAGATGAATAAAAACTTGTTTTTTATATTGTATCCAAGCTGTTGTTGATATTTGAATAACATGCTGCTTGTATATTAAGGTAGATGACATAATTTGTTTTTGAGATCTGTTTTCGAAATTTTATTTATCATGTTATTTTGTTATCTATTTTTATTTAATTTTTTTACTTTTTATGGGGTGGGTCCAATATTTCTTGTGTTTATTATTTTAATTTTTGTATCTAATTCTGTTGAAAACGTAGATAAAACATATAAATAAAGGTATTAATAATAAAGATTTATCGGCCTTTTCTAAATACTGAAGAGAACATAAAAGCGAATACAAAAGAAAAATAACACAATTTAGAAAATAAGTTGTTCTGAACAATTCAATGTTATCAATAATAGATATGACAAAGCAAAGCTTCTTTACTTTATTCAATCAAAATAACAGAAAACATTAATCTTAGTCATATTTGCATTTAGCATAATTGTCAAGCGAAAACATATACGGTTACAGACGTTAAAAACTTTCATTGTTAAACATAAATTGTATGACTGCATACATGTTGCCAGTTGACTTTACTTGGGAGCAAATCATTTTGTATAATTGTGCAATATTACTCACATCAGCAGATATCTGCACATTCGTAATTAAATACCATGTTATTCAAGGGCTAGAAAATGCAAGCACAGGACACATCAAAGAGATAGCTTAAGGCATGCCGGTGGATCCTCACTCGCTCGCTAAGGTCTTACTCCACCAGTAAAGTTGGAAAGTTACAATGCTCAAAAAAGAGACGGTTGTAAAATAGTTTTGGTACTTTAAAAATAGAAGGTATTTAATAAATACTAATAAAATAATAGAAGTCCATGATCTTTTGTCCTATGTTCCATCCTTCATCCTTTTCAATAATTACATAAATAAATACATACATGTAATTTACGAATAAAACTACACAACGATATTTTTCTGTATAAAATAATGCAGCTTTGTAATAAATAAAATGACTGTACTGATACTCGTAGCATGAGAGAAGTTTTTAATGTATTTAAACAGACCGAATGTACATGTATTGGTATTATAAATACAGTTTGGACACAAGCGATTACTTATTGAATATTTGACGTTGAAAGAATAACAAAATGCGATACAGATTGCAATGTTATCAGAATTTCATTTTCCGTAATAATACAATCGTTTAGAATTACCTTGTGTAATACTGCTTTACATTGAAAACATTAGATAAATATATCTAAAACCGCGTTATTTTTCAGAATATTGGTAAATTCCGATCGCATACATTATGTGTACAATAAATTTGTATAAAGCACTAATTTATATAAAATAGCCGATAGATTTTAATAACCTAACCTATAAATAGATGTTACGCATTAATGTAAATCGTTACGATATCTGTTTATGAAAACATATCTATATTGTTGATCAGTCTATATAAAAACTGTCATTACTCGTAGGAAGTTAGGTCATATTTCATTACAAAGGGTTATACAAACATGGTTAACATTGTTCTTTTGGAATTTATTGTCTACTCGAAAGTAACGTGTTATATAGTGAACCATATAGGAAATCCTTACTACAAATGTTACAAATATGTAAATTCGTGTTAAATGTTATTATTTTGAATCAATGCTAATGTTTATTGATACATAGTTGAATGATTTTCGTATTTAATAAGACTTTTTGGCAATGAGTTTCACAGTAATTTGAATAATTTGACAAAATAGCATTAAAAAAAATCAAGAAATATTTTTGTTCAACAACATGCCCATTGAGGTTCGGTTGATGCCTTTAAGGGTAAGGTGCAAGAATTGCATCCATCGTTTATTCCTACGAGATTGTAAGAGGCTACTTCACTTTAGTCTATGCATCTCATCGCTCCAACAGATGAGATAGGTTTTGTCCCGTTCTGTTGCTTTAAATACACGAGGTTGGCCAAAAATCATCTTTCCTGTGTCGATTAAACCGATACTGCTTCAGAAGGGTATTTGTTATTAAGGAGTGATGATTAATGTTTTAAACAAGATTACTAGCAATTTGACGTAATATTTATTACAATGAAGTAACTACTATCTGCAAGTGCACAGAAATGAAAAAATGAAGAAAAAAATGTTCACTTGCTTATTGTTGCCACTATCATTATACTCGGCAATGGTGACTTTTTTTCGGTGTTGTGTCTTACGGACCTCTCACAATTTTTACTTATATTGAATGGTATAATACTTTTTTATAATACATGCGCAATCTTTTCTAATAATTATAGAGTTTATTTTTACTAAAGTTAGTGATAGATATATTACTCAATTATATCATTGAGAGACAAGTTTTCTTAAGCATATCTGCAAACACGTATATATTTCAAATCATTAGTAATTAACTCTAAAAATATTAACAAAATATGTAACTAAATAGGTCATTTTTTCATTGTAGCACGAAAACGAGTTGTTATAGTACGGCTGTGTTTAAAATTAATGAGTAACTGTACAAATCTGTGTTGATTCAAAACAGACATTTAAATGGTGAACATCTTCGGGGTGAAAACAGCAAATAGATAGGTTATTCTAGTGTATATTACGCTAATTTTAAAAGTTATTTTGACCACAATCATCCACACCAGCCCCTATCTGTTATTTATGCATATTAATCGTTGCGTTATGTTCATCATAATGACAAATTAACATATAATTTCATGAACGAGTATATACTTAACTCATAAAAATAAATCAGTTTGTAACACTTTTTGATTGTGCCGCTTTGAAGTTAACTTTTCTTGTCTGTAATCTGTTAACTTTTGTTTCAAGTTCTTCCACCTTTTTACACAACGTTTCTCCAGTAGCTTCGAGATGATGAACATTTTTGAGTTGTTCTTTCATTTCACTCATTTCGTTGATAAGTTTCCCAGCCCATTTGGGAACGTCACCGTCTTTTTTATCGTGGCCGTTTTTCTTTGGTTTATCACTTACATCAGCCAACCCATTTGCCGTAACGCTCTTTGAACTCTGAAATATAAATATAAAAACTTTTTGTTTTCTACTTTCTTTTCTTCTGTATTATGTTGAATTTATCATAGTGGTAGACAAAATTAATTTGTTATGGAAAAAACACCAGTTACTGATTGCATATGAACGGATATTGGAGTACATTGATGTAAACAGTACTGCAATTATCACAATATTTAGTTTAATTTACGAACATAATTTTCTTTTGTAAAAGGTTAATATACACTAAACACAAATCACATTTTTAGTCGTTAATTGTTAAGAGATATTGATAAATGTCTACATTTTTTAAGACCATAAGTTTCATCTCTTCTTACAATTATGAAACATTGTCTACTATTGATAAGCCAAGAAGTTTTCTTCGCTTATTACATTTAATATACTCTGACCCAAAACTTTTTTAAAAAGCATAATTGTTTTTTGGAAAACATTTTAAATTTACCTTCCCAGCAGCTTGCCTAGACATTCTTTTTAACATTCCTGGAAAAAGTAATAAGCTATGAAGAAGGTAGTCATATTCTTTGGTCAGATAAAATATTTGAATAAATTAAATGAAGCATTACGGAAACAAAGACAACTATTGCACCACACACTATTTAATAAACTTAATTATATATGTAAAAGAATACTAAAATATGAAATGATGTTAGTGTTTTACATATATATCACATACATAGTTTTGTCTTTGAAGATGGTATCATGTTAATGCTCAATATCATCGACAAATTTTATTAACTTCAAAAAAGATTAAACAAATGTGAAACTTTGCTAAAGTTAAGACCACTGCTCCGTCGTTGTACAAGGTTAAAACTAGTTCTATTAAAAACCCAATTAGATTCAAACATTTAATAATAGTAAGTAAAACGGTTTTGTACCACAACCTACTTTCACAAAGTGACGTAAAAGCCTGTGACACATTTATCCTTTCTTCAGCAGACGTATCTATATAGTTCATGTCGTGAAATTCTGAATATAAAATAAATTATAGAAGAAATATCATCAAAAAATTATAATAACAGCATTTTACTTGACAGTCATCAGTTTTCTCTGTTAAGGCATTTAATTGAAAACGGAATGTTATAATAATTGACGTACTATATTTACATACCTGAAATACATGTACTAGTTTTTCGCTTGATTAATTATTTTCGACAAAAAACATATTGATGTAATTACACTGTTAAGGACTTCACTGATTTTTTTACGTGGCGGGACTGGAAAATGATTTTTTCCGAAAAGGGTGTTTTATTTGATGTAAGTCTGAACTCAGTTTTCTCAAATTTTCAGATCATTCTCTCACAGAAAAATCATTTTTTAGCTCAAATTGACCTTGAAACTATCATTGAAATCGAAGTTAGAATCGTAGTCAATACAGATTTTCAATATATTGAGGATATAATAAGTCTTTTTATCCTTATCAGGTATTTTACCATTTCAAGTAAGAATTTCTTCTTTTTTCATTGTTTTTAAGGCTATTTGACCCTATTGAAGCAATTTTTTAATATCAAAGATATTTTAACAAAATTCTATTGTTTATTTATATGCGTCATGACAAAACCAACATAATGAGTTTGCGACCAGCATCCGCGCAGTCTGATCAGGATCCATGCTGTTCGCTTAGAGAAATTGAAAGCGAACTGCATGGATCCTGATCAGACTGCGCGGATGCGCAGGCTGGTCTGGATCCATGCTGGTCGCAAACCCATTTTGTTGGTTTTGTCATGGCGCGGGTCAATTTTATACTTGCGTCTGAAGTTGCTTCTTCTTCAGTGATACATCTCACAACTGTCATGTCGCATTTGTTGCCTACCATCAATCTTGATACATTTTTTGGTGCGTACCGCTGTAAAAATGATACGAGTATCTCAATATTGCAAGCATAAGTATGCTGAAGTAAATATTTTAAAACAAATTTCAAGGAAGTTCTAAATGAACAATCTGAAAACATTTTTTTCTTAACCCGCTTTTTATGAAATGACGCCAATATGTTTAAAAAATGGGACATAAACAAATCTGCGGATATTTCAGAATTCCATCATTTTATAATTATTTAATGTAAAATACTGTTTAGGCCGGTGCTAGGGGGGGGGCGTAGACTGTGGCTTCCAACACTACCCGTGAACAGACTTAACCAAACCAAGCGTGCAAAATTTTCATTTTTTTTCAATTTTGCTGTTCAGAGCCTGCAATATTTCAATTTTACCGTTTTTTGCCGTTCAGAGCCTGCAATTATTTTAAGTTGCTGTTTAGGGCGTTCTATAAAGATTCTGTTTTTCTTTATTCTAGTACAGTCACTACCATAAACTTTGAAATGTGAAACAAAAATGTAAATCAAAGAATTAGTTAAGATACATATACTAGTAAAACGGACACTAGTAAAAATGACAACACCTCAACATCTCTGATCAAGTCGAATACTCGGTCGTATGACGCTTGATCTGTGACGTCAAATACAAACATTACGCCATGACATCCTCTGTAATGTCTAAAATATAAGACTGTTTTCAGTACGACAAACATAAAATATGAAAAACAAGAAGAACAATAAGGGCGGCATTCAATGAACGCATCCCCCAACACAGGACCACAGGAAAGGAGCCAGGCAGGACATCAAACAGTACAAGTCGCATGGGATGTAATTATCAATTATTCAAAATAGTATATGTCTTTTTTCAAAAGTTAGCATTGCTGTTTGTAAGCCAAGTTGTTTCAACTTAATAAATTGGTGGTTCTAAACTTAGTTCATTATTTTCGATGGGTTCCTCTGCTGTGTCACATTTAAGGCGAACATCCAAACATTTATGTACATGAGGAGCCGTTAAATAATTAAACACTGAATAAAATATTTAACTGCATCGTTTGGACTTGAATTTCCTCTTAATCTTAAATGTATTGTTTGAAATTTACGTTTATGCATATTATGTTTATTTTGATTTGATATTTCTATTTATAACTAAAGATATTATAATACTACATGTAGTAACAATGACAAAATCGTTAACTAACTGATACTTACTCAGTGGTTATAGAATTTAATCCCTCGTGTCCTGGGGTATCACATATTTGGAGTTTAATATAGCGTCCTTGGTGTTCTAAAGTCCTTCATAAAAATATAATTTTCTTAATTATATTGAAATATTTTCTATATCAATCACTACATGCCACTGATATAATAGTTATAATGTCTCTAAAAAAAGGTCAAGTCAATTTACTGTAAAATTACCATGGTCAAAATGTGAATTTAAAACACGTTAAAATTATTACAGAAATTATCTGGAAGACATAACCGCCGTCACTCATTTAGGTTTTTAAATACCTGGCACAAATAATAGATGATTAGATTATTGAAAACAAATCAGATATTAATAACTGTAACGATTTTGAGTATTCAGATATTTGATTTCATTACTATTTTTTAAAGATATGACGCTTATTTTGAGAATTGGTGAGAAGTGTTTAAAAGTTAGACTTGTATAAAGTTTAATATCTATATAAGTTTATGAAAACAACAAAAATGTTTAGTTTGTAAATTCTATGAATAAAATATTTGAACAGATATGACTTTTTACGCCTCCAGATGAGCCAAAATATTTCAAAAAATTCAATCTTTAGTAAAAATGTATTGAGATCTTAAGAAAAGTAAAAAGATTCAATATTAATTAATTTTTTACATGTCTTGTGCGATTAATGACTAATTTTTGCAGTATCATTCAATATAATTCTACTGCGTTACTAACGCAGTAAGAGGTATATATTATGACCTCTTTTTTTGGTAATTAACGTGGATTGTAAGTGCCATTTGCAATGTGTAAATTACTTTCTTTGTTTTCTTCACAATAGTTTACTTTTAAGTACATTTTCAAAATTTTCATGAAAATTAGCATTAGTAAAGAATAAACTTATTATTATCTTTAAATAATTATGTCAATCTGCCTATATGTTTTACCCCTACTTTTTCCGTCTTGATGCAAAATATATAAGCAATTATAATTATTAGATATTTAGAATATCCATATAAGACAATTAACATTCTTTTAATACGTACTTCTCGCGAAATTCGACGCTTGTAGTCGCTTTAAAGGAATCATTGAATTCATCGTCGATGAATCTTTTTATTAACGAGGTCTTTCCAGAATTGATATGACCAACGAGTATAACTGAAAAATAAACAAACAAAAGAACGATCGATGTTGCTTGGTTTTCATATGCATATTATTATAATGTAAAATGATGGTGTTTTTCCAAATCAAATCAAAATATGATTAAACTTAGATTTGGTCGTAGCTAATAGAAAAATCATAATTAGATATAACGATAAATATTGTATGTGACTATGAAGAAATGATCAATAATCTTCTTGACCAATGGAAATGTCTATAAATAGTGTCTATAATTTATAGGTTACCCTCAATTCTTTAAAAGAATGGGGCAGTCGTTTTCTAGATTTTATACTTTATAGATATCATACACATGTTTCTTTATCAAAAAAATTGTATTGGTCAGTCACTATTTTAATAGCCTATCTTTTGAAATATAATACTTATTCAATTCAACTTGACAGTGAAAAAATATTCAGCATTATGTCACTTTAATATATTGATAAATCTACCAAGCTAGTCTATGGAAACAAGCTTTTTATTCAAAAGATTTAATTCTCTTAATAAAGCTGCATATTTTGTAAAAATATAAGTAAAATGTATTATCCTTTACCTTTGAAGAGATGGTCATATTCCGCCATATCCCTCCGTTATATTGTATTAAATCATGTATAGGTCTACATTTATGTTTATAAAACAGCTTATACTCTTGTTTATACCTTAGCATACTTAAAAGTTATAAATAGTAAAAGTGTATTAACATTTAAAAACTCGATAATCAATAGTGTACCGCGATTTTTCAAACTTCGATTGAAATTAAAACTACGTTTATGTCCATATGCATATAGAAGTATAATACAAATTGACTTAAATCAAAGCTTTACACAGGTATCACGACTTTTCTTCGGTTTTTCTTCGCTTAAGCCGGTGCTAGGGGGCATGGGCAGTAGTTTGCACCTGACAGTACCGTCGATGAACAGGCTCAATCAAACTGAGCCTGCAACATTTTCAATTTTGACGTGTTGGGCTTTTCTTTAGGGATTCTTATTTTCTCTATTAGTAGTTTTTAAAGACGCATTATGCCTCAGAAATCTGTATTTTTTTATAATTTAGAAATGCCAAACATGTATTTGATAATGTTTTAGTAATGAATTAAGAGCCTCTTAGATATTCAACAAATGAAAAAGGTGGTGTTCTATATAGTTTTAAAACTACGGTTTCATGTTTTCTTCGTATCCTACTTCTTTAGTAGGTCTATGTTTTGGGGGGTTTTAAACTTACTATTATTTATATAGTCGACATTATTGAAACTATTCGACTATTTTTAAGTATATTTTGCACTTATTTTTGGAAAAGTATTATATCTCTTTTTAACTAACATACTTTTGAAATAATCTGTAAAATCTAAAATTTAATCAAATTGAAATAAATCATTCCGGTTTCATTGACTATAAAACATTACAACATAAAATAGTGTTTTTCAGTCCCTCTATATGTTTTGCAAGCTCTCAGTCATTTTCATAAACCTGTACTGGAAAAAAGGGGAAAAAACTAGAATCATTGTATTAACCAATAGAAGGGCTCAACCATCGATGTCTGTCATATTTAAAATTAGTTTACCGATTGTGCTACTACGAATGCGAGGATGACTATTATAACTTAAAGCTAATGTGACTTTTCAAAACCTTTTTTAAATATTCAATATTAATTTTCAGATATAACACGGGCAGAACCGAAGTTCCATCGAATTTTTAAGGGAACAATATGTCTTTACCTCTTTAGAAAGGACACTCATTTTTTTAATGTTTATTTAATGGTTCTACAGAATGTTCGATTACTGTTACCCGAAGAAACTAGCGATACATGTGAAATAATTTGTCATAACAGTAACAAAAAATCTAAGCAAAGTAGTATTTTAACGTTTATACGAAGTACTAATTCACTATAATAGTACTTATTGCCAAAAAACAAAAGATGTTAAAGATGGTTCAGGTATTGGCCAATGAGTACCTTCTTCTTTTTCATCATCATCATCATCATCATCATCATCATCATCATCACCATCACAATGAAAGGAAAACAAAACAAACATCAACGAAATAGCCTTTACTTGATAACGTTCTATTTTTATATGTTTTTTCGATGTTACATTTATCGAATTACTATGTTTTGAACCCGCTTATTACACAGTAAATTCAAATAATATTTTAATGCTAATGGGTGCATGATTTTCAAATATTAACCATAACAGTAAAAACAACACTAAGTTAAAACAAATTAAAAATTAACTGGATGCTCTTGTTTTGCTAAACAAACAATAATATGCTGTATTTTATCACATTTACATAATATTGATATTGCGTATATTAGAACACAGTCAGTTTTCAATTGCAGTTTTATTTATCACTTTTAACACTTTTGGAATGAGCTGTCTTAAAATCCACTTTCCGTGTCTCAAGTCTAGTCACTCTTTTCTCAATGTCATCCATTCTATTACTCATAGTTTCTACCACATTTTCTAGTTTGTCAACAACTTTCAGTTGTTCTTTTATTTCGCTTATCTCTCTGAATAGTTCACCAGCCCATGCAGGGATATCTTCTTCTTCTAGTTCAGCGCCCTTTTCTTCTTCTTCATGCTTACTTGGTTCAGCAACACCTGTAGGTGTAGCTTTAATTTCCTGTAAAATTGACAAGCATTATATACTTTTGTCTGATGTTGTTTTTATTCATAATAAAATAAAGTAGGTTTTGTTCATTTTTTATTTGCTACAAATTCAAAAGATATTTTTTAATGAAGAGTCATAAGCAATCTGATCCTACAAATATTGTTTTTTTTTCCGATTGTTACAAGTTATTTTAACCAAAAAAAAAAAGAAAATAGATACTAACATTTGGTGATAGAGAGTTGCCTACATCAAGATCCTTGCCTACTTTCCTCATTATACCTACAAACAATATTAAATGTCAGACTTTACTATTTCAAACGATACAATGCTTTTCACTGAAATTGAGCTGCGTATTCGACCCCAACCTCAGCCACAAGGAGCAAAACATGTAAATTATATTAACATAATTATAAATAATAATATACAGAATATTTCACAAAAGGCAAAGATAAGTTATCAAAAAGTTATAATCATTTGAACAGACAAGACGACCAACATTGAGATTTATATACAATTGTCAAATAGTATGTTAGAAAATATTGAGTATTTCTACAATATAAAGAAAATATGTTTTGATTTCACGCAAAGTAGATATGTTATGTGTTTAAATTCTACACACTATAGGTGGTCACAATATGAATATACAGTGTTATTTAAAAACTAGCAGGTTTGGGGGTTTCTTTTAATAACCAACTTAACTTGTCCCGTAACGTAGTTTCCAATATATATTTATTCATTCTTTTATTCAAATTAGACACATTCAATAAAAATTTAAAGATTTAAATAAATTTCTGTGACGAAAGTTTTTTTTCCGCGAGAATGGGAATAGTATAATATATTTATATGAAATCAAGTATAAGACTGCTTTCAAACAGGCTAATGTTCAGGTACAGTTTGATCATCTACTTAGTATGAAATCCAATGAATCAATAACAAAAATTCATGAAGCAGCCAGAAAACAATTTGAAAATCTGTCTATCAACGCTGGTAAAAATAACCACATTATACTATGTTCAGCATTGATTACCTGTCAATAAATCTTCAAATGCTTTGTCCACATTTGTGTTCGTTTTAGCTGACATTTCAATAAATTCCAAATTATTCCTTTCTGAAAGAAAGAAAAAAGTTAAAGTTCCCTTAACTGTTTCTTGACGAATCTGTGCATTTTTTCTTGCTTAAATGTGCAACATGTATTAATGTTGTCTTTTAATAAAAGATACCTGTCTTCAAACATTTTTGTACAAAAGGCGGTGATTTTTGTCAATATGATACAATATTTGTGTTTATTCGTTATTCTCTTTATTATAATATTTGCAGTTTGCCTCATATAAGTAATACATTTGCTATTTTGTTAGTTAAACATTAGCATTATACTATAGGCGCATCAAAACTGGTTCTTTTTCACTTCAAACGATCTATGTTTTTTATGCAAAGAATATTAAATTCGTGTAAGTTCATTACTAAATAGTATATTAAATTCGTTGCTAGAGGCTAGCATAATGTACTTTTATCCAACTCGTTCAAAAAATTCAATGTTAAACTTATACTCATTCAATACCCTCTATTAAATAAAAAGAACTCATGTGGGCACGATCTTATATTTTTAGAAACGAACGTTTCTAGCGTGTTATCAATAACTCAAGGGATGTTGTTTTGAAGGAGGCTTAAAAGTAATATGATGCACTGTTTTTAAGATAAAATTATTGAAATACTTAATTTTAATAAACAAAACATAATTGTTTTTTTCCAACATTTAAAGTAAAGCTAAAGGCCGCTTTAACATATTTGCTGATTTGCGTATCAGTATCAATTTTCCTAGAATAATTCTATTCGCTCTTTTCGTCTTTAAAACCACTTTTAAAAAAACTTTCAATTCTCTTCCTTATAAATCAAGTTTTGTAACACAAAAGATAAACAAAAGATAAACAAAAGATAAACAAAAGATAAACAAATGTTACCAGCAAATTCTTTAGCTTCATTTGTAGGCACCTCTCTTTTACTTTTGAGATCCATCTTATTCCCTACCAGTACTATCGGAATATTTTCTATGCCATTTTCCTGTAAAAAGGCGGGAAAATTCTTTCTAAAAAATGTGTGTTAAGGTGACATTAGTTAATTTATTAATCTGGACCGTGATAAATGTATTTTTTCACATATGAAAAATAAAATAAAAACTTTTGTTATATAATCATGTACAAGTCACAATAATCAACAAAACCTTATTTTTAATAAGGTTACACTCACATTGAATGGGTCCATTCTGCTTGTACAAATTGTTGTTATGCATTTTAAAGGAACAATTTGAATTGTTCATATTAAACCATAAACGAAATTCATGAACAACCGTTACAAAGTTTCCGAGTTGACGCACCTGTGTCGTTTATTATTTTCGGTGAAAGGCGATTTCATATATCAACTTTGTGTATCTTTAAGGACCGAGTTACCACGAATCGTAAATGTTTATCTAGAAACACCTTACCAAAATTAGTCTTTATATTTGTTAATATAAATTAAAGAAAAAAATAGAGCCAAATGAAATAAATGAAAAATAACGAAACTTTATTTGTATCCCTTCAAAGTTTCGTGATTTTGTTTATTTTTCATTTAATTTTTTTATTTAATTTTTTATGGTAGGGATATTTTAGGTATGGAGATTTCATTACATATATTACCTTTATTTCATTCACCCATTTTACGACATTTGTAAAACTTGAGCGTTTTGTGACGTCATAGATAATCATCGCTCCCACGGCGCCTCTGTAATATCTGTAATAAGATAGTGTGTAAATTATACTCGTAAAATAATGTTGAATCCGAATACCACTTCTTATTCTATTGTCCCTTATATTCATAACTAAGGAAATCTTTTCATCACACATGTATCTTTTCCAATTTTAAATCAGTTCTATTAGATCAACATAATGTCATCAGGACATAAAAGAAGACTATAACAATCATGTAAATTTCTAGATATTAAGCATTTGCATTAAAAATGCAATAAATTTTGAATTGAATTGTTATTTTGAAGAACAAATTAAACAAAGCAAACGGTGGAATGGCAGATTTAATGGTGCAGTACCATAGGCACCGTAGAAACCTTTTCTATCCACAAACTCAGTATAGTTTTGTACCCGGAACTCGGCGAGTGTGGGTTTTACCAAACTAATCTCTTGGAATTTTTACCGTTATACAGCTACATGGTGCACTATCGGTCACAGCAGATTTGTCAACCAGTTGCACTTCTTTTCGAATTAGCTGGGAGGGGGGGACCAAAACTATTCTTAATTCCGGTGTAAGTCCAGGTGTGTCTCCTTTTAGCCAACATTAAACAAATCTTTTCAGTTTCATTTAAGTAAAAAAAAATGGTGTACCAACAGGAACAATTTATAACTACATTGTATAATAAACATTTGTTGTAAGGGTATTTTATTATTATATAGAGGATTATCTATACTAACGCACTAGTGATTGCCATGTAGCGTTCCTGTCCGGCTGTATCCCAAACTTGAGCTTTCACGTTTTTCCCATTCACTTGTACAGTTCTGGTTGTATACAAAAGAACACATCTTCAATCATAATGTATAAATATGAATTAACACCCGTGACTGATCACAAGATGATAGGGTTATAGCTATACAGATAAAACAAGGACAAAAGCCTAAGGATATGATTAAATGAACCTAAAGATGTCCAGAAAATAAAGTATTTGAAGTTGTAGAGATAGCATTATCAAAATAAAAAAACGCTGTTGTAAGGTATATAAAGAAAAGCTCAGCTTCGAATGAATCGCCAACGCTTATTTGTGATAGGCAATGCGTAACAAAACAAAATGTAAGAGTGTTATGGTATTATGGGTGTTATGCACTTCACTTCTCAAAAAGATGAGTCAATTTGTGATTATGAATGTACAACTTTGAAATTTAAAAAACCGTTTCATTGCAGCTGCTTTTATTAAGTAGTTGATGGGAACATAAAATTTATCATTAATATTAAACATTTGTATTTACCTTGTCCCAAATTCAACTCCGATTGTCGCACAAATCTTCTCCTTGAATTCATCTTTAGTAAATCTTGAAAGGATATTACTCTTTCCCGTCTCTGTATCTCCAACTACCACCACTACAATGATCACAATTTTAAAAACGATTAAAGAGTATAAAGCTATATATGTGATGCAAAAATTATTGTTTGGAGTTTTAAGATATAGTAAATGCTTTTATGAAATATAGTATATAAATAATTTATAGTATTTATTGCCTTAAAAGTGATTGGCGCATGCACAGAATCATTGCTAAACGTATAAAACCGCACTTAAAATAGCAAAATAATATTTTGTTCCGGAAAATTTTATTCTGTTTACGTATATTATTCATGTGTATTAAATAATAGAGACATTCTATGTTACAACTTTTTTAGGGAATCAACCACATAATAATGGAACCAATATTAATTTATTTTACTGTTGATAAATTTTATAAATATATTTCATAAGATATAGATTCATACCGTTTAAATAATATCATGATTTTAAACTTTTCATGAAATTAAATAATTTATTTAAACATCAGTGTTGTGAAAAATATATAAGGACCAATCTTTTTCTCAGGGTAGTTGGTTTTTAAATTTATACACTGAACTTGATTCGAAAATTAATTGGACAAAAGCATTCAATGTGTGCGAAAGGTGCTTTAATTGAACAAGGTATTGATCCGAAATTAGATATTGGTAATATTTAAACAGTAGATAAAGTTCTGTTTATCATAGACACGTTTAGACAACCTTAAATATGATTTTCTCACTCACACTGTATTCGTTAAATATCTCGTTTTAAAACACTTACATGTGGCAGTAGTTCTGATATATTATATTAAATATGCAGCTCTATATATATTTAATAATTTAGGTATAATAATAATGATTTATAAAAACTTGTTAAATGCACATATACGATAAATGTTAACGGGTGTGATTATAGTGGTGTCGACAATTGGGCCATATAAACTGATAGGTTACAGTTGTTTCATTTTACTTTTATAAATAATTTATAATTGTTAACAAATATGTTGATGTTCTTAGACCCATTTTGTATGGGAGAGTAGCTTTAAGGAATATGCAATGTTTAATTTTAAAGATATTTGCCTTTAAACAAATACATTTCAGCTTTTAATAAATGTTAATCTTGACATAAGTAATAAAATATCTTACCTTTGTAAAGGTAATCATAGTTGTCAGCTTGCGTAGCGTTAAACATGTTTTAAATTACAAAACAAAACACTTAAAAGCCACTCTTGTTAAGCTTCGATCTACCCTGTACATTTAAGTACATGTATAATAACGGTAAATCTATTTATAGATCATTCAATGGAGATATCGATATGATGGACTATTGATTTTCTGATTTATAATTTTTAGTTGTCAGTATACACAAAAGTCGTTAAGCCGGTTCTATATTGACATAAATATTTTAAAATTTATAACGATGCCTGAAAATATTTCCTAAACTTTAAATGTTCTCGGTGATGCATAATAGTACCTTCATAACATAACTTATTTGATTGTTCCCCGCTTAAACTTTTTATTATATAGCCTAATTTGACGATCCTTGAAATGAATATATCACCCAGTCTTGCAATATTCTTAAGGGGCGAGTAATCTTTATAGATTTAAGGGAACGTAATGTTCTAGTTCTCTCCCCTGATAACAATCCATGGAGTAATAATGCAGAGCGGGGGAAAATTTTATTATTATTTTTATAATAGCAAAGTTTGTTGGCATAATATAGTATATACATACTTATAGGCATATAACATTGTATTATAACTGTGGAAATTAAAAACATGAAACAATACGTATTTGTTATTCAGAAAATGAAGTTTTAAGCAATTATTTGCTAGTACAAACATGTCAATATTAAAACTTAAGAAAACATTGTTTACATTAGTTTATACCAACATTTACAAACACAGCTTTTTACAAATATACAATTGAAAATTTAAGAAATAATATCTGTTTCAATGGTGTTAATTAGCTGTTAAACACCGGTGCGTACGAACAGACCACTAAGGCGGTAGACTTTTTTTCTCGTTTGTATAGTTGGCGAACGGCCAAAAAATGATATCCATACAATTTTCGAATTTAAAATCGTGCTGATTTTTAGTGCACGAGATAAAAGTGTTATAGCCTAGCTGTTTATATAGGTGTACTATATATGTTTTGTAAACGTCTAAGATACATGTATATTTGTTATAGTGCGCTTTAGTGTACTAATTCCAATGGTGGCCGCGCCAAATATAAGACTTTACTCATCTCCATTTGATTTAGTAATGATTTTATTTAAAAAGACAAGTTTCACCTTCTGAAATCAATATTGTTGTTAGCGTCTGAAAGTAGTATTTTATAAACTAGATTTAGAATATATCTAACTAACAATTTTCAGAGTTTATAGATTAAATACCAGTACAATGAATAAATAAAATTCTGCAAATGACGTTAACAAGTTTTCCCATATAAAAATGTATGCCTAAGTATTTGAATGATTCGACAAGTTCTTATATAGATTTATTTCAAGTCAAGTGGTTATAAGTGTGTCTTCCTTTTTTCAAATTTCACCTTTTTATCTTTTTATATCAACCTAAAGTCCTCAATCATAACAAGTACTTGCCAGGTTATTTCAAATATTTGACCGAACAGTTGTTGATGACTCTGTAAATAAAACATCGTCATCGTCATCAAAGAAAATGAATAAATAATTTCTATTATATATTAATAAAAGAAGAAAAAGTTTATTCAACATTCCACTAGGCTAAAAAGACCATGAGGATAAATATAGCACAAATATCTACATACAACTAACAGTGCATGAGCAATGAAAGATATGTTTGAAATAGAATGCGTATTTTCATATACCGTATTTACACTGTCACAGCAGTGACACATATTTTCCGGATTTTCACTGGTGTCTTGCCGGACTACATTCTTCTTAATTCAGTCAGTACACAGAATTAAAATAGAAGTCTTAAGAACTGTAAGGTCAAAAATGATACATAGTATACGATAAACAAAACATTCAAGTTTTTTCTAAACAATATCATCTTGTGATATGAAAAATATCATGTTTCACTTGTGGTTCCGGCGACTAGTGAAATATTTTTTTTATATAACAATGAAAATAAATCCTGTATTTAAAGAAAAAAACTTGAATATCCTCTATAAATTGCATTCTCAAGGATGTTTTTTGCTGATGACACAATGTTATTTTCATACTTTGAAGATGGGTTGCAAACTTTGATGAGAAAGCTGCATCCTTTTGTATAAAATGAAATAATTCTGTAAATACAAGTAAAAATATGTTACGTTAAAATAGATTAAAATAAAATTAAAATAAAAACGCTAAAATATGCCGCGATTTAGCGCAAGAAACACACTGGCAGTATAAGAACTTTAGGACATTTGAAAAATCGGGTATAAATTTTAAGCCGGGGCTTTTTGTTTGCAATTTAGCATGATAATTGGGTAATTATGCCTGGCAAGGATGAAGACCAGAAATAATGGGGTCAATACTTGCGATTTGATAAATGATTTGGAAATTTTTATTCACAACTACCAGATTTTAAGCAAGACGCGACGAAAAATGGCATATGAATATAATACAAGATGTAAGGCAAGCTTAATCATGAAAGTTTAATTTAGCACCTAAAGCCCACTTTTAAAAGATGGAAACTATTTTGACCAGTGTTATTGTAGTATTTACAAAAGTTTTCCGACGAACTCCGTGACAGTTATCACAAGAACTCCTGACAAGTTATCATAAGAACTCCAACCTTCTTGTAACAGTTCCTCTCCCGTGAAACTGCTGCAGCGACAGAGCAAAGGTATTTTTCATTATTGGCAACGCCGGTGAGCGGCGTCGTCTCTTATGGAATGCTTTTTATTTCGGCCTATGGAATTATCTGTTATTATTAGCAGCTAATGTCATTTTGTGTTAATTAGTTGTTTTTTTTTGTTGACGTTCGTGTTAATGTTCGCAAGTGCGACTGCATGTCTTTTCAAATGCAGTGTCGGCTAAACTGTTGACTATTTAACGGGGCATTGTTCGAAACGTCATTTAATTTTCAAATTGATCAAACTGTCTAGAAAAAATAATAACCCAGCATTGAATGTCATGATTGCACACCAGTTTTAACATTTAGATAACTTAATGAAAAATAATTTACACTAATATTAAATAGGGCTAGATGTTTAGTGTTTTTGTATAAAACTGCAGACATGCATTTACCAAGAAGAAAGAATGCTTTTACGGATAGGTTCTCGTGACGAAGCGCAGTTGTTTGTAAGTTTTTTATTTGCATGACATAAGTGGGCAATATAACAAAAGCTAAATAAATGTACGGTGTTCCGTTAGGGCCAGTGCGTTTTCTTTGAGAACGAAAAGCGCAAAACATGGCAGTACGATGGTGACAGTGCGACAGTACGATGATGACAATACGACAGTGCGATGGCGAAGCACGATGGTGAAAGTCCGTCGTGCTGTCGTATTGTCACAATTTTACAGTCGTACCGTCACCATCGTACTGTCCTACTGTCACCATAGAATTGTCGTACTGTCACAGTCGTACTGAGGCCGGTTGGAGTACGGTATGCTCTTGATATTGAAATTTTGGACTCTGATAATGAAAACGAGGTAAAATGGGGTTTGATATGCATTTGGTATGCTAATTTCTACTCTGGAAATGAAAACGAGGCTAATCTTAAAAAAATCTTATCCCGACCGATCATTATTTCTATTGAAACATCACGTGGTTCAAATGCTTAAAGTTGATTGGTTATGCCATGAATTTTCGCGAGTTACATAAAAGTTAATTCACCAAGGACAATAGTCCTTATATCGACCTTTATATTTTTTTAATTAGATCGTTCACCACCAGAATATGTTGAGCAAATATGAAATTAAAACGCAACTACCTGTGCCTTTTAAAAATACAAATATTTAATTTCAACGGACTTTTTATCAACTGTTTTTGTCAATATTTTTATATTTGATGACGTTATTAGTTTGAACAACAATGACAAATTAATACGCGTGTGACAAGTACAGTGTTTACATTGAACAAAACAAAACAAAAAAGGTTTCTTTTCCCGGAACGAATATGAATATATGATATATAAAAGAATGAAAGACGAAGTGTTTAAACTGCAAGACTGAGTAATTTAATTATGAATAAAACAAATATGCACAAGGTAACTTGGTCGTTAATAAGCAAATATAGTACATTGACTGATTGAGCAATAGGAGACATTGAATGATTTAATTGGTTAATTTAAGTAACTTAACTTTATTTAATTCGATGGTCAGTGTAATGTTCATTCTAGTCCTGTAATTTAAGATCCTACAAACGTGCTTAATTTTCATGATAAAGATGAACATGATATTAAAAGGTAAGTAGTATTTCTAAATTGTACATATTTCAATAAAATTTTGTTGTTCTTCCGTATTTTTCAATATAAATCACATTGACATCAAATTTATTGATGAATAATATGAAAAATGTTAAGCATTTTAGCACATTTGGCAACTAACAAACAAAACACAAGCATATCGATGAAAATATTTCTCGCAAACTGACATGGATAATTATTTTCCATACCGACAAAATTACAAACTTTTCGACAACATTTCTAGCACATTGAAAATATTACTGGTTCTTTCGCGACAATACACTACTTTTACAATACGATATTTCCTTAGAAACGGAAATAGTATTTCGCGCATGCCAAAAAAAAACAATTACGCCAGAATATATTTTATCAGTATTTTACAATTTTATAAACAAATTGATATAATCTAAATGATATACCGTAAGTTTAAAATTGTTCATTTTGATAAATAACCGATGCAATGGTGTATTTAAGTAATTTTGTTGAACATTTCTGCATTTACGCATTCAGGGTCTTTCAACTTTGCGGTATAAGGATGTAACTATAAAGTAGGATGCACTTACCTTTTTTATTATATCACTACCCATTCAGGAAATATGCTAATATGAAATATGTTACGATAAATTGTATAAAAAATATGTGTTATTTCGCTACTCACTTGGTAAATGTTCTTTACCTCTCAAGATTTTGTAAAATTACTTAAACATATTTATTTAATTTTTAAATTTTCTTTTTTTAGCATGGCAGTTAAATGGGATAAACGATGAAATCATACAAAATGAAAACTAGAAACATGTTCATGAAAATGCACTATCATATTTTCTGACATTTTTTTTCATAATTATAATTAACTTTTAATTCATATGTTATATAAATATCTTGAGCCTTTTTTATATGAACTATATGAACTACCTCAAGAAGGATAAAGTATACCTCTGTTTTTGCTAGTAAATATACTTCCACAATATTACAACCATTTTCTCCATGGTTTTTAATGATTTTGATGTACAAAAACTACATATACAACTTACTAAGTTTTCCGATCTAGTCGGGTATTGTACTTTTATATCATGTTAGAGATACCTGATTAGATTTGCTTAAATATCTATAAAAGTTTTGTTGGGCTAGAATAATAAAACTTGTTTCATGTCATTCATTTCAGTGAATAGCAAAAGTATATCTAAATTTGATAATTTCTCAGCGAAGCATCATAATTTTCAGAGTAGCCGAATGAAAAGAATTGTCTTAAATGAATAGAGGCTATGCAAGTTTTTTTCTATTGATACAGGATTTATTGATTTATTTTCATCGTGTGGTATGAAAACAAAAAGTTCATGAGTGGCGGTAGCCACGAATGAAATATGATCTTTTTCATATCAACAAGATGAAAATAGATCCTGTATTTAAAGAGAAAAATTGTTTGTTATACAATTTTTCTCATTTATAAGTATATTTAATAGAGGATATTTAAGTTTCTTCTATTTATACAGGATTTATTTCATCGAGTGGTACGAAAATAAATATTTCACGAGTGAAAGTAGCCATAAGTAAAATATGATAATTTTCATACCACGAGATGAAAAGAAATCCCGTATTAATAGAATAAACTTAAATTTTCTGTTTATTATATACTATTTCTCTTTTTCAACCTTATGAATAGGAAGAATTTCCTTTTCATTTTGTGTATTGGCCGAATTTAGAAGAAAGTAGTTCGGCAAGACACCAGTGAAAATACGGAAATATGCTTCACTGCAATGAAAAATAATTTTTTACAGTGAAAAATACGAAAAATAAAAAATACGCATTTTATTTCATCAATATTTATCAATTATATAATAAAAGGAAATATCGTCAAAAATAAATTCCGTCATGGATGTAAATGCGAGAAAAAAAAATGTCAACAAATATCATTTTTAAAAATGTAACAAAGTTCGTAAATATTTCAATAAGAAGAATGTTATTTAATAATTTGTTGACGTCGTGAATGAGAGCGCATGTCATTACTCGGCAAATATCAGTAAAAGGCTTAAAACCTCTAAAAATTATTAAATAAATAGAAAATTAAATTTGTTTGTTTTGTATGTAAGATCAAAGTATATTTCAATCGGAAAAAAATCACCCTTTATGCTGACAAGATTTGCTTATGTTTATAAAATTTGTGTTACCCTAGAGCAATAAAAAATGTTGTAATAATCATGATTTTTTTCAGTGCTCAGCGTCGCAATATTTCTTCCAATTGTCGTGTATTCTCTGACACAGCTATCGGACAGATTCCGGACAGAATATGTCTGTGACATGGACTATGGACAGATTTTAGAGGCGACCGGTGCCCGCAGTGTATTGTCTTGCGGAGGAACATGTTCCCGGAGAACGGACTGTCGGTCCTTTGTTTTCAATCCCCAGGACAAGATGTGCCAATTAAACTCCCAGATTCTCCTGAATCCAACCTACGGATGTCCCGTCGTAGTCAAATACGTGAGTAAAACAACGTTTTATTGAAGGGAATCCACTGAGTCTTTTTTTGACATGACAGGACTGGAAATACTTTTCTCGACATAAACTTTCCATTTGATGTAGATCTAGACCATTAACTTGTGTGGAAAAATTCAGATCATTTGCTCACTCCGTTTTTCTCAAAAAATTAATTTAAATACGAAAAATGACCCAAATTTTTAAAGCGTTGCAACGCTTTTCACTCAAATCGGGCTAAGAATAGCACAAAAATATAATTTTAAATCATTTCTTGGCATATTTTGTATATCTTTCTGATTTAGGTACACATATGTCACATTTTTTGAAATATTTGAAATCAAGAGGTCATTATACATTGTTGACCTCAATACTGGACTCGTACAGAGCTGTAAAATCTATATCAGACTCGACTCCTTGTCCAATATTATAAAAGATTGACATATGTGTATTCGTCAAATAGAATCCAGTATTGTACCTAACAGCAGACAATAACCTCATTAATAAAGCATGATTGTAAATCATGATATCTTTTTTGTGCGTTTAGGAATCAACGTTTTATATTTGCGATTTGACTGAATTTAGATAAAAGTACCCATTACCAGTTAGTGAAAATACGGAAAATGCAGTGAAAAATAAATTTTAAAGTGAAAATACAAAAAATTAAAATACCCATTTTATTTCACCAATAGTTATTTTTTTCTCAATTTTTCGTTTATAAGTTTATATTAAAATGATATGATTTCCTAAAAATATTTTCAAGTATTTAATGTAAACTAACATTTCCTTGTTAGCATGCTTGTTTAAAATTCATTAGACCAAAATAGAACTTAGGACTTATGCCATGTCTTTTCTCCAGGGTTACTTTTTGAGTTCGAATCCCGGATTGATAGCTTTGCCACCATTTGAAGGAAAACTTGTTGGCGAATCATGCGTTGATAGCATAGAGTGCGTAGAAAATTTTACAGAATGCAGTGTAACTAACGAGTGTATGTGCATACCAGGATATGTTTACGATTATGCAAACCGCACATGTATTTTCATAATGGGTAAATAGCATTTATTTCTCTAAAATCTTATTTGAAAAAATCGGACAACCTTTTGGCAATGCTATAATTATATCAAAAGATATATTCAACTTCTGCTTAGAAGGAGATAACTTGTGTTGAACAGAGTATTGTTTGCTCTTATGGTAGTCTAACTGTAATGCTTTCCCCGCCAAAGAAAACATCGGCCAATACCGTAGCAAATCGGTTATTTCGGAACCTTGTTTTTTTTAATCATGGGCATTAGACTATTTAAAATCATTCATCCTTTTATCGCTGTGTACTGTGATATTGAATAAAGAATATTGTGAAGAATAACGTTCCGGAAATGACCGATTTTTTACGATATTGGCCGATGTTACAATTGTTTTGGCGGGAAAGCATTAAAACGAAATATTATATTTATCAAAAAAGAATCCATTCTGTTCCATTCTGCATTATTTTCTAATCACAGCAAGTCTAATTCTAATTTACAAATTTACCTTGATAAAGTATCTTCACCAAAATTTTAATTAATATGTCAAAAGCCTCATCAGCATTTCAGTCTAACTGTTTAGACAAACCAGGAGCTGGAAATTACTGTTCCGCATTTCAGTACGAAAATATGTTGGGTCGAAACATTATTTTAACATGGCTTATTCCGTATCACTATAAATATGACAAAGCTTACGTATATCCTTCTATCTTTCATTACGTAACACCCTAGTGTTCTAATATAAAAAAAAAATATATATATATATATAGAAGTGTCTGCTGATCAGCTGATTATTATAGATACTTTGTGAATCCTACCTGTCCAGCAAAATTTTGGCAAGTTTTGCGTCGGACTTTATTGAAAGTCGTCCGTTCTATTCACGCCAGCGTGAAAGTTCCGTACCAATATGAATTCTGGCCTTACTGAAAAGAATATTATATGCTTGTTTTTTCCTCTTCTTTGCCGAATCGGTCACAGTTGACCTACGCTTTCTTTTTTGCAACGGTTCATCCGCCATTGTTTTCGTTTTGTCATTTGATTAATAATCATGTCACGTGACAAGATACGGAGTTCGCCGTAAATTTCCGTCATCTTCGGCTTTTTCCGTGACTTAAAAAAACTGGCAGTTTTTTAACTTTATACATTTTTCATATTCGATAATTGGATGAACGGGCAGGAATCCGTTGTACATGTATTCACAAAATATTCATATTTTTACGTAAATAATCAATATAATATGTTTTTTTCATGGTTTGTGCTGGTCAAAAATAGGCCAGATACACCTTTAAAATGTATAATTATCTATTTAATTTTTTATTTTACAGACTGTCTAGCGTATGGAATAACGTTTCAGATGTCAGAAACGACAGAATACAAGCTCACTGTGGACATTCTTCTAAACAATGCCACGGAGGACGAATGTAGGGCTATATGTTTGACCACTACACAATTCACATGCCGTATATTTGAGTTCAGCTATAAGAGAATGGAATGTAAAGTTTTTTCCTTAGACACAATTCCGAGAACAAACGTAATTGATGGATACGACAAAGAGTACGAAACTTTTGTCTACGCACGTGACTGTGCACTTCCGGCTACGACCATGTTTACGGCATGTGACGTCAACAGTGATTGTTTGGAACGTGATTCGGTGTGCTTTCAGGGTATTTGTCTCTGTAGGGTTGGCTTCAGCTATGATTCCGAGCGGAGGAAATGCGTCTCAGGTACATACTCTTTCTGTTTCAGCCATTGTGTTGTTGTTGTTGTTGTTGTTGTTGTTTTACCCAATCAATGTTATTGCGCAAATTCTGATTGATAATCCATATCATAATGTCAGAACAAAATTTATACATGAATCCATTATCGATATGTTAGAAATAATGCTTGTGTTAAGCACAGATTATTTTATTGAAAATAAGAATATTACACGATGTAAAGGTAAAAACAAAATAACAATTTCCTTTAAAATGTAAGCCCGCGTACAAAAGTATTACTCTTCATAAATATCAGCTGAAGTTTAAATACACCAACATTTTTTTATAGTTTTAATTTGTATTGAAAAGGTACAGAAGACCCTGCTGTCAAACTCCCATTACCTTTTTTTTCTATAATTGCTTTTTTTTTCCTTTAGTGAATGATCTTATTTGGTAACTAAAATAAATAGAAGTTCTACTGTTTTAATTGACGTGTACTTATAAATATGCCGTTGGACGACCATCATAAGTACGCATTAATAGTGTGCAAAGAAAAATAATTCAGTCATTATTGCTGTGTAACATAATTATTAAATTGAATAAAAATTATAATTAAATTCAGAAATAAATTTCATATAAGGAACAAAAAAGCATTAATTATTTTATGTGAATTAATTCAATAGCCGTGCCGCTTTTGCGACTCCGTAAAAATGGTATTGCACAACCATGCATATATTTTGACGTGACGTCATTTGCGATATACGATATATAATATAAGCATAGCGTAAAGACGCGCTATTTTTTTGGCGTTACATTATAGGCGCGTCATTGGGGAAAAAAATTCAATTTAAACACTTTTCATTTTTGGTAATTGTTTATAATTTTATTTAACGAGTTCAATAAAGTCAGCTTCTATTTATGCAATTATGAAAATGTGATAAATAGATTTTTTAAATATTTTACCTTTGCTTAAATTCCAGAATGCTTTCTTTACTCGAAACCAATTACTGGAAACTCTTACCAAAGGATATCCGGGATCTACATTACAAACTTCAATTTCTCTAGAACATATCCAGTTCAAAGTGGTCCGGAATGCCTGAATTACTGTACGTCGGATACCAACATCAGTTGTGTAAGCTTTATGACAGACATGACTTCCAATACATGCTACCTGTCGGAACAAACGCTCGGTGTATACCCAGACGCCAGCTTCATATCAAATTTTGCCTACACTATTGTACAGTTGGACTGCGAGCCAATGACCTCACCCATCGAAATGATCCCGTGCTATGGGAATGTGTGTTCCGCTACCAACAGCGAATGTCGCAACGGTGTATGCAAATGTGTGCAAGGCTTACGGTATCAGCCATCTCTAGACCAGTGCACGGAAAGTAAGTACAATTCAATTTGGATTATGTGTCGCTCATATACGAGGGGTTATCCAAAAGTTCGTGGACTTTCTTTGTTGCGTAAAATATATTTGAGATAGTAATTTGAAATTCTTACACTGCTTAGAAGAATTAATAACAAATAAACACAGAAAAATTCACATGAGTAGCTTCTTATATTACAACAATGTTTAATTTTACATAAACACATGTCGGCGACAGCGGCGCACTCCAAAAGTTATTGACGTCAACGTCATAATATTAACGTACAACTTGTGCTTCAACGTTCCGCAGTCAATGACTGTTACTGCTTCTCAAAGTAATGCTCATCACTAAATTTCTTATGTCACTTTAACACTAATGATCATGAAATTTTCTTTTCTCTGTTCGTCTGCTGATTTTTATCAAATGTTTTTGTAGGTGCTATTCCCAAATTACAACAAAAATTTATGATCGTTTTATGATCGCGCGATGTTTTAATTACCTCGTGTCCGTCATTTTTCCGTTGTAAACAATAAAGTAGTCTGGCGTTTCTAGCGATATCAACAAAAATAAACGGAAATGACGGCCATTATTTTACAGAACTACTTAAATGACATCATAAAAGAAACATGCGATGTTGAGCGGGTTTTCTACTTTATTTTTTTAGTTTTTAGCAAGAAATATACGATGACTTACTCCGCTTTTCTACCGTGCGCCGGGTGCCGTGTATGTGCTTATTTAAAAGCAATATAAAATCTTTATTTATTGGCAAAATTAACTGTTCCTTTCAAAATGTGTTGATGATATTCTAAAATGTATGCTAATAAAATTTCATTACAATACACGTTGACGTTCAAGAGATATTTAAAAAGTCCACGAATTTTTGGATAACGTACTTCGTACTACGTACTTCGTGTTATCAATTGCAAAAGTTATCAAACGACATGATGCACGGCCATTTTGAACAAATATTAGTATCCAGCTTTATTTGTCATCCAATGAAAATGCTTCATTTCTTAAAAATTATGTGTGTTTGTTTTCACAGAAGAACAAAAATCGATACCAAGTCCGTTCATAGTGAACACTAAAGATGATCATTATATAAATATAAAGTGTCATTAAAAAAAACTGGCAGTTTTTTTTAAAGAAAGGACCAAGTTTTCATGACCTGTTAAAGGAAACGCAGCTTCCCATACATAGTTAATTCATTATTTTATTCAAATTAAACATACATCTACTCAGTGAGAATTTCATATAATTCAATAAATGTCTGTGATAAAAATATTTTACTCAAAGATGAGCATTGTATATCTTTAACTGAAAAAAAGATATAGATCTAAGTTAATAAAAACATATATATTTTTTTTTATTTTATTATTTAGCAAAAAAAAAAACCCCAAACGATTTCTTAAAAGTACTATTAATATAAAGATTACTAAAATTTCAGCATGTACAGAGATGTACGGAAACACCTTCCAGACCATCCTTGATTTCCATGTCGATCAACACAATGAAGTCACTTTAAATATGACGTCAAATGACGTCATCAATGAATGCAAGGCTGCGTGTGTGAAAGAAGACAGTTTTGTTTGTCTAATGGCAGAGATAAACTTCACAACAAATGAATGTACATTGTCATCTGAGGCCTACACGCAAATATGGTCAGTTTATAAACTAACAGATATTAACTACGTCACAATGATAAGAGATTGTGCCTAATGAAGGTTGTTTTGTTTTTGTTTGTTTGTTTGTTTGTTGTTGTTCTTTGTGGGGTTTTTGGTTTGTGTGTTTGTTCGTTCGTTTATTTGGTCGTTCGTTTGTTTGTTTGTTCGTTCGTTCGTTCGTTCGGGTTTTTAATATTTATGTCTTATTTTATTTTACACGCTAATATGGACAGTTTATAAACTAACAGATATTAACTACGTCACAATGATAAGAGATTGTGCTTAATGAAGGTTGTTTTGTTTTTGTTTGTTTGTTTGTTTGTTGTTGTTCTTTGTGGGGTTTTTGGTTTGTGTGTTTGTTCGTTCGTTTATTTGGTCGTTCGTTTGTTTGTTTGTTCGTTCGTTCGGGTTTTTAATATTTATGTCTTATTGTATTTTACACGCTAATATGGACAGTTTATAAACTAACAGATATTAACTACGTCACAATGATTAGAGATTGTGCTTAATGAAGGTTGTTTTGTTTTTGTTTGTTTGTTTGTTTTTGTTGTTGTTGTTGTTCTTTGTGTTTTTTGTTTTTTTGTTCGTTCGTTCGTTCGTTCGTTTATTTGGTCGTTCGTTTGTTTGTTTGTTCGTTCGTTCGTTCGAGTTTTTAATATTTATGTCTTATTTTATTTTATTTTTAAATATTCAGTTGTTTTTTGTTTTGTTTTTTGTTGCTGTTGCTGTTTTGTTTCTTGTTTTTTTCTTATAACAACAACAATAACAACACCATCTAAATGGTGTTGCGGTGACAGTGATTACAATAATGCGGATGGAGGTGGTAAAGAGTTAGTCATTTTCGTTTTCTGAAAGTGTATTATGACTGTTTTATTGTAAAATGGTATAAAAACATATATATGGACAATGTGACATTCTTTGAAAATTTCATCATGCCTTGAATCTGAAAAAAAATATGTGCACATATCACTTACATTTGCATTTTAACGATAGGTTAATATTCTTAAAGAACATTCAAAAGTATTATTTACAGTATACTGTTAGATTCTTTATCTCGGGTTTTAATGACTAAAAGAATAAATGATATCTAAGTTTATTCTGCTTAAGTATTTTATCACCTAACTTAGGTTTAGTAAGGACACTCAAAATATGATAAATTTTCATTTCAGTACGGACCTGTTTTTCTTATGCATTGTATTGCCTTTCTGTAAAATATGAAATTTACTGTTTAAGGACATTATTTCTGAGATATATTTAAGCGACTGGTACTAATTGACATTCTTTTAGATAGCTTGTTTCAGCGACTGGTACTTTATGACATTTTTTAGAAAGTTTATTCAAGCGTCTGGTACTTAAGGACATTCTGCTAGGTAGTTTGCTTAAGGGACTGGTACTAAATGACATTCTTTAAGATAGTTTGTTAAAGCGTCCGGTACTTATAGGCATTCTTTTATATAGTTTGATTAAGCGTACTAAAGACAGTCCTTTATGTAGTTTGTTTTAGCGTCTGGTAGTAAATGACATTCTTATAGGTAGTTTATTTAAGCGTCTGGTACTTAAGGACATTCTTTTAGGTAGTTTGTTTTAGCATCTGGAACTTAAAGACACTCTTTTAGTCTTTTAGGCAGTTTATTTAAGCGTATGATACTTAAGACATTTTTTATTGTAGTTTGTTTAAGCGTTTGGTACCTAAGGACATTATTTAAGGAAGTGTGTTTAAGCGTCTGGTGCCTAAGGACATTCTACTACGTAGTTTGTTTAAGCGACTGGTACCAAGGGACATTCTACTAGGTAGTTTGTTTAAGCGTCATGAACAATTAGGTAGTTTGTTTAAGCGACTGTTAAGTAGTTTGTTTAAGCGTCTGGTACCTAAAGACATTCTATTAGGTAGTTTTTTTAAGTGACTGGTACTTATAGACACTTCTCAAGAGAGTTTGGTTAAGCATCTGGCACTTAAGTAAATTATTTTATACAATTTGTTTAAGCGTACAATTTTGTATGAAAATGTTCCTAAAAAGGTATTAGCATTTCAAGAAATAGTTTTTTATTATGAAAAAAGAACATAGAAGTAGGGCCTTGATGTTTTTAATTTTCACTTTGTCCGGTGAGTTTTTCATAAATCAGATACTGCACATCTGGAATAATTATCCATTTACTAATTATTTTATTTTTTTTTTACGAATTTCAGTATTTTCACCAAAATATACCTGATACTTATTTAAATTCAATTCAGATAAATTCCAGAAAAACTCAGAGTCAATAATCGTACATAAATACATTGGAATATGTAAAGCAATACTTGATATTAAAATTTCTTATCGCTTGTGCTTCAGTGGTTTTGTGATAAATACCATGTTTAATTATAGCACACCGCACGCGCACACATGCGCACGCACGCAATATTACAGAGACCTTGAGGAACCTTATTTCGTAAAGCTATTAAATGTGAAAATTAACATCGGTAATTTAACTCGTTTTTATCTTTCCAGCATGCTTAACCCGTATTTTTACATTCATCACTCACTTCTAGAATTTATCATGCAACTGCTATGGTAACTGCCCGATAACACTTGCCTGATAATTATTTTTGATATCAGGTCAGTAACCTGATATCAAAAATAAGCCCCACCCATTTTTAACGGACTTTTTTCAATTGCTTATACATGTATTCTCATTTTCATCAGCATGTGATTCTACAATGTAATATCATACCCTTACAAGTCTTGAATCAAGATGCGATATTTATTTATTTATCATTTCGATTTCAATTACGAATAAATTAGACAGCGAATAGTTTTAACACCAACTAAATGAGTGACGTCATAATTTATATTGCCAATGACATCATCAATGTTTACGTCATACTATACATGTAAACATAACAAACAGGCTTGGCGATTTTCTTTGAGAACTTGTAAATGTTTACTTTATTTTGCCGGATTATCATTTAATAAGTGAACAAATTGTTTCGTTTAAAAAATAAGACGCATGATGTTTGTGTAGCTTGTGTTTGATTGCCGATTTGACTAATGTTTGATTGAAATTATCGTGAACTTTTGAATTTGACAATTCAAGACAAAAAGTGCAGTAAATTAAGTTTATGTGATTCTAAGGGATTTTTTGGATCGATGTTTAAATTAAAGGTAAGAATTGTATCGTGTTAAGCCTACATTCTGTTGTATCTTTTATCCGAGTCGAAAGAAAAAATGGCCGCCATTTACAAATTCTAAGTTTCAGGGGCGGAGGAATTTGTTGTCAAGAATTATTTCTTTGAACAAAAATCCCCTTTTTTACGAAATTCGCTGTTTAAAAGTAGATTATTTTGTAATTTGACAGTTTTTATGTGTTACATGATAAATAGAAAAACATGCTACTGTCTTTTGATATCAATTTTATCAGGCTCGGCTGATATGGGCAGAAAGGGCTCGGCAAGCCTCGCCCTTTCTAGCCCATATCAGCCTCGCCTGATAAAATTGATATCAAAAGACAGTAGCATGTTATTCTCTATGTATCACGAATTTAATGTGTGTGTTATGACAGTGTATGATATGAAAATAAAATGCAATTATGTTATATTTGTTTGGTGGTTTGGTTGGTTGGTTTTAACGGTACATTGACAAATTACTGGCCCAATCTGACTAAAGCTCAGATATAGGGTAATTCGCCCTTAAATCGAACAGGTTAGAAATCAATGCTATCATGCTACAGTCATGCGCACACTACACCGATAATTGAAAACGGATTGCGTTTAGTATCATCCCTGCTCCCTATTTCATAATAGATTACTCTTTATCTCGGACATAATCCATCAAAGTACTTGAAGTACCTAAAACAATGCGATTTGCCCATGAATCGAACAAGGCGCCCTTGAGATGAACACAAACAAATGCATGCTTCTGAGATCAACGACTATTTTCAAGCAAATGAAATTTACGTTTATTTAAAATCAATGCAATTTTATAAACTTGCCAACGATTGGTTATATATCAAAATAAATAAAAGACCGCCATTTTCAGCCATTTGATGTTTTGGATTTACAAGCATCTGTATAGATCTGTATCTTTTCAATGAAATGTTATTATATATATCGTATAATAGAAATATTAACATAATCAACGCATGCTTATAGTAGTCTTAATTTTTAAAACGTTTTTGTTATACAAGAATAAGGATCTACCAGGGATATGCATGGAACCTGTAGATGTATTTTGTAATACAAACATGTACGTTTATTAATAAATTGTTCTGTGTACAAATATTTCCTTACATTAAACGTAGCAATGGCAAATATCACACAATTCATATACAGGCGTGAGCTCATGGCAGGAAAATATGGCAAAGACAATTTATTGATGTCAGTATGGCTGTTAGAGGACCTATTCGATCAGGAATGGTGTTATGACCACGACTTACTTTATCATTTGCATGCCACAATCAAGAATTTGGTAATAAAATGTCCTCGTATTAGAACTGCTGTCACAAACCAAATATATGCATGGAATTTGAAGAAAATTGAATCGGATGAACCTGTCCCAGCCAGTCATGTGTTTCTTGTAAACTGTATCAAAAGTTATCTGAGTGGACGTGAACTAGAACATCTTAATATGTTAACCGATGAAATAAGGCAGTGTGGAAATTAAAATTTCACAAAGTACTATACAAATAAAGGACAACAAAACTTTAAACACTTTTTATATTTAATAAGTTAATCATTCATTAAAAACTTATTAATACATGTACTATTTTATTCTGTTTTATTTCTGTATATTACATTAACAGTTTTTTTCCCTTTTTTGCATCCAGAGCTTTCATTTTTTGCTCTTTCTTTTGTTCTCTTAAAAGTTTTCTTTCTGCTGCCAATGCGGCCTTTTTCTCTTTCTCTTGTTTTTGTTGTAATTTCTCCCGGAACGCATCGTCCGACGAAATTACAAAATAATGCGATTTCTTTTTCTTACCTTTAACAAACTCTTGCTTTGGTAAAACTAACATGGGATTAATTGAGGTGTTGTTTTTTGGAAGACTATTCAATATCTGACTTTTATAAAGAGACCATGTGGTGTACATAGAATCATTTTCAATTCCAATACCAGATTCAAATGCAGAGATATATAACTGTTTCTTCTCGCTACTTATAGCAGATTCAACAACTGAAAGGGCTAGTTCAGCATCACAAACTGGATGTGAAGCTGAATTAGTCGTTCCAGTCGATGATTCTACATTTCTGGTGGGACTACTGTCATTTGTAGCACATGCAGACGTACTTAGGCCAGAAGTGTGTAGTGACCCAACCTGTTCATCAAGAAGTTGTATCATGCCTTGCTCATCTAAAAAAACAGGTAAGTCCACAACATTATCCCCGCTAAGTACGTCAAGATTAACAATAACACTCGATTCACTGGAATCGAGAGTATCATTCTGCATTTGAATGATATTGGATGCGGTCATTACATCACATGTATGTGTCATATCAAGGGGTTCTGCAGTGAACACTTCTTGTGGAGATTCAGTGGGAGGTAAAGCCGACATTACGACTGAGAGTTGTGAGTCCGTGG